TGCATGTCTGCCCGGTGCACCGGCGGGCTCGATATCCATCCAGCAGACAGTGTCTCCTCCAAAAAGGTACCTATCTTGAGGAGAAACTCCCTCTTGTACGCAAGTGGAACAAAGAGGCGCAAGCTGCTAGTACCGCTACTCGCAACATCCAGACGGGAACTCCTTTATAAAGGCTTCCAGATCCCAATCTTGTTGTTTAATGTTGCCCCTTTCCAGCCGCGCGGGCTTCTCCGCAAACAGTTTAGCAAGCAGGAGGAAAGGTCAAAGCGCCGCTGTCGTGAGGTACCGAGACATTTGGATGACCACTTCGAACCGGCAGTGTTCGCCCACTCTTCCACGTCTCCCCTAGTGCAGTGCGTCCAGGGCGGTGCCAAAGAGTACGTACCCGCCACCTCATCGGCTTGGTCTAGATAATTGGAGAGTCTGGATCCTCGATCGAGCTCCATCCAGCAAAAGGGAACCCCATACGTGCCGATTAGTGTACAAGACCGGAGGCATACTTGCAATCAATATAATACCAGCTAGTCCATCCCGTACGTCGTTCTAAAATCTTGCGGTCTCCAACTCTCTCAGGGCCCCGCCATGATCGTCTTTTCTGTTCGCCTGTATTAGTTGTAAACCGCCCTTTCTCTTTCGCCCACCCCTTCGGACGCTCCTTATTCCTCGACCCTGACCACCGTCTGCGAGTGGGTGCTGCCGCTGCAGCCGTGCATGACGTTCGGCTTGGATTTCGTATCCCTTTCGGGCCCCTTTGCGCCCGGGCCTTGTTGACTTCCGCATTTCACCTCTTCTCTTCCGCCTTTTTCAAAGCTCTCACGGGCGACAACCGTTTCCGCCATCATGGACCGACTCGGCGCGTGGAAGGACAATGACGATGTTCTTCCCTTCTACCAAAAATCCCCCGGCCAGGGCACCTTTGCGACCCCCGAGGAAATCGAGCAGTCGCGGTCGGGCTGTAACACACCGCGACACCGCATTACCTCTGCTGAATCAAGAGTAGGCTGCAAGCCCCACGCCATCGTGAAAGTCCGGGACGCTGACAGACGAGCAAACAGGGCGTGGCTGACGACTTCTCCTACATGACCCCCGCCGAAGCCGCTACCCACCTCGACACCTCTCTGACCCATGGCTTGACTCCCGCTGAAGCCCTCTCGAGACTACACGATTACGGGCCGAACGAGATCCCACACGATCCTCCCGAGCCCCTTTGGCTGCGATTCGTCAAGCAGTTCCAAGAGCCTTTGATCCTCCTTCTCCTCGCCTCTGCCGGTGCGTCTATACTTGTTGGAAACGTCGATGATGCCGTCAGCATTTCGGTTGCGGTTACCATCGTTGTGAGCGCGGGCTTTGTTCAGGAATATCGTTCCGAAAAGTCCATTGAGGCACTCAACCATTTGGTTCCTAACCATGCGCACCTGGTACGAAAACATACGGGGGCCAAACCGGCTGATGGTGATGATTTGTCCGACATTGGTGATGTTGCTGGTTCGGTTACACCACCTGAGGATGTTCTGGATGCGAAATCGTCCAAGGTCATGGCTGCGCAACTGGTGCCTGGAGATCTGGTTTTGTTTACTACCGGTGATCGCATACCTGCCGATGTCCGAGTTACCAAGGCAACAGATTTGACAGTCGATGCTTCCAACCTTACTGGAGAAAATGAGCCTGTCAGAATTGTTGCCGAAGCCCGAACTCGTCATGGAGCCACCGGTCCTGCCGCCGACAAAGATAACTCGACCAACGTTGTATACATGGGCACACTGGTGAAGTCTGGATATGGGCAAGGGGTTGTCTTTGCTACTGGAGGAAACACACACTTTGGTACCATTGCGACTAGTGTATCTGGAACCGAAAGCCCTCGCTCGCCTCTGCAACTGTCGATGGACGATCTCGGCTCTCAGCTCAGCAAAATGTCTTTTGTCATTATCGGCCTAATCTCCCTCGTTGGGTGGCTGCAAGGAAAGAAGCTACTCGAAATATTCACCATCTCCATTTCTTTAGCGGTCGCGGCTATTCCCGAGGGCCTACCCATCATTGTCACTGTTACTTTGGCTTTGGGAGTGCACCGCATGGCAAAGCATAACGCCATCGTGCGCAAGATGCCCAAGGTTGAGACTCTAGGATCTGTCAATGTTGTTTGCTCAGACAAGACCGGTATGTCTCAAAAAGACTTCACAAAAGACGACTCAAAACTAACTGTGACTAGGAACCTTGACCACAAACCACATGACTACTGTCAAGATGTGGTTTTTCGGTACCGACGACGCTTTGGACGTGGATTCGGATGATGAAGCTACCGAGACCAAACCCGACCCCGCCATGCTTAGAATCCTCCGTATTGGTAATATCGCCAACAATGCCCGCCTTGCTATGCAGTACACCGAAAATGGTGCTGGGGCCCGCGCCGTTCTCTCCTCTACTCAAGGAAAGAATGCCCCTTCCACGTATACTCGCTGGGTCGGCCAGCCTACAGACATTGCCATGCTCGACTTGCTTGATCGCTTCAAGGAACACGATGTTCGCGATTCCATTGGACCTCGCCTGAGCGAGACTCCCTTTAGCTCCGAACGCAAGTGGATGGGTGTTACTATCGGCTCGGAAGGTGGTAAATCGGACAAGGAATTTGCCTACATCAAGGGTTCTATCGACAAGGTCCTTGACGCCTGCGATACCTATCTTTCCAAGGATGGCCGGGAGTTTGTTATGGATACCAACAGACGTCAGGAAGCAATCGACGCCGCCGAGAAGATGGCCTCGCGAGGTCTACGTGTTTTGGCCTTTGCCAGCGGTCCTGTCACCAAACCCGCCAAGAACAAGTCGCCTGCAACGAGCACTGTCGAAGAACAGTACAGGGGCCTCACCTTTGCTGGTTTGGTTGGCATGAGCGACCCGCCCCGTCCCGGCGTTTCGAGGTCTATTAGGAAGTTGATGCGTGGCTCTGTTAAGGTGATCATGATCACGGGTGATGCTGAGACTACTGCCGTTGCGATTGGAAAACAGCTTGGTATGAGTGTTACTACACCGGCTGTGGGCGCAGCCAACACATCAGGCGTCAGATCTGTTCTGCGTGGAGATGAGATCGATGCCATGACAGATGAAGAGCTGGCTGCGGCCATGGATCATACCACCATCTTCGCTCGCACGAACCCCGATCACAAGCTCAAGATTGTCAAGGCTCTTCAGTCCCGTGGCGATATTGTTGCCATGACGGGTGACGGAGTCAACGATGCACCTGCTCTCAAGAAGGCTGATATCGGCATTGCCATGGGCAAGCATGGAACCGATGTTGCCAAGGAGGCGGCTGACATGATCCTGACCGACGACTACTTTTCTACAATTCTTCATGCCATCGAAGAGGGCAAGGCCATCTTCAACAACATCCAGAACTTCTTGACGTTCCAGCTTAGCACAAGCGCTGCTGGGTTATCTCTCGTGCTACTCTGCACTTGCTTGGGTTACAAGTCACCTCTCAATGCCATGCAAATTCTTTGGATTAGTAAGATTCCCCCTCCATCTTGCATTCTATCGACCTCTGCTAACTGCCTCTTTCCAGACATCATTATGGACGGCCCTCCTGCACAGTCTCTTGGTGTCGAGTCTGTCGATAAGGACGTCATGAACCGTCCTCCTCGCCGCAGAGGCGATGCAGTTCTCACCAACCCTCTCATTGCCCGTGTGCTTACCCAAGCTTTCATCATTATGGTCGGTACAATGCTGGTTTACAAGCACGAAATGCTCGGGGACGGACAGGTCACCCGCCGCGACACTACCATGACCTTCACCTGCTTTGTCCTCTTCGACATGTTTAACGCCCTGGCCTGCCGCTCGGAGTCTAAGTCCATCCTCCGCGGCGAAATTGGTCTGTTCTCGAATACGCTTTTCAACTGGGCCGTCTCGCTCAGCTTGGCAGGGCAGTTGCTTGTTATTTACTTCCCCTGGCTGCAGGAGGTGTTCCAGACCGAGGCACTCGGACTCCTTGATTTGGTGTACCTGGTGTTGCTATGTAGCACGGTATTCTTTGCTGATGAGCTGAGAAAATGGTGGAAGTACGGGGCAAGGAGGCATATGGGTGTTAACTATAGCCAGGCTGTATAGTAAGGCCGGTCGGTGTAAGAAGGAAGGGCAGGATGTCCTAGACTAGATAGAGGTGGGATGATAAAGGTGGCCACGAACCAACACTCTTATGATGAACTCATAGATATACTACAATATGGAGTAATAACCAGTAATATACCGTCGGCCTCAAAATGGTCAGATTTGGATACGTATTGTGCTTGTTCATTGAAATTCCTGCTTTCTATATAAAGTGCCTCGTGGGCTCTCCCACTTCAGGGGCATCATCAAGTCCGGGTGGCCGGTGTTGGGGTTACGGCAGTATGTAGGTGGGTACCACAAGCAAACGCACAACTTGAGGTCGCCCTAATGCTTTGTGGGTCTATATGATTGTTTATAGTGGTGGGAAAAAAGTGTGTACAACGAGGAGTATAGTTAGTAATTCGGTTATAGTGGCCTGGTAGGGGCTGATGGTATGTAGGTGGGAAATCGAGCTCTTTTCCTAAGACCTGCCTACCTTACCGCCTGCTTCATCGTACATTTCATAAATATCTCAACCAAGATACAAAATGGAAACAATGGCTTTGAAGAGATACTAAAAAACATAGCACGTTTCATAAGTGGGATATTCAAACATAGTTCAAGGGTTGGTGAACTTGTTGTTTCGAGCTGTAAGGTACCTAGGTACGTGTTAGTGTAGGCAGAGGTATGTAGAGGTAGTGTACCCCGGTAGGCACCCCTGCGGTGGGGCTTAATCACCGCCTGTCGTTTCTGGTGGCCCCCGGACCCCCAGACTGCAGTGACATCTGTCCCTCCCGCTCTACCTAGTCTCAAACGTCCTTCACCACATCTATAGCTTCGAAACACCGAAGCCCAAACGTACACGACCACCAAGGGCATCTAGTGCAAAGCAGCGATGCGTTGCCAGCGTCGATACGGCAATACCGATGTCTGCCCTCTCCAATGGCGTCGATACCACTGCTTCGTCGTCGAAGATGCCCTCCACAGCTCCAACAAGTACAGCAGCTAAAGGCGCCATCAGCAATAATATCACCACCACCATCCCCTCCTCGTCGAATCCCTCTCTAAACAGCGCGAATGCTACGACCAAATCCCACGATAAGACAACAGCACCGCTCTCCCTTCGATTGCCACTAAGGAGCATCACCAGCCCCCAAAATGGCAGCAACCACAACAATCCGACCACAGCAGCAGCAGACCCGGTCCTCGCGGCCTTGCGCACTGCCTCGTCCTCGTCCGACATCCGCGCCGCGCTCGCCGCCCTGCACGTCCGTGAATCGTCCCTGACGAGCCGCTTATCCTCCGTCCTCGCCTCGCACCAGGACCTCGCCCGCTCGCTCTCTCGCCTTGACAATTTGCGCGCCGGCCTTGGCTCCCAGGTCATCGCCGCCCGCAGCGTCAGCAACAACATGCTGGCCGGCGCCGCCGACACGGCCAGCCACCTGTCCAGCCGCGTGCGCCAGCTCGACCTCGAGAAGCAGCGCGTCGAGGATACCCTGCGCGTGGTCGAGCTGGTGGCTGAGTTGAAGGCATGCGTGGCCGGAGTGGTCGGCAGCATGGGCGCACCGCAGGACTGGGAGGCTGCGGCGGGGTATATTGCAAGGGCCGCGAGGGTGCCAGAGGAGATTGTGAGATCAGGGTTCGCGGCTGCGGTGGTGCCGACTGTTGAGGTGCCTGATGCCCCTTGGGTGACGTTGGAGAACGCAAGGGAGAGCTTGTGCGTGTTGTTCTTGAGGGAGTTTTGGAAGGCGGCGAAGGAGGATGATCCGGCCAAGATTACGCGGTTCTTCAAGCTGTTTCCGTTAATTGGACGGGGTGATGTCGGGTTGGATGCGTATGGGCAGTATGTCTGCCAGGGCGTGGCGAATAGGGCGAGGGCGATTTTGAAGGATGGTGTTGGGGCGGTGGGAGGAGCGGCTAATGCTAATGCCCCGCCGACGCTCCGGCCGAAGAAGGACGGTATCTTCTATGCCAATGCATTGAACCTGCTGTTTGGACATATTACACAGATCGTCGATGGCCATGGCGGGCTGGTGGAGAGGCACTATGGCGGGGGCAAGATGATCAAGGTTATTGAGCGGTTGCAGGGCGAGGCAGATGTGCAGGGCGGCATCATCGTGGACTCTTGGAGTGATGAACGCGGTGTTGACCGAGCATTGACGGATGCGAAGAGTTATCCATTCTCGTTCCTTGTGCAAAGCTTCCTACCCCAGAACCGTGGGTTTGGAGCTCCACCACGTCTGAACTCGCCTGCTCCCGGCACCGATGGTCGCAACAGCGAAGATGAGGGTGTCAACATGAGGGAGGTGGATGCTCTACTCAGTGAGATTGCCATCATGTTGAGCAGGTGGTCTGCCTACTCCCATCTCCTTGCTCAGAAGTGCACGGTAAGTTTTTCCACATGCTCTTCGCTGAGAAACCGAGCTAATTTCGATGCCTTTCCAGGAGCCTGGAGTTCCAGAAGATGCACCACTAACCATGCCCGAGGTGCTCACCAAATCCAATCTGAACCGAAAGGTTTCAGGCAAACTTGTCATGCCCTATAATGTTCTAACCACTTTCTTCTTTCGGCGATCTGTTGAGAAAGCGTTCCAGTTGGACGAGTGGCCAACCGGGTTGTCCTTGAGGATGAGCAAACCTATCGACAGCAGTCCACCATTCATCATCTCGGCAGTTGAAGATGTCATGTACATCGCGAACACCGTGATCATCAGATCTATCTCCACGTCTCAAAGAGGCGTTATCGATTCTGTCCTCCCTACAATATCTAGCTTATTGGGCTCGGACTTTGTCGGTATGATTCAACGCAAGATGCGCGACGAGTGCTACCCCAAGCCTGTGATTCAAGGCGGGTTCCCACCAGAAGACAAAATCATCCAGTTCATCGTACTCATCAACAGTCTCGACATGGCCGAGGAATATCTCTCCCGCATCATCACTGGTATCCTGACTCCGGGAGAACAATCAGTCAACGGCGGCACCGGAGCTTCCTCGCAGGCCAGCTCCCTCAAGAATTCGTTCCCATTCAAGAACGACCTCAAGGAAGTGACAACCCGCCTGAACAACCTCCACCACTCATTCACAGCAAAGGCCACAGAGCTGCTCAGCGAAGGAATCAAAGTTCTCTTTAGCCAAGTCGTTCGACCACGTCTGCGGCCTATTCTCTCCGACACGTTCCGCGACGCCGACTACACCATGACGGAGGAAGAGCTCCTCGACCTGTGCGCTGCGAACGACGAAAACGAGGACGACGTGCTCGAGCAGGTGACGCGCCGCTTCGAGGAGGGCTGGGACGCCCTCATGAAGCCCATTGCGCGCCTTATGACGTCCAAGACTTTCAGTACCGTCCTGGACCACACGGCGCAGCACCTGGCGCGCTGGCTGGAGAAGCGCGTGTGGAGCTACGCGGGTTCTCAGACTAGGGGAGCGAGCCCGTATGGCGCCATTAGGATGGAGAGAGACTTTAGTGGGATTATTGGCACCATCAGCAAGGGCAACTATGCGGTGCGCGAGGTGTTTGGGAGGACGTTGCAGATATTGATGGTGGCGAATATGGAGGATGAAGAGTGGGAGGAGCTGATTGTTACAGATGGGGCCGGGGGGGAGGATGGGGAGGATGGTATGTTGTGGGTCCTTAGTGAAGATGAAAGGAGGAAGGCGAGGACAATTGTTAGGGTGGCATAGGTTCTTGTGATGTTCCAAAAGCATTCCTTCCACAGCACAGCGCCTGTTCTTTTTTTTTTTTTTTTTTCTTGTTGTTATCAACCATTATATAATATATATTGGGCGTTTCTTGTTTCGTTCGACTACCAATGGAGAAAACAGCACGCTTGCGGTAAAGGTCGCTCTGGTTTTTCGTCGTCGATTGCACAGCTCCCGCTTGGAAACAGCCGGACCAAAGGGCCACGCAACTACCCCCTCGTCTACATACCCTGGCTTCAACGAGTCCCCGCTGCCTCTTTGCCGCGTCTTGGGTACCGAGGGCCGTTGATCTCTTTTCTCAGTTGTATGGACACTATAAGTGTACAATCCAAGACTGGCTGGTTTGTTAGCTCAAGACACCTCAACCCGCTTCCCTAGGACTTTACATATCTGACTAGATTCGCTTCGTTCCATGATCAAAGCGTGACCTAACCTCAAATATGCTTCTCCTTGAAACTGAAAGTGCCATATAGAAATCGTTCTAATAGCTTTCCGAGCTGTGTGAGGGGGGAAAAACGGGGAAGACAGCCACTTTGAGCAAATATCTCGAGGCTGGATTTTGCAGAGTTTGCATCTTCGATAATCGATGACTTTGTAATAGATTTTGAGGGAAGAAAAAGGGGTCGTGAGACACACGGAAGACTTGGAAGGGGCCAAGAGGATAATGAGTTGTGTTGGTTCCTTTTGGTCTTTGCAGGTGACCGGCATTCACGTCATTCCATCCCTGAATATGGAAGTCAGCTTGGCCACTCGAGCTTTTCTATTGTTCATTTGAGATTTCGTTTTGTTCCTGGATAATTATAGGCGCACAGGATATGGTATGGTATATTCTGAATGCGTTGCGGTTGAAGGTGTGAAAGTTGAAGGAACCATAGCGCCAAAAAATTGGACTATATAGATACAGCAAAGCTTACATTAGGGTATCTAACTTTCCATTGGCGCGATGACCGAGTGGCCTAAGGTGTTTGACTCGAACTACCCATTCGAGGCCTATCAAATCTCTTCGGAGGCGCAGGTTCAAATCCTGCTCGCGTCGTTATGTTTCTTTTTTTGCATCTTCCGACTCCTTTTCACGCCAGGGAAACTGTCCGTTTTTATCTCTCTTTAATTTTCTTTTCTACTTTACTTTGCTTTTCCGTTTACTAACTCCATACGTGAGCATAACCTTTTTGCGGAGCTGGATCTTCGGAGATTAGAAGGTACCACAAGCGCTCTTGCACAATGTCCATCTAATCGTCCGACGCAGTAATAGTGTACAGCAACGAACGTCAGATACGGGAAGGTACAAGTCAGGGGTCGGAACACCGAATCCTCCTTCCAATATTCTGGAATGTCTTGAAAATCGTGTCTCGCCGCCCCTAACAGAGAGGGCTGTTCTCTCTTGCCGTCTATGCCATCAATGATGTCCCCAGATCTATGACGGACGCACGTCATTTCCTGTGACACCCAGGCGAACTGCAAGTCAGTCTGTCGCCAGCTTCAAGAAAGGTGGAACACCAGGCAGCCTGTCTGGATTACCGGTCACCCTCGGCGGTATCAGTCCATCAGAACGGCTGCTGAGGGCCTGAGACAGACCGCTCACGACCAAACGCATAAAAAGGAAATCCTTTTCCCTTTCTCCTCGGCTTGTCATGTAAGGGTGTCATTTACATCAACCTAGGCGTCGCCCTCCGCATCGAGTTTGATCGTGCTGCGAATGCGTGGAAGACAGGAGAAGTCAGGAGGACAACAGCACGGCAGCAAGCATGCGGGGTGGCATCCGACGTGGCACGTATTCAATGGTGAAGGATGCCTTCTCTCATTCCATGTCTTGACGGTGACGCTCTCGCAGGGCTGGCGACCGCAACGGCAACCAACATGCTTCCAATTTTCTGTTGAGTCCTCTGAGCCGGATGCAACCTCACCGCATCCGGGGACCCAGAATAAAAAACCTTTTTTAGAGGTCAGCAGAAAGGATTGTAGGCTCGCTTGGGAGTCTGGGCTGCTGGATGCAATGCAAGAGAGCCTGGCGAGAGCCTGGCTGGTGCATGCCAAGTAGATGGTACGACTACCATAGTCAGCAAGAAATATCCGGCATTCATTTTGCTAAATTGCGATGGTCAGGGAAGAGGCCGGATCGCCAGCAGTGGAAGGAACTGGATTGAAGGTGTCACTGTATTGGATGTTGGACACGGACCACCTCAAGATGGTGGGTGGGTGGATGATGTGCTGGATGCGGTGGGCTGTGGTGCGGGTGTCTGAGTTGCCCGCCCATGTCTGTTCCTTGCATATTTTCAGGTACGAACCAATCAGACCGCACCGGCTTCGCATGTTGCAGGGTACCTGATAGGGGTTCCTGTTCCCGCCTTTTTGCGATTCTCGCTGGTCAAGCGGCTTGCGCGTTCGCTCGGCCTTTCTTCCAACATCGTCCCGCCTTTTTCATCGTCCAGCTTCGACGCCCAACAAGGGACAAGGGTGATGGCGATTCCCGGGGCAACAGGACAGGATCCCTGCCATCTCTTTCTGATGGTTTGCCTTTGAACCAAATTTTATCGCGGTCCCCCAGTCCCGCGGCGGGTCCAGGCTTGTCAGGGCACTCAGCCCAGGCTCCTCCGACAATCGAGTGACAGGCTTCTGAGTGCCAGGCATAGCGTGACAGCGGAGTGAGCACACATCCAGCTGAGTGCCGCATGGCAAGTGGCACTGGGGTCGGCGCCGAAAAAGTCTTTTTTAACCAGCCGCAGGGGCTGGCCAATCGAATCACCTGAAGAAGTGGTGGAAGGAAGCCAATTTAGCTCATCGATTTTGCGTCCAAGCCACCCGTTGGAAAGCTGCCCTCCAAGGGACCATCGGTTTGATTTAAAAGGGCCTGTTTCCACATCCTTCCCCAGTTAATGCCGCTCTCTCGATCTTCCTGCTTTCTTTCCCCTTCAACCAGCGCTATCCCAGCACTCATCACACTCCTTTGCTTGTCGCTCCGGCTTCAGTCCCACGCTCCTTCACATCACATCACAATTATCAGCGAGTGAGAATCCCGAGGATCTACCCTCTCCACGTCCTTCGACACCTCCAAACAGCTCAGCCTTACAACACACACAACGACAGCACCTTCACAAACAAACATATTCACAATGCAGTTCAAGAGCATCCTCACCGTCTTGGCTACTGGCCTCTCTCTGGTTGCCGCTCAGGCCGACGCCGCCGACAGCACCATGACCTCCACGGCCACTATGACTTTGACTGTCACCATCACCTCCTGCAACCCCACCGTCTCCAACTGCCCCGGCAACGCTCCGGCTACCAGCACCAGCACCAGCACCAGCACCATCGAGACTCCCAGCGTCGTCCTCACCACCTCATCGGTGGCTCCGGTCGAGACTACCTCTTCTAGCTCGATTGTCGTCATCCCCAGCACCAGCTCTTCGTCTACACTATCCTGGTCCTTCCCTCAGGTCAACTCGACCACCTTCGCTGGTCCTACCGCCAGCCAGCCTCTCACCTCGGCTTTGATCACCCAGACCCAGAGCGCCATCGTCACTGCCAGCCAGCCCGCTGGTCCTTCTTCCCCCGTTACCGCTGGTGCTGCCGGCCTTGCCGCTCAGTCTGGACTTTTGATGTCCGTCCTCGCCTTGGGCGCCGCTCTCTTGGCTTAAGTGTCGTGATCTCGCTCTGTGGCTGGGTCATGTACATACGAGCCATCTGTTGCATACTTGATGATCATCATCACAACCACCATCATCTGCGTACCATTTATTGGAGCGTATTAACGACCGCATCCGAACTTCTTTCTTTTCTGGTCTTACTTTTGATTTTCGATTCTGAATACTCACGGATGATACCCGTATCTTTCAATTCTCAAACAATGGGGGATGTTGTGTGGCTTGGGGCTTTTTGACGGGGAAATAACCTCTTTGTTTGATACCACGAACCGGGCAAATGGAAAGAGACAAAGAAAAGAAATACCTTTTTGTAGTTTCCTTTATCCTCAGACATGTATTTGTTCATTGGGGCTACTGGTTGGCATATTCTTAGAAAGGTTTTAGAAATAGGGAACTCGGCACCAGGGGCTTGTTGGTTTCGAGGAATCTATTAAGCCAACGGCGTCGTGGGTGGGCAAAACATGGTATCTATAGAAAAAAGATTTTACGTCGCATACGATATGTGCCGCCGAAAATGGAATAAGATATATAAGTCACGAACTGATGGATTCTTACGGGTGACCATGTTCCTCCCAACTGACGTAACTAGTCTCAGCCTCTTGTTTCATGTCTAGTTCAGCCTTATTATCGTGGAGCAAAAACCGATCGACGATAAAATAGGCTTTTGAGACCTTGTCTCAATACAGTCCGCCTATGCTATTGTAAAGTCAGTTCGCTCGGGTACTATTCTAGTGATAATCTCACTGACGTGGTGTAGGAAGAAGGCTGATCTCCGCCCATGAAATGGAAACTAACGTCGTCGATCGCTCTTTCGTGTACCATAGTGTACACTACATACAGTCTTTACCCCCCCCCCCCCACCCTCTGCAGTTGCAAACCCCTCCCTCTTTCCATGCTAAAACCCTACGTATTGCACAACCAGTTGAGCGCCAGATATACAGGCCTGTACTGCGACAGTCAACTGCGTGTAGTTGCAACAGTGACGGCCAGATATTTGCATTACCAGGGGTCAAGTTTTAGTGGGAGTGAACACTTATACCCCTGTATCGGGGCTCATTGACCTGGTCTACTTTCCATTCTGGTCCGTCGACGGTTTTCTAAGTCTAGTGGCCTAAACGCCTCCTACTTCGAGTCGATGCGCTGGATCGATGTTTCTGCAAACACCCTCCTTAGTGCAATAGATTTTCGCTGCCAGGATTTGAAGTTCCATTAACAAGAGTAAGTAGAGACTCTATGTTCGATCAGCCTCAGTGCGAATATTACCTAGGTTCAAGATTCCGATCCACAGTGGTAACTAAAGCCATCGCCAAACCCAACAGCAACACACCCAACAGTCGTCGCCGGTATAGTGTTGTTTTGTCTAGGGTAAGGACATGTACAGTATTGAGGAAACATGATGGACTCTTTGGCGACTCTAAAACTGCCTGATAGTGCACTTTATCGATCTCCTCTGGATCCCTCCCGTCTTAGCAGTTTCCCTTGGCACAGTTTGCGCATAGGCTCTGAGTTCCTGGAACTACCGCCCTGCACCCGTGTGTCGCGTGATGATCACAGGGCTTATCGGCCATGATGGAATTGATGATCTTTTGTTATCTATCTTCACTGTTAGCATCAGTCATTGCTATCTCTCCTGCCATGACATGCGTACTTCTTCTCGGTATTTTTCCTTGTGTTTTCCTTGGTGGTTGGCTGACTTCGCACAGAGCATGCATTTACTGTTTTCGAACTGTCGAACAGTGAAGGAGGAAAGCTGTGAGACAAGAGCGAGTGACTGAAGAGAGCGAGTGTGTGGCAGAGACAGTCAATATCGATGAGAAGGCTACCGAGACCTTCCTTATACCGACCTAATTACACCCCTACGAACAAGAAGGGAAGGGGTTTTTGAAACTTCTTATATTTTCTCCTTACCTTCGATATCATTCTCTACTCCCCGTCTTTGACTCGGGTACGAGTAGGTACACCTATGACCTTGTCCAACATGGGTATGTAGCAACAAAGGGTACCGGCGCTGTGGTTCGCTGACATACGCTATCTGTTGTACCACGTTTCTTTGACTCTTGTTTTCTGTTCCTGTTGTTGCATGCTCGCAGGAACCGCATGTCTTATGATCAGTGGGAATTGGGAGGTGTGACGGGTAAACAATTCTAGACTTCCGATTCGGTGACCCAGGATGACCCAAGGTGACGCAGGGTAGTGTTAGGATAGCTTTGACGTGCAGTCAAGGGGAATACTACGACTGCAATAGTTGTGAATTAGGTGGTGGATAGGGTCGGTGTAGTCTATAACACCGCCGACATTCAGGTGAGTGTTACTCCAAAAGTATAAATCTGATTGCCTCCGTTCTCTTCTGGATTGGACCCAGAGCACATATAGTTAAGTGTGCTCTGATGATGGGATGTTACATTCATCCATTCAACAAGGTTTAAAAGCGGTGTAGAAACTGTAGATATGGCAATTGACCAATAATTTTATCCTTACCTTGTCTTCCCGACCCCCCATGGCCATATGTCTTCCCGGGGTTTTGGCGCTATACACCATCTTTTACCGAACTTCAATCAATGAGTTATTATAAATGTCACACTGATTTGGTCATATTCTGAGTACCTACTCACCGACACTAGCGACATGTCGAAACGGTGCTGCTGCGAGGTCGTATTCCGATTTCACACCTCCCGTCTATTTGAATGACTGATTCAAGTTCGGCACAACAGGTCGTTCCTTCCAAACATAGTCAACTTTAGTCGTCTTCCTACCTACCTTATCTGTCACCTATTCCACCCACTACTCGAAACTTTACTTGACTTCATCTCTCGCTATGAACTTTTGCATTCACCCTTTTCCACGAGAGGAGACAATAAGAAATGGGCTTGAAGAGTACCTAGATAAGAGCACAGGACTTGGTGCCGAGGTGTTAACGAAGGAGAGCCTTCAAACACCCATGGTGACCAACTGGAGTCACAACGACCGGTTGAATGGTCTTTGAGGGTTGATCCTCAGCACGAAGACACCAACGGTCGTCGATTACCGGTGAGATTGGAGAATGGTATGAGCCCAACATCGTATCATTTATTGGTTCCATCCCCAGAAAAAATAACATTCCACCCTACGTCACCCGCTGGGTAGTCGGTATCTCTCTTCCTGGGGACTAAAGTCCCCATTGCATGGTCCTTCCTCCATTACATTCAAGTAACCCCTACGCCCTAACTCATCATCAGAATCGTTAACCACCCAATTTAAGGCTGGCTAGTCCCCTGAAAGTTAACGCTAGTACTCTTCTGGCCGGCAGCCGCCTTGTCAAGCGCAATGTTGTTGTTAAGCTTTTTGGTCTCCTCAGCGATCTTGGCCGAGTTGTCCTTGCCTCCCTTGGCCTGCTCGATCTGCATGGCGAGAGTGAAGAGCTTAAGCTTGAGGACCTTGTTCTTGATCTTGCCGACCTGGAGCGCCGCGCCGGCCGTGGTCTTGGTGCCGCCGGCGGCCTTGATAGCCTCATTGAAACCGCCAGCCTTGGTCTCAGCATCTTCGGCCGTCTCGCGCGCGGCTTTGATAATGGCCAGGTCGGCGGCGGAGACGGAGGCCAGGTTGTTTTCGTCGACCTGTTCGTGCCGGAAACTGTTAGCTGCGTGTTGTGGGAGGGAAAAAAGCAAGACATGAGGAATGACTTGCGGGAAACTTGGCCTGGACTTCGGCCAGGGCGTTACCGCCAACGCCGCTGGAGACTTGGAACTGGGAGTAGCTTTGGGCAGAAAGAGCTCGCTTGCTTAAGCCCCGAGTGTCAACATCGCAGGGCGCAGCGAGGGCGGAGGTAAGGAGAGTGAAAACAAAGGCGAGCTTGAATTGCATCTTGACTGTTGGGAAAAAAAAAATGTGGAGCGTAGAGGTGGTATAGATAGAGGTATGAAAAGGGAATGGAACGTAGAGAATGAAAATACAACTAAAAGACAGCACAGCTGTAAGCCGAAAAGAATGTTATTTTGAGTGGAGGGATTTGAAATAGAATGGAATGGGAATGAAGGAAACAAATCGGTCACTCTCTTGCAGGATGGTCTAGCATCTTAAAAGAGCGTGTTGATGACCGCCTTGGTTGAAACACGTTCATCCGCTTGAAGCACTACCCGGCCATTATCATTTAGGTACCTTTGATTCCCAGTTTCAACTGAAAGCCTCCTCGACTTTCAAATATGCCTGCCTCTCAAACCATTTTCCGCGGAATGGCACTCATGGTTCGTAGTCGTCACATATGTCATGGTAAACCTCGTAAAGAGCCTTTCCAAGGGAGGATGTCAGGGGAGGGTTAAGGTGGAGGAAAGATCCAGTGCGATTTCCTGGGTGCTTGTTTCATTCGCAATCAGCGGCTTTCCTATGATCCCAAGTACACTTTACTGGCCTGATGATATCGGTATTGAGCGGGCGGTTAGAGTTACCATCTGGGTGACTTTGGACATGGTTGCCCAGTTGTGAAAGCCGACGATTTCCCCTTGACGATGCCAAGCAATGTCTCGACAATGTCGCATCTTTTTAGACTCCCTCTGATGCACCTGCGCGAACGACTGCCTCATACCCCTGCGTCATGGGGGTGTTGTTGACCCCTTCGGTTGCGTTCCAGATTGCCTTGTAGGGTAGGATTGAACTGCTCCAGCTTGGACGTACATCTAAATAGTGAAGGGCAAAACCAAAGCCGATTCGAATCCGTGATGGCGCTTCCTGGTCTCTGGATTTTCTCATGGGATTGTTTGTAAGTAATCCCTTGGTCCCTCGTCGTTGACGGCGGTTGCCCAATCATTGATCGATCTGACCGAGAAAACACGAATAAAGCAGGTTCCAGTCCATGACACCTGTTTTACTCGCGATCATCCCAGAAAGAGCATCATGGATTTCAGACAGACAGCTTTTTTATCGCATGGTTGATGATCATAGCGAAGCACATATATGAAGTGTAAGAGGTTAGTGGTGATGCAAGCGAGGAAAATGACAAAGTAATTAGAAGGAAGGATTGAGCCATGAGCCAAAACCTTTACGGAACGCGCTCCGATAAAAAAAGAAACCCTGATCAATTACCAGGCTGATTCATTGTGAACCACGTATCGAACAACTAGACCACGAAAAGGGAGCAGCGTTGTGATGTAAAGAAAGAAAGAAGCTTTGGGTGGAAATGCATTTCCGCCCATGCTGTCCGACGAGCCTCGGCACTCCATATCCAACCCCAACTTTACCCCAACTTCTCGGGATCGCTAAATCCATCCAATGACCTCTTACTGCCAGAGGTCTGCTGATATCCGATTCGATAACATGGCATCTTGTTTGGAGCAACCAAATGCTCTACGAAAGAGGAGGAACATTTCAAAAATGCCAGATAGCCAGCCCGTGATATCCTACATTCCTCTTTGGTTAGTCGACTGCAGCTTGGTCTCGCTATTGGTTCCCAAGCCGGGCCCGGCCACCCATCTATCTGAGTGAACCCAGCGGCAAGATCCGAATTCATTGTGCCTTTAAGATAGATCCATCCCTTCCTTTCTTGGGGAAATATCGATCGAGGTCCTTCCGTCTGATCTGAACCTTTGGACACCAAGCAGACAGCCACTTGTACTCTTCTCCCTTTGTTTGTGATAATCAAAGTGAAAACCTCATCTCGTCGTGTCGCCCCTCACTACCCACCGAGTCCCAGCCAGCCGATCACGATGCCTTTCAATTCACCCTTCAAGGATTTGGACATTCCCATTAACATTGATGTTTGGTCTCTCGTTTTTGACCAGCAGAATGTTCCGTTCCCGACCTCCAGGAGGGCGATGACATGCGCCGAAAACACCACGCTTTCGCACACATGGGACCATATAAAGGCGGCGTCTGTCGACTTTGGCAAAGGCATGAAGGATATTTGGCGTTGGAGGAAGGGTGAAGTTCTCGCCTTGTATACGCCAAATAGCATTGATGTAAGCCGTTGCCGGTCCTCCATTTTTTTTTTTCTCTCTCACCTCTAAGAAGAAGAAGAAAAAGAAAAAGAAGGGGAAAAAAGGCTTGCTAACATCAGCTCGCAACCGCCAAGACCCCAATCGTCACTCTCGGCGCCATCTGGGCCGGCGCCGTCGTCTCGCCCGCCAACCCGCTCTACAACGTCGAAGAGCTCACCTTCCAACTCAAAGACTCGGGCGCCAAAGCTATCATCACGCAAGCCCCCTTCCTCAAGACGGCCGTCGAAGCGGCGAAGAATGCCGGCATCCCCAACGACCGCATCGTTCTGGTCGGCCAGCACAGCGACCCTTCGGGAACGTTCAAGCATTTCCGCAGTATCAGATGCGTTGACTTCCCCACCCGCTTCAGGAAGGCCAAAATCAACCCGGAGAAGGACCTTGTTTTTTTGGTCTACAGCTCCGGCACGACGGGCTTGCCCAAGGGCGTGTGCTTGACGCATCTGAACGTTGTGTCCAACATCTTGCAGATGGCCGATGTTGATGGGCGGTATTGGTCTGCGACTGGCGGGCTGGATGGTGAAGGTGATAAGTTCTTGGGCGTGCTGCCGTTTTTCCACATCTATGTGAGTTCTCTCTCTCTCCGTCGAGTCTTGATCCCGAAAACCAAATTGGATCTAACCCGATGCAACCACCACTACTATTACAGGGTCTCACCTGCGCCCTGTTCATGTGTCTTTACCTTGGCTGGGAGATGTTCGTCGTCGAGCGCTTCGAGCTGGAAAAGGCCCTACAAACGATCCAAGACCAGCGCATCACCGCCTTCTACGTGTCTCCTCCGATCGTGCTGGCCTTCGGCAAGAGCCCGCTGGTGGACAAGTACGATCTCAGCACCCTCAAGGTCATGCACTCGGGCGCCGCGCCGCTGACGAGCGAGCTGACCGAGGCCGTGTGGCAGCGGCTCAAGATCCCGGTCAAGCAAGGCTACGGGCTGAGCGAGTCCAGTCCCGTGGTGACTTGCCAGACTGTGGATGAGTGGGCCAAGTTCATGGGTTCTTGCGGCAAGATGATGCCGAATATGGAGGCGAAGCTGGTGGACGAGGAGGGCAGGGAGGTTGCCGATGGTGAGGTATGTACTTTTTGTCCTGACATACCTTTACTGATGAGATGACGTGAAATTAACCTGGATAACTGACAATGTTGGATAGGTTGGCGAGCTGTGGATCAAGGGACCTAATGTGTTCAAGGGTTACTATAAGAGTCCAGACCGCACAAAGGAGGCCTTTTCAGAAGATGGCTACTTCAAGACCGGAGACATGTTCCACATCGATAAGTACGGCAACATGTACTGCGTGGATCGTCTCAAGGAACTGATCAAGTATAGTAAGTCGTTCCTTTTTCTCACCCGGTACGTGACCGAACAGACGTGGACTGATCATTGACTTTATCTTTCTTCCAGAGGGCTTCCCTGTCCCACCAGCCGAACTCGAAGGTCTCATCCTAGGCCACAGTGATGTAACGGATGTCTGCGTTATTGGTGTCGATGACCGCAGCCAGGCTACCGAAGTGCCTCGGGCGTACGTCGTCCTTAGACCAGGCATCGAAGCCAGCGATAGCAAGGCGCAGGAGATCATGGAATACGTCGCAAAGCAAGTTGCTCCTCATAAGAAGCTCCGCGGAGGTGTTCGATTTGTTGCAGAGGTGCCCAAATCGCCCAGTGGAAAGATTCTTCGGAGGATGCTGAGAGACAAAGTGAAGCAGGAGGAGCGTGCTGCGGGATCCAAGCTCTGAGTGGGTGTAGTTGAGATATGTTTGTTGAGAAGATCGATTTTTGAGTACTGTACGTTTGTAGAATCTGCCCTGTTCTGGCTTCGGGTTGATGTGATTTCGATGCCTACGCGAAAGATATGTCAGTAGGTAGTTTTTTTTTGTATACTGTACTGCCAACCCAGAGGCGGGTATCTGAAGCCTTCTATTCATACCAGGACGGGGACGCTCTTAAAATGCGCTCACCTACAATATCATACACAATGTTACCTGAACACTTACAACAAACGGCCTGTTGGTCATTTACCGCTTTACCGCCCCATCCCATCCAACCATCATCTAACCCATCCTCTCCGCCTCCTCCATAAGCTTTTCCACGCTAAACCTCTGGTCACCACTTGCGAACCAATCCAACAGATTCCTGCGCTCGTTCGCCCTCTGCTGGCCCTGCTCGCCACCAGTACCATCCCAACCGCCGTAGAACCTCTGAAGGCACATGAGCAACCACTGCGCATCCTCGGGCTTGACGCCTCTATCCTCCATGACCTGGCCCTGCATCAGCACGACGCCCTTGTCGCCGCTAAAGTCCATGTAGTGCGTGACCGTCGTGTGCGGCTGCGCGAACTCGCCGCGGTTCTTGTACTCGGCCAGCTGCGTGAACAGCACCGTCGACGTCGCCGTCGCCGCGTCCCAGGTCCATTGCAAAAAGTGAATCTCCGCGCCCTGTTCCGGGTGCGGCACAGGAAGCACGAACTGGGGGCGCGAGCGCGCCAACGTATCCATGGCTGAGTAGGTCTCTGACGGGATGACGGCGCACAGAGAGTGTGGATTGGTGGCGTAGCGCAGACGCCAGATGGCGGAGAGTTCCTTGATAGGTAAGTCGCGGGCCTTGGTCATATCGAGGATCTCGGATAGGGGTTTGATGCCGGAGCCTGAGCCGGAGCCTGAAGATACTGGTTTCTTCGGCGTTTCTGGCGTGGCATTGGAAGAAGGTTTGGCGGCTTCGGTTGTGATTGTTGTGGCAGTAGCATCCAACTCAGCGGCATCAGCAGCAGTGGGGGTAGCTGAAGCGGGAGCACCCGGTAGTTTAGTTGCAGCGTCGGTTTCCTTGCGCAGGCGCTCAATTTTGTCCTTGTATGCCTGTTTGAGAGCGTCGATATCAGGCAGGCCCTCCTCTTTGGCCTTGTTCTCCAATTTTTGGCGGTACTTCTCGATGACACTGCGCGGTTGCTGCGTCGTGGCGAGGAAGCGCACATCGTGAACTTGAGCCCATCGTCGTTGGTTGGAGGCGCGCAGCGAACGGACATGAGAGCAAGGGTGTGCGAGATGCCGAAGCATGCCCGCAGTGCGAAGGGAGGCCATGGCGGTGGTTAATTCGCAGCAAATGGCAAGCACTTTAGAGGAGTCTTGGTTCTGAGGTTCAGTTATAAGAGGAAAAGTGCAAGTTCACTTGAGGTGACAAGCCTGAAAAGTTGACGTCAAGTTAAAGCCGAAGATACTAGTATGTAACCCTAACCCTGGGATTTAGCTGCACCTTTCAGTGAAGCTGAGAGAATCACCACATAGGGCCATCACTCGCGATCAACTCAATCACGACGCCATGCTCGGGCAATATGCTGCCGCTGAGATGTTCAACTGACAGGGGCCACGAGAGAAGTCAAATGGATACGACAGCCTTCCCAAACTTGACCTCCTTAGATAACTCGCCCCCTTCATTCCCTCACTTGAAATGTACATATGTAGGCCGTATGCAGTTTCTCCCAGGGCTCCAATTGTGCAGTGCACTTTCATTAAGGATAGTTGAGTTGACGCGCCTCGTGGAATCAGAAATCCAGAGGGGCCGTGATGTAGAGCGGTGCATAATGCTGTGCTTCACTAACTATCAAACCCCACAAAATAAAACCTCTCCCCACGCGTAAATCAAGGTATGCATACATACTTGCACTACATGATGGGGTTCCGGTAGGGCTGTGAGGCTGTGGGCTGCGAGTCAGGATTGCCAGGGTCTAAGTGGAAGATGGAGAATGCGGGGGAAGCTAATATGATTGCTGGGAATTGGACGGACCTCGTGTACGGGTTGTCGCTCGCCCAGGTCACCCATTCGTCACCATGGCCCACGATTTGCCTTCCCCGCTTCCTGTAGAGCCCGGGACCACAACGGGATGGTTTCGCCGATTGACTACCGATGAACCATCGACGGGACGATGGCGACTGGATCTGACCTATCCGTCCCCAAGGATCCAACCGATCGAGCCAACCTTGACTTTCAGCCCCTCCTCCCCCTCTCCTCTCCAGCCGTATCGAAGGACACGTTGACCTCTGAACTCAAGGATGACTTGAAAAACCAATTCATTCGCCATTCGCGGCGCACCTCGACATGATTCTACTCCTCATCTCATTGAACAAAGTCACTCACAAATGCCGGATGACCGAAACGAAATCGCAAAAGAAAAAGGTATCGATATTAAGACACAAAATCTTGTCCTCGCTAACATCTAAAACACAAGACGCGCCTGTAAGTAACTCTAAAACCCCTGAGGAAAAGGAGGTGAGTATGCCGAGATATGATATACACGAGGAGGTAGCTCGAAAGTCTATGCCTTTCCTCATCTAAACCCTCAATACCTTTTTCCAGAATCCTCTTTCTGCTGCAGGCTTATCATGACTGTTTCCCCATCCATCAAACATCATGGCACGATCGTGATTGTATCGCTGACCCAATAATTCTTTCCGAGAGCCCCCCAAGACCAAGTCATGGTATGACTCGATTGCGCGTCTTCCTCTAGTCCGTCATGCTTGTGGCTAGGTGCTGGAAAAACTGACCTAAGCATTGACGGTCTTGAAGACCCAGCGCTCGGAGTTCTCGGCGAAAGGAACACCGAGCTCAAAGAGCTTGACAATGACATTGGAGAAGTCCTTGAAGAAGAGCTCGTTGTCGGCGGCGTACTTCTCCACCCACTGCTTGAACTTCTTGTCCTGGATGAGGGCCATATCGGCGGGGAGCATCATGAGGGACTTGGTCTTCTTGTCCTCATACTGCTTAGGGCCGTTCCACTTCTTCCACTGCCACTTCTCGTCGAGGAGCAGCTTGTAGTAATCGTTGGTCAAAACGGTAGGGGAGAAAGTCCAGGGACCGTCAAAGCCGGAGCGGTCAGCGTGGCAGCGGCCGAGAGCGTGAGCACCGGAAAGAGCAACGATCTCCTGATCGTTAAAGCCCATGCGGTAGAAGATGTTGCGGAGATGGTCCTGGGCCTGGGTGGCATCAGGAAGACGGCCATCGGGAGTGCAACCAGCAGCATCACGGTCCTGGCGACCGGGGCGGTAGGGGATCTGGGGGCCAAGCATCTCCTGGATGGCGCAAACACCGCCGAGGATCCAGAGATCGGAGTAGGTGATCCAAGGGAACTTGGCTGTTTGGGACGTCAGTACGTTAAAATCCCACGATTCAAGGATGGTAGCAGCTTACCCTTGACAGGCTCGAGGAAGTCACGAGCAGCCTTCAGGCCGGCGTTGGCACCATGGTCAGACTCAGGAGCGAAGCGCATGGTGGCACCGTTGGAGCCACCAGTGCCGGTCTCCTTGTCATAGGTGCCGCTGGCGTGCCATGCGAGACGGACGAGGACGGGGCCGTAGCTGCCGTCGTCGTAGTCATCCTTCTCCTCGAGGCGAGAGGCAATCTCATTGTAAACGGCCTGGTAGTCGTCGAACTTGGGAGCGAAAACCTTGGGGGTGGCGGAAGCGCCGTCCTGGTTGAGATACCACAGACCGCCGGCACCGAGAGCACCGGCACCGATAGCCCAAGCCCAAATGTTGGAGCCACCGGACTTGGCGGGCTCAGAGGAGTAAAGACGACGACCACCCTGGCGGAAAGCAGCGCGGGGCGCGGCAGTGAGCGCAGGACGAGTCGAGGTGCGCAGAGCGCGGAGAGTGCGGGTGGCAGTGCGGGAGGCGGCCATCTATGCGGAGGGAGACCTAGTTAGCATCATCATTGCTCTCGATATTTTATCGTGGCGAGTCCCATCATGTTGTTGAAGGCGGGAAGAGATCGCGCATCACTTGGCGTCACCGAAGCTCGACAGAGTCCGAACTAGAAGCGACGAGCAGACGGCTGAGAAAGGGAACCAGGAGACAAACGTCCTGTGGAGGATAGGTCACTTTGATGCGTACCTTCAAGTTGTTGATTCTCAAAAGTAGCGAGGACGATGAAGAGGAGGGAATAGAGAAGGATGAGAGCAGAGCAGCAGCGACTGACAACAACGAGGGGAAGAAAAAGAGGGAAAGGAAGGAAGCAAGGACGATATACACAGAGCACTAGTCTACATCTATCAAATCGGAGGATCAGGCAGGCGGGATCATGGTGCAATTGTATCCTTCGTCCTCTAGCTCGGCTGTTGCCCCGGAAAGACGAGGCCCGGGGCCACCCCGGTGGGGTTGTGGTCTCGACATGCCGCACGAGTTCCAGCGCAGCAAAACGACTGTGGAATCATATCGAAAAAAAATCAATCGCGTGCGCGTTGAGTGGCCAGTTCGCCCATGTCTCTTCCGGGGACCCCGTTCAGGCCGTTCCATCCCGTCTAGGCGCGGCTGTAGGCCATTTCTAAGCCCTTCCTACACCACTGTGGTTGCCATAGAATCCTAGGGGGGATTTGAGTCCCGTAGCCCCCCATTGGACCCCGAGAGGGAAACCCGCCGCAGACCCAACAATGCCGGCTATCCCGGGGTTTGTCACCAGGTCTGAGCACACTCGAGACGACCAGAGGCGCAACTGCTGACTAACTGAAGACTGCGTGGTAAAGAGTGGAGTCTCTTCCCCCTCCCCCACCTCAAATTGCAAAACTACCATGTAGTGCAAGTCAAATGGTTTGGCGGGATTACATAAACAGGGACATTACGATAGCGCGGAGCTGGGTAGTGATTCTCGAGTCCATGTTTTGACAACGGCTCGCACGGATACACGTGGCAAACCAATTCGGTGTTGTCAAGTCTCCAATTCTCCAGATCGTCTGAATCACCGCACATTGTCCGAGCATTCCCGAACCCAGATGCTTACCTAGTGCAGAAAGTGAACCTGAAGCAGGGGCATGCGGCGAGGGTCCTCATGTCTGAGAATGCCGAACGCGCGGTGGAGCGTGGAGGTACTACACTAGTGTATATCGTCCAGTCACCAGTGGCTTGCGCAGGTTCGCACGATCTTTGTTTGTGAGCCTGCAAAAGCGATCCTACCTAATCCCTTGTGAAGCAGTTAGGTCCTTTTGTAGTGTAGTTATATCCGACGCCGTCTAAATTCAACGTCAAGCGAAGATGACTTGTACAAGATGGTTGGTCTTTAAATGAGACTCCATATATGTCTTATACGCTATAGATACTTTACCCATCGCTGATCCTCCGCGATTCGTTCTCACTTTTGCTGCTGTTGTTGCGTCGATACCCGTTTGCCCGTATGGAATTGCAGTGTCACTGGAGGCTCGAACCGTGAACTCACGGGCACGGAGTGGCGGGTGGCGGCGAGTTCCTGTGGACTCCCCTGCCGATTACGGAACCTTCTCAGCCCCTCGTCCACAGCTTCGGACAGCGCTCCCCTTGTCCGTTGTGCAATAATTGTAGTGTGGTAGCCTTGTGATCCTCAACCTATTGTACAGCGTGACAGCCTACCTCTTGACTACACTACACTACTTTCGGATCATCAGACGTTTGCCACTAGCCTGTATTATGCCTGTTTGACACATGGCCGAGCAGACATAGCCCTCGTTCTGTGCACGAAATGGCCGCCGATTGTCATGTACAACGATGATCAGATTACTACGGTCCTCTATCTAACGCAAGATCCATTTTGTTCGCTATTACCATAGAAATACAAACAACCTTCCCCGTTCTTTTGTTTACTTTTCCTGGGGTCCTGATCTCCCATTGTTTGTTCACGTTTTGTTACCGGCCGCAAATTTCTTGGAATCCCATATGATTATTTCTTTCACGATACCAGATTGCCAACCTGGAACGGGTCAATATACGATGCCGGTTTGCTAGACTGGAAAATGTCGATAAAAGATGCCAGCTTGCCTTCACTGAAACGTGTCGATAGGCTGAACATTCGGAAATTAGTCCACCTTGCTGGGACCTGGATCGGCCTCTTCTGCTTCGCATTGGTTTTTGGGCAAGTCTAAAAAGTCAAAGGCTACATGACGCATAGGGGGAAGGAAGGGGGGATGCCGGTTACTCTTTTCGTTCAGTTTGTCGATATCTCAAGTTCAGCTGAGATACCGTAGGCGGCAGAACTAGCCATAATATCAAGGAGTAGTGCCGTGTGCTTAATTAAAGCTAGCCGGTCCTTGAGCATTCGGATCGGGGTCCATATGGAGCTGGTAAAAGCTGTAAAATCTGGCCTCGGCCTTCTGGCGAGTGGGTTCGTCGAGTTCGCCCATGGCAACACCGTTCTCCTTACCACCGAGCTTGGCTTTAGTAATGACCGAGATCGACTGAGGTCTAGAATTCAAAGTTAGCATAAGTCTACTGGTGTCAAGCTCACTTTTGGGAGGAAAACCAGGACGTACCCATACAGTTCCCGGTCGAGGGCCAGAAATTCTTTCATGGCCTTCTTACCGCCACGGTCCTGCAAATAGTTCAGGTACACCTGACACAACTCTTGCTTGACAGCTGGGGACAGGCGACTTTTGCTGCGTATCATTTGGATGATGTCCTTGATCCTCGCGCCATGCTGTTCTTCAAGCTCAGCATTGGTGGGCTGGCCCAGCTCAAACTCCAGCCACTTTTGCCAGAAGTGGCGGCTGTCCGAATACCACTGGACGTTCTTGGAGAAACAAGCGCGGGCTTCCTCACTCGATCCCTTGACCTTCCACAAAAGATAAGCCCACTCGGTGACTAAAGCGGCCTTGGTAAAGATGTCCACTGTCGGGGAGTCAATCTGCGCCTTGTATATATCAATGGCGGCGTCCAGACCACTCTGGCGGCGCTGCAGGTTGGCCCACGAGACAATGGCCTCGACGCAATCGGGTAGCTTGTCAAGGATGGCCGCGTGGATGTCGCGGGCAACATCGATACGTCCGGACATCTCCTCGAAGTAGGCATACTGGAGCCGAATTCCCGGCCGACTAACCGGGACATACAGAGTCGTTGCGCGGAGGTAGATGTTGCGTACTTCCTCCTCCTTGCCTTCTTGTGCCGACATCCACCGAGCGTAGCGGAACCAAAACTCGTCGTAAAGAGCACAAGTGACCAAGCATCTCTCGTATAAGAACACAATTCTGCCGAAATTGCCCTCAGATTCCTCGAAGTCAAGATACTTGCGCCAGTTGGCTAGCTGCGCATGCTCAAGCTCTGTAATGTGGAAATAAGGTCGTTTGATCTCTGATTCAAAGGTCCAGCGCTTTGTGGTTTCGGCCTGTGTCTGCTGGAAAACCGTGTACAGCTGCGCATCGATCTTGGCCCGAATGTCACGCTCGATCTCGGGCTCACTCTTTTGGATCCCGTAGGGGGCATTCTCGGCTTCGACTTCCGCCCGGTAGCGGGCCAACGCATCGGCAGAAACTAACTCCAAAAGTGGACGTGTCTGAGCGAGGGTCCTGAGCCGCTCGAAGTAGCGCGCATATTGGTGCATCGGAATCCGAATGACCCGGTTCAGTATCGCGACGATCTTATCTTGTGCCTCTTGTCTCTCTTCGTACTCGAGGTACTTATCCCAGAAGGGGTGGGCGAGGAAGTCTAGGCCGACATGGGTAGCGCCGCGCTCGAAAAGCCTAAAGAAATGTCAATAGGTGCTACATGACTGAGGATGGGAGTGAGGGGCGGGAAGGGAAGGGAAGTACAAGAGGGGAAACTCGGTGTAAACGAAGCATCCATCCAAGGTGACCAAACTGTATCTCAGTGGCATACGCGAGCGGGGAACGGGTAATGAGGCAAGACGCGAACGAAGAATATCTGCCATGAAGAGCAGAGCCTGGTATGAATTGTGAGAGAACTGTTCCAGCATAGAATGGCTGCCTTGTGGTTGCTCTCACCGTGTTCGTACGGTCACGAATTCGTACTTGTCCCTCTCGAGTCGGCAAAGAGCCGCGCACGGCTTTGCAGTTTGCTGCGGGTAAGGTGGTCTTGAGGGGGGTGGGGACGGAAAGGATTTAAAAACTTACTCTCTCACGAGATGGGGTGTATGAGTAGTTTCCATCTTAAAGGAGCAATACTCTGTCCACAGGTCGACCGAATTGGTGATGCTAGCGCATCCTCGCTCATACACCTAGACATACCCATTAGAACCAGACCCATCAGCGAGAAGAGGGGCGGCTTAGGTTCGTACCATTTCGGCCGACTCGGGACCCGAGATGTTGAATTCGAGATCCGCATATTTTTTCCAGTAGCCAAACAGCAAGGGGAACTTTAGGAGGAATCGATCGTATGTGGCGCGGAGGGTAGCCAGAGCCTGCGGGCTCGAGTTCCTGTTGAGACCGCCTTCAAGCCCTTCGCAGGCGCGTACCAGTTTCTCCCAGTTCTCGAAGTTGTCGGTATCGGCATCCTGGATACGATTGAGATGGGCTCTGGTTAGCGAGTGAATATGATGCCCACAGCAGCGCCTATCTGCATCGACTTACCACCTCGGCGTTAAGCCTCTTGATTTCGGCGTTCTCCTCATCAGAGCCACCATAGTTGCTGAAGTCGCCCATTGTGGTCGATGATGCACGGCTGACGAGCGAGGCTGCTTCGTATGTTCCCAGATGTAAAGGTTACTGTTGGCTGAGGGTTACGACTATACTGGATATCGGTTGCGTTGCAGGTAGTGCAATTGCGATGGCGTATGAGTTTGTGACGATGGAGATGACGAGTGTTCGGGTTCCCTTCTGTGATAGAATACTAGTACAGTCCTGTGCATCCAAAAACTGGTTGCGAAATAGTGATGTTGACCGACGGTGAGCAAAAAAACGTGGAGACAACTGAAGAGACAGGGAAGTGGGCATGGAAGGCAGGAGCGGCGCGCGGGTCGACCTCCAAAGGAAGGCAAACCTCAAGCGACGGCAGGGGCATGCAACTGACGGAAAGCTGAGTGAGCTCGGCTGGGCGAGCTGGCAGGCTGGCAGGCCAGTGAAGCTGTCCACACCGCCCGCAACCCTGTCGGCCCGCAAGGCACTGACCCACTCGAAATGCAGCGAGCCTCCACCGTGGCCTTTGTCTAGCCAATCATACCTACCTATGATGCGGAACGATGGGGAGCTGGGTGCGATAAGATAAGATCCTGAGACCGCCGACCGAAGAATAAAATTGGCAAAGTTTTGCAAACGTCTGAATTTCTTCTTCTCTTCTTTTCTTCTATATGGCTAGTGATGATGACAAAACATAAAATTATGATAGGAAGAGGATGAATTCTCCCATAGAGGAGAGCATGATCTCACCATACGTTAATCTGAAGCCATCAACTGCACAAGCTTTCTTTTGGCCTTGCATGCTACTATTTTTTGTTATCTTCTCGTACTCCTCGTTTCAAAGTTGCTTATTCACCTCCAGCATCTTGCTAGCTGGCAACCATATCTTCTTTCCGTGTATCAGAGTGGTTTGTGGCCGCATTTTGTGAATCTACACCTCTCCGAGACCTTCAGAGACTTCCCAACTATTTTCAAGAACCACATGAAGTCGTCACTTGCTGCAAACTCAAAACTTGCTACGTACAGGAAAACTGTCAGCAAGCATACTCATTGGGAAGAGTTGAACACGTTGATGGTATCCGAGTATACCTGATGTCGTTGAGACGCATTGTATTGACCTCGGCCTTCAGGTTCGCAATAGTGGAATTTCTGTTGTCTTTCCATGCTCCCCTCCGTCAGTATAGTATGCATTGCCAAACCTAAAGTCGGGACCAAGGGTGCTTTTCCGCTCCTCGTAACATTGGGCTTTTACGCCTGTGGGTGTATGCGTCTGATTGTTCGACTGCATTCAACGATAAAGGCGCGCACCACAAACTCCCGTGCCTTGAGGTTCTTAGAGGTAGCTTCCTTGGTTGGGCCCCGCTCCAGGTATGTAGCAGGTATGTCCATATGTAGGTAGTGATGTGATTGCGGCTCCTTGCCTGTGGCAGGGCTGACAGCCTGGTGACGGGCCAGGGCATCGAGGTAGCGTAGTGGGAAGTGGAAGCTTTTTCGGCCCAGCAGTAGCGGAAAGTGGAGGCAGCTGAAAAGCAATGCTCGGGGGGCAAGGGGTGCCCCCAGACCGACACCTTGCCGCCGTCATCTGGCTGCTCTCCATCGTGTAGTTCATCCCGGAAGTCCCATCTGAGCGGCGGCGGTACCTTTCCACACCCGTTCTTGAAGACCACTCTTGCTGTCGTGCATACTTACGTCGATATCCAAGTTTCAAACCTAATCCAATACCTCTATCGCCTCTGTACGCCTCGGCACTCAGTAACACTGGCGGTTTCAAGTCGATAGCCACTTGCCTACACTACATCCTACCCACGAAAGCTATCGTCCTGCGACAATCTATCGCCAAAGCTGCTTGAGCTTTTCAGGCCGCACGTCTTGCCGGTATCTCATGCTGCTCCATTACTCGCTCTCAACATAGCAAGGTCGCTTGGGCCTACCGTTTTGCTTTCCGCTTACTCGCTCGAGCCTGATCAGAGTCGTCGACGTTGACCTCTACTATTCGAGAACAGCCCCCAGGAGCGTCGTACCAACTCGAAACTTCGCTGCCAGGTAGCCTCCACCGCGGAAGCGTCCACGAACCACGAAACCCATTTTGTGAAGGGTCTCGACATGGGAGCTCTAGCATACGCCAAACCTCCGCCATAATCAATTTGCATTCGAAGCAACTGCTACCGAAAATGGACTACAACAGTTCTACATCGTCTGCTCTTTGGGCGGGCCAATCGCCGTCTCTCGACAAGTCGAGCCAAATCCTCATCCGCGAATACCCTCACCGCGCGATCGCAATCGCCTCGGAATCCCACGCTCTCATTCTTCGACATAGTCAGAGCACAAGCGAAGCCATTGCCAATGGCTCTCTCGCCTCCGTTGCCTCCGCTCGTCCACGATCCGGCAGTTTCGACAACATGCCTTCCAAGTGTATGGTGGAATTCACACCGCGGACGGACAAGCTATTACTCGACTACCGTCCCTTGACATCACGGCCAATCTATGGGACACTGGGAATGATCTCAATCGGGCCGGACGTGTTCATCTGTGTCATCACCCAAGCCTCAAGGGTCGCTACTCTTCGTCCAGGAGAGACGGTGGAAAAGATAGAGAGTGTGCAGTTCTTCTGTCTGAACTCAGCAGCTTACGATGATGTTTTCATGCTAGATGTTCACGACGAATTGGATGCTGCGTCAGTATACGGCCAACCGCTGGGCCGGAGGGACCCAATGGAGCATCCATGTGTCGAGTTGCAGAAGCTTCTCAGTAACGGGACATTCTACTACAGCACAGACTTCGACATTACCAACCGCATGCAGGACAGACCAGCCGATGCCGTAACGTTTGATATCGACAATTTCGACGAGTCGTTTCTGTGGAACTCATACATGATCCGTCCGCTTGTGGAATTCCGCTCCAAGCTGCAGGAACAGGAACGAGATGCGTTGGATGCCTCGCGGATCCTGACGTCCGCGATTCGAGGCTTTTGTAGAACATGGGCCATTCCTCAGGCCTCAGCTCCTTTGAGGGCTGCCAAGACCGGTCTCCCTTCATACCTGACCATCATCTCGCGTCTGTCCTGTAAAAGGGCAGGCACAAGATTTAACTCACGGGGCATTGATGACGATGGAAATGTTGCAAATTTTGTGGAAACTGAGACGACGTACTGGAGCCCTTCAGGCGTTGTGTTCTCATATGCTCAAGTACGCGGCTCGGTTCCAGTCTTTTGGGAACAGCAAGCAGGGCTGCTCCCAAACCAGCAGAAGATAACCATCACACGATCACCGGACGGAACGCAACCGGCATTCAACAAACACTTCTCTGATCTGGAGCAGGCATATGGTGCTGTCCATGTGATAAACCTACTCAGCGTGTCGAAGCCAGGAGAGTATGAATTGACGTCGTTGTACCGTGCTGGTATTCGGAACTGCCCCCTTAGCCGGCCAGAGGAGGGACAGTCACGCGATCATGCTCTCCTTAGAGCTACCGAGTACGACTTCCATGCTGAGACAAAGGGACCCCAAGGTTATGAGGCAGCAAATGAGATCAGGCGTTATCTGGAGGGCTCGGCCGACGGCTTCGCATATTACCTGGCCCACGAGGCGGATGACGGCGAAGAGAGGGCGGGGTCCGATAGTACATCTCCGCCTGGCCAAAGCCGCTATGTGGTCGTGCTACAACAAGAAGGTGTTTTCAGAACAAACTGTCTGGATTGTCTCGACAGAACGAACCTTATTCAGACGATAGTATCACAAATGGCGGTAGAGACTTTCTTAGGCCATCAAGGCGAGGGTGCTGCGTCGGACTTTTGGTCACGACATGCCAATCTGTGGGCTGATAACGGTGATGCTCTGTCCCGTATATATGCCGGCACCGGTGCTTTGAAGAGTTCCTTCACTCGGTCAGGCAAAATGTCTCTTGCCGGAGCTATCGCCGACGTCCGCAAGTCGGCTACCCGACTATATGTGAATAACTTCACGGACAAACAACGACAGATGACCATTGATACACTTCTTGGCAGAATGATTGGTCAGGGGCCAGTTCATCTATATGACCCTATCAGTGATTACGTGTCTATGGAACTACAACGGCGAAGCAACGAGTTCTCCACAAATGAAAAGATTCGGATGTAAGTTTGACCTATGTCGATTTGGTGTCGCACGATGCTGATGTAAACAGTTTAATCGGAACTTTCAACCTGAACGGCAAGACCGACGGTATCGACGAAGACTTGTCGTCTTGGCTTTGTCCCTCCGAACTGGGCAATGCTCAACCCGAAATTGTTGCGATCGGGTTCCAAGAAATCGTCGAACTTAATCCGCAGCAGATTATGAACAGTGATCCAACGAGAAAGCAGTTGTGGGAACGTGCGATAAAGGCTACTCTGGATCGACACTACAACAGAGCTGATGATGAGAAATACGTGTTGTTGAGAAGTGGCCAGCTCGTGGGTGCCGCATTGTGCATTTTCGTCAAGGCCTCTGCTCTCCAAAACATCAAAAATGTCGAAGGCAGTGTCAAAAAGACAGGTCTTTCGGGCATGGCCGGAAACAAAGGAGCTGTTGCGATCAGGCTTGATTATGCAAACACACCGATATGCTTCGTGACAGCCCATCTTGCTGCCGGTTTTACCAACTACGAGGAGCGCAATAGAGATTATACCACCATCAATCACGGCCTCCGATTCCAAAGAAATAGAGGGATTGACGATCATGGTAAGCTGACCACCCACACAAACTGGCGGACATGACTGATATCTGTAGAATCTGTCATATGGTTTGGGGACTTCAACTATCGCATTGGACTGAACCTCGAAACCGCCAAGGACCTGGTCAGGAAAGGAGCTCTTGAGGAACTATATGCGAACGACCAGGTGGGTCACCCAATCGCTGCGCCTTTGAGAAGTTGAGCTGACCCCTTGCAGTTAAATCTACAAATGGTGGCCGGGCTTGCGTTCCACTACTATTCTGAGGCACGTATCACGTTTAACCCTACGTATAAATATGACATTGGTACCGACACCTTTGATACATCGTAAGTCCAACTGTTTGAGATTCGCAACGACCATGGCTTCTAAGAATCTACACAGGGAGAAAGCACGTATACCGGCGTGGACGGACCGCATTCTAAGGAAAGGTCACAACCTCCGCCAGTTGTGTTACAACTCAGCGCCATTGCGATTTTCAGACCACCGGCCAGTATATGCCGTCTTCGAATGCACCGTCAACATTGTGAACGAGAGAATTCGCAACAAGATCAGTCGTGAGATATATGAACGCAGGAAAGCAGATATTGGCGGCGACATGACCAACTTGGCTGGGGATCAGTCCGACGACGAGGATTTAATTGGATACGATGCCATCGAGCCTGGCCTCCCCCCAGCCAGCTCCGATCGACAGAAATGGTGGTTAGAGAATGGCAAGATGCCCCGATCAGCCATCCAACCACCAAAACCCGAGAGCCCCGCCTTCCAGACTATTCTAAATCCCAAAAGGCCAGCCAACCCTTACATGCCCACTGACGAACCTGACTGGGTCAATATTCCGAGATCTGAGTCAAGACTTTCCTCCTTCTCGAGTCTCTCAACATCACCGTTTGAACATGTCAACCATTCGATGCTGCTCTCTACTTCGGCGTCAAATTCGGCACCGAGAAGACCTCTCCCTCCTCCATTTGATCCATCGAACCTTCCTGCAAAGGTTGGGCGGTTGCAACTCAACGAAGATGGGAAGAACGGCAAGTCCGATACTCCTCCACCACCCCCTCCTCCACGAAGGCAGACCGGTATGGGTGCTCTAGGATCCACATCGGGACCTGGCATGACCACTTCACCAGTGACTAGGAAGCTTGCAAATACGGCAGCGACAGCAGGAGCAGGACCAACACAAGCAACAGCCACACCACCACTCCCGATGCGCTCGATGTCTGTATCGTCTGAACACACCATTAAGCAGAAAGCTGCGCCACCGGTAGCCAAGAAACCTGCCCACTTGGCAGCACTATCATCACCTGAGTCCAACACCTCGGCACCTGTGCCTATCGAGGACATGATGACACTCAGTAAATGGAAGCCTCTCCAGCCAGAGTGTTCTCCGAACCCGCCTCTCTCAGGATTACGAGGATCCTTGGCCAACGGAAGTTCCACGTCTCTATCTTCACTCAAAGATAGAACTGGGGATAGCAGCGTACCGCTGCAGCCATCTCGGGGCGTCAATACAAGCACGGGAGTTGCGCCTCAGGCACGGTACACGCCACCTGGAGGTGTAGGTCTCGTCGGGATGGCCGATCTTCGGCAAAAGACACAGGTTCCAGGACGAAAGCCTGTGCCTATGTCTGCGCTTGCGCCAGGGCCAGCACTTGTTCAGAAGGCGACGAAGCCTGAGGCGCCGCAGCCGCCTCCGCCTAGGAAATCACATACTGTCAATCTTCTGGATGATGATGACAGTAATGGCATTCAGATGGGAGGGTGGCAGGCACTGAAACCTTCATGAAGGAAGGACCGCACGGGTCCACAGGACTTGAACCGAGGTAATAGGTTTTTGAATAAGGATTATGTCAGTAGTTTTGAACAGCTTTTGGCTATAGACAAAGAAGCATGAGGCGCGCATACATTATATACGTCAAACACTTCCTATTGCTAGGCTTTGTTTCTTCGGATGAGGCGGGAAAAACAATCGGACATGAAGTGCATGCTGAGATGGAATCATAACAGCCTCCTGAATACGCCTAGAGGGACATGGCAGCAAAGTAAGCCAACTTGTGCAGCGGGATCGGGTCGATCAGGACATGTAATCCGATGTCCTCTCAAGAGCGTAGATGGACATATCCTCACTTCCGCTGGCGTCCTTCAATGCACGTACGATGATGCTGATATCAATTCTCGTTAGATGAGCTCGCGAGGGCAATCAAGATAATCGATGGAGCCGATGGAGTGGCTGTACACTACACTGCAGCATATGTCAAACGCTTCGGAGGATACCTACGCGGGTGATCAGGTGAGTGGACGTGATGGCTGATGACCGACCGGGGTCGAAGACTTCAATGCTCTGCTTCAACACAACAAGGGGGTGCCAAGACAGAGCCACACAGTACCGGCAAATCTGCCGCGGTGATCACGACGAAAACACCGTGAGATCCAGGCAGAGTCGCCAAATTGACAGTGTGATGATGTCTGGGTGGACACTGTATTTGTGCCAACACTGCAAGGACGCACGAGTGAACGTTTAGCGAAGGGTACACTGACATGTACGTCATAGCACATGCCATGTTCCTGTGTCTTGCATCGCTCTTCCAGGGCTTCTGCAATTCGATGGGCGGAGTGGACGAGTGACCGACCAGAGTGAGTGAGTGACCACCGAGCGCCTGCTTTTTTTTTTTTTTCTGTTTTAGTGCACATAATGTCTTGGTTGTCAACAGCACTCGCCCGCCCAAGCACACACACCGTCTCGTACACGATGACCCTCTTAGTGCCTTGCCCCTATCCCGGATGATCCCACCCTTCATGTGGAAAAATAGGAAGCGACGGCGGCTGCTATGGAAAAGGATACAAATAAGCGACAGTCCATCATCCAACCTTGGTACCCACCCAAGCCCGAAACCAACCTGGAAAAGCGTCTGAACGCCGAAGCGGCAGAGCTTGTCGAGGAATGCCAAACCGAGACTAAAAACTAACGACCCAACCACTTAGACAGTAGATTAAACTCCTCTTTCAAATCCCGGACATTTTAGGTCCAAAGACAGGGGGTCTGGGAGGGTTCATCCGAGTCAGGTTATCCGGTCGTGTCAAGTCACAAATCGCGGTTCCTTTCTCCGTCCAATCGGAATTCCCTTTTGGTGCCTTCCCAGTTAACGTACTCGTCTGGGCTAGAAACGCCTCACAGACCCATTGCGTAGTAATAGGTCTGGCAGATGGATTCGCGAATGTAGATGGATTTGCGAAAAAATCCAGGTATATAGTAACTCTACAAATTTATTAGCAAATCAAAGTACAACTGCTTTTTTGTATACCCACCATAAGCGATTCAACTTACACGACCGCCTGAAGCTATTATAAACTACTAAATCTCGATTTAGGAGTTCTAATATTTAGTATAAAATAATACAATTAATATAACTAATATAAATTTGACTGGCTAGTTTACTACCTTCTAACGTATTGAATAGCGTACGGGGTATAATTAGTGGCCAGTCTAGTTGTTCGTAGCCGTTTAGTAACTTCGCCTATCGCTTTCTGATATTTAGATCTTAATATATATACCCCCGTTAATCCGGTTACTTTATCGTAAAATTATATATAATAGAGCCCGTTAGTAACCTTCTCGCCAGTCTTTTAAATAAATAGCATATCGATTTCGCTATCGGCGTATTAAGGGATAGAAAGTTTAAGACGGTCGTAGCTATAGTACGAATTTATAGCGCTAGCTACTATACTACCGTAAGTCGGTTGAAGGGCGCTAAACTATAGTTATAAAATAGCAGAATAAAGAAGTTAATTAAAGAGGAGGAGCTCGTATTATTTATTTAAATAAATATATAAATATTTATCAGTTTGTAATAATTTATAATAATTATCTACAATTAACGTTACTTATTAGTTAATTATTTTAATATTTAAATAGGGTGTAAAATTATAAATTAGGAGATTATATACGTAATGAAATAGTTTACTCGATCTAACGGCCGTAAGATCGATATTAATTAGTAATAGGTTTATATATTTATAATCTAATTAAAGTTCAAATCCGTACATACAAAGTCGCTAGCGTAGGTATATAAAATTATACAATCTCGAATTAGTATAGAGGAGGTGTTTAAACTATAGTAAGAGACGGTTAATAAGAATAGTATTATACTAAATAATATATAGAATAGAGATAAATCTAGATCTAGAATTAGAGTATAATTTAAATTTTATACTATTTAGTTGTATATTGAAATACTAACGATATATACCCTAAATCCAGACGTTTGTAAGTTAGTAACAATAATTGAGTATATTTTTGCTTCTAACTATATAGTCCCTACGTTTATTATTTTCCTTAGTATAAATATTAGTAAGAATTATATTAATAACTAATTAAATAGTTATTCTATTATTATTACATCCCTAAGTAATTATATTAATAATTAATTTGCCTTCGATTAGTTTAATTATTGGGAGGAGTATTCTTATTCTATTAATAAGGAGGAGAAACGTTTCTTATTATTAGATAATTACAATAGTTATTATACAATTAAATTCTATTAGCGATACTAACGAAATAAGGTTATTCTCTTTTTATTACCCTTTTATTCGATTTATATCTTTTAACTATTTAATATTAGAGTATTTTAAGTATATAAGTATTACTATCAAAAAGATATATTTAATATAATAACGTATAGTAATATAGAATATATTAAATTTACTTTTTTAGATAGATTATTTTATATTAGAAGCGAATCTTTCGAATAATTGACTATTAGATTTATATAGGTAAAGATTAATTTTTACCTATATAAGCCGTTTATTATATTTAATAAACTATAAAACCCCCTTATATTAGTAACTAACCCGGATATTTTAAAAAGAAAGAAGGGGTATATTACAACTAAAAACGACAAGGGTTGGCTTAAATCAAAGGAGATTATAGATAATCGAACTCTATTAAAGGTATAAGAGAAGGAAAAGGAACCTATAGACTTAGTATTATACTAATAATTCGAAAGCTATAGTACTAAAGATCCTTATAAGAGTTATAGTATTACAATACCCCTACAAGTACTAAAGTCTAAAAAGGATTAGATAGCGGTAATAATTCCTTCTCTTAATATAGTTATAATATTAAAGTACAATATATACGTTTAATAAGGGTTACTTAAATTTATTATAGTAAAGACGCCCCTCAATCTAGTTACTAAGTATATTATATTTAAGAGAGATAAATCTATTAAAGTAATTGTATTAATAGGGGTTACTAATATAGAAGTATAGTAGTATAAAAAGTAGCGGTAATTAGAGGAGGTAATTTAGAGAGAGAATTATATAATTAACTATCTCGTTACTCGCGTTAGTCCTATTAAGGTTAGTAATACTCGTCTTTATATAATAGTAAACGAGTATTATAGAGTTAAGCTACGTAATAGAGAGAAGTAATACTAATATAAGAAAGATTTTGATATTGAACGTATTGCCCTTAGAAGGTAGTTAAGTGTGTATAAAACTAAGTAATAGAATAAAACCTAGAATAAGAGGGTAGAGTTACGGCTTGTAGGCAAATTACGTATAGATTAGAATATAGTAATTAACTTTATTTTAGATAAAATTAAAGATTAGACTCAATTGTTAGATTAGTACTAATCTATACAGCGAGTACGATGGGAATACTTCTTAGAAGTAAAATGAAAGGCTATTTAAATAGAGGCTACGCGGTTGGGTAAATCGGAGAAGGATATAGTCCTTCCCTTCTATTAGGCGCCGCTGGGTAATTATCCGAAACTAATAATACTATAAATTTATAACGAACCTATTTAAACTATCGTTGAGGAGGTTATTACTACCTTTATTATAGGTAAGGAATTAACTATTAAGGTTAAAGATAATAAGCTCCCTCTACTTAAAGAAGAGGAGGATAAGGATTAGTCTTATAGACCAATATAGGAAGAATATATTAAGGCGCTGCGCAAGGTTGATACTGGTATATATTACTATAGACCGGGCTATAGTTGGGAGTTACCTAGTTCTAATCCAGTTGAAGAATAGGACTTTAGTATACAGTTAGATTTTACGATGGAGGATTTAGTAGTAGAGGTTCAAGGTAGTAATAGCGGGGATAATAATATCAACCTTACTTTGTTGAATTGCTAGTCGAATATAAGGATATTTGATAGGTTAAGCGATATTATATGCGTGAATGCAGGAATTTTTACGATAATGGTAAAATATGGTCGTACTGCTAATTTGTATGGGTGGGGAAGTACTAAAATTTTCGCGAATCCATCTGCATTCGCGAATCTATCTGCCTGACCCCGTGCTTGCACGGGGTCAAACTGGGCGCTTCTAGCCCTGACGAGTACCTCTACTTTCCTTTCCAACCTTGTCGGCCTCCCGCCTTCTGGCACTTTTCAAACTTCAACGAGGCTCGATCTTTTGCAACTCCTACCGGGTCGCACCGAGACGCGGTTCCGCTTTTCACTCAGACCCTCACTCATCCCGCCATTCTATACACTACTTGCTTGCGTCGAATGACGGGAATATCGAGTCGATTGATTCCACCCATCATTCCAATTTCCGTAGGTGCAGGGCAGTGCATCGCAGCATACCTAACGCAGCGCCAGCGGTTGCAGGGTCGTGTGCGATCTCAACCCCATCTTTGCATCTTCCCAGTCCCAGTCATATCAGTTCTCCCCCCCCAGCGGGCGGGCTCCAGCTTGCTAGAGGTCCGGCAGCCAGGCACCCTCTCAGCTGCTCTCCATCCATTAGATCGTGACCCAACAGACCCCATCTCTCATCAAACCGGAAGGGGGCATTCCACACCGCCGTCACGGGCCACGGTCGACCAAGGACGACCAAGAACGAGAAAGCGGGCTCCTCTAGCTCCGCAAAACCAATCCCAACTTGAAGACTGACTGGCGACTCCCTCGAGCGATTTACCATGATGATAGCGACTTTCAGCTGATCACCTAGTTCGCCCTGTCCGCTTTCGCTCTCGTTCAAGTCATCAATGCCCTAGAGCCCCATTCTTCATACCTTCTTTTTGCCGACTCCGAAGTCCCAAAAAGTCGGGGATACACCCACGTTTAAATCTTGAAAACCTCAAATTCTCTTATTGCGCACAAGATGGCAGCTACCAGGAAGTAAACGTCGTCTGCCTCTCTATCTTTCGTCCGGCCAACCTGGAACCCGAGCATTTGGGTCATGCCGAGGGAGGAAAACAACCGATTCTTCACTCTCTATTCGCTTTGGCCTGTTTGATCAACGTCGCAGCACCTCAGCCACGATTGCTCACTTGGGCCGTTGTCGAATTGACGATACAATCTGTGAGCTTTGTACTGGCGATTCAGATTGCTGCTTGCGTCACAAGCAGTCGCAACTCCCTCACCATCATCGTTCGGTTTTGACGACATAAACGCAAGCACCGCGGAGTGGCCGTACAGGTTTATACATTGCATATCACGGCACGAGTGCAGATCAACGACATCGAGGGGCAGAGAGATTGGTTGGGTTTGTTTGTTTGCTCTCATCACAAGCATAATCTTCCATCATCATATCGACCTGGACGACTTTCCCTGCCGACAGTCACATCAAACTGTGCATCTACTGTTATTGCGCCATCTCCATCAATCTCTGAATTCCGCCTATACCGAATTTGCCACGTACTTATTCGTCGATCCAGTCGAGCCCTCTTGCGACCTCATCTATCATACGATCAAGCACCATACGATTGCCCCAAAGAACTACATCACAGTTCATTTGCGAGATCTAGTGTTTATTCGGACCAACCCTAACCCACTCTCTTCCCGGTTGGCAGATCATACATCCCTGATCTTGAATGCCCATCTCCCTATCGGTAGCCGACCATCGCAGATCGACCAACGACGAAAAGCGACAATGAACCACTCTTACAGAGCCGTGTCCTCACCGGGAAGGCTTTCGATGCCCAGCCCCGCTGCTCCCCTCGCCCTTTCAGATTTCATTCTCCAAAGACCACTCTCGCCATATTCCTTTGCTTACGATGGACAAGCGGCTGCAAGCCCAGACGCTACCTTGGCCGAAGGCGACCACCAATCGTCGCAGCCCCAGCTACTAGGCGAAACAAGCAGAACGAGATCAGCAGCAACAGTACCGATGGCCAAGCTAGGAGGTGATAGTCCGGCCAAGTATCCGGGACTTTCAACCGTCTCGATTGGTGCCCCAAGTCCAAGTCAGGAAGCTGTACGGAAGGAAGAAGGAACATCGGAATCTCTGTCAACAACGACACCCTTGGAGTCTCCACCGCCCGTAACGGCTCAGAACTGGTTGGCGACACGTCAACAAATCATACCCGGGCGCAATGTCAAGAAGGCTGACTGGATCCGGGGATGGAGCGAGTCTGTCGTTAACCTTGGGAATACGACATATTGTTGCTGCTCAGAAAGCTTCACGGCCAGGGGCCGCGGATGGAAGGGCAAAGGGGGTGATCTCACGAGCGGGGTGCGAGCCATTCTGCCGGTTACTAGATCCTCCTCTGGCGGCCTTGACACCGCAGTGAGTATGTGTCGCAATTGTCATCGCCCAGCTTCGCCGACCCCCGCAACAGGAGATTTCGGCCCGCTCAATGTTGACGAGCCAGAAGAGAAGGTTGGACGGAGCACGCGAACAGAGTTCACTCGGAGACTCGGTGGACTTCTTCGCCGGGTCATGCCCAGTCGAAGTGACAGCGACCGCCAGGTATCACAGAAGCATTTGGACCGAAATCTCACCGCCAGGTCGACGCCCGTGAGCGGCGCCTACGGTAACAGACAGCAGAAGGCCACGGCGCCCCCAGTCAGACCATCGCGTCTGTCCGGTTTCAGTGCTATAATATCGAAGGAAGCCCCTGATAATCAACCGAAGATGACAAAGAATTCGTGGTCAACAACTCCAAGACAGCCAGCCGTGTTGAATGGCACTCGCGGAGGCCATAACCAGCTGCAGTCAGAATCAGACGACGAGTCGAGCGATTCCGATGACCCTCGGGCAAAGATCGGATTGAAAGTCAGCTATGCACGTCTGCAGCGGGCAGCGAAACTGTTGGAGCGCAACAAGTCATGACGGACATATCATGACGGATTGGAGAGATAAACATCGGCCGGGTCTGATGTCAGATGCAGCGGGCCCGGTGGTGGTGTTTATCTTGAATCAGGAAGGAGTTTCGGGCCTGAAGAACAATGCAGCATAGCTTCATCCATACATCTACCGGGCGAGAGCGAACTAGAAGCGGAGAAATATAGACAGCACACAGCATACATGGGGTTAATACGGCGCAAATTGGGGTAATGCTCTTTTCTGGGGTGTTTGTTGGTCCACCAAGCTAAGATGGATGTGCTTTGTGTGCAGGAAGACGTGGAAGGTAGCATCAGGAGGTCGGCATTTTGGAGAGGGGTGGAATGCGTGAAGGAATTCATGGGTGGCCGATGAAGGAGCTTGGGATATATAACGGCGTATGCACACTCGGGATGAACAATCCACGAGTGTCGTCTCTTAATTTGTCTTTTGAGTATTGGTAAGGAAGAAGGGAAATTGTTTAGTTGTTCGGCTGGCTGGTTCGGGCTGGTTTTGATACCCCTGTTCATTCAATGCATACATATGGCATAGGTATATGGGAAAGGGAATGTTGCATTGTTGTTAGCATGTCAGATGGAGGAAGGACAATGTACTGTACTGACTGACTGCATTACACAAACCCTGTACTAACATCACGGTTACATGGAGATAATTACGTTTACGCTTTTAACTTGCCCCCGAGAACGCTTGGCTCATTGTTTGGGACGCTTATATCTGTGTACAGAGCGTGGTGGTCTGTGATGACGTCTAACATGGATTATCTCAAGTGAAGTATGTACGGATTGCTGAGCAGCTATAATGATGATCTAAGAAGTAGCAAGTAAATACCTCTTTAAAAACATGAAAGAGCAAGACGATTTGACACTTCTGGAAATGCTCCTTCTCTTCTGTGATTCTCCGTGTTTGCTGTCGAAGTAGAGGACTCGTAACAGGTTATAGCGAGATGACTGAGCAGAGATTGAAGGACTATGACTTGTGTGTGTACATAATATGAGAACGAGAGTGTAAGTAGACAGTGGACGTTGAATTAACTGGATGCAGACTCGTTCCTTTTTTCACTACAGTAAAAGACCTTATCAAGGAGCCTAAGTCAAGGTGAGAGTATTGGTAAAGAGGTTATAACTAGGTGCTAATCCACTCAGATATGTCTCTTCTTCTCCCTTTCTTAAATGTCCACTTGTCAGGTCTGAAAATGCCTTCTTCCCTTTCCCAACTGAATAGATTCAGGCGGATTGATCCCCACAGTGTATATTGCATAAATATGTAGTTGATTCCTCAGACTTCTAGGCTCATAGTTGTCTGAAGAAAAGAAGTGCAACTGAAAAGGATGTGAAAGAATTTATTTATCAAAAAAAAAAAAATACTAACTCTGTTTCCAATGCGAGTTAGAGATTGCGGATCCAGTCAGTATCGATGCAATGACTACCTAGGTACCTTGAAACCCAATCGTGAAAACACTTGCGAAGTTTAAATAAAAGAGGACTGACTTGCTATGCGTTATAGGGGATTGAAGTCTGATAACCCTACCTACCTTTAACTCCTTTTGGGGATATCCAACTATACTGTAAAGATCAATCTGCCTGACCGTATAGCAAGTCATAGGGAAGATTGTGATTTCATACCTGACAGGTAGTTTAGCTATCTCCTGCCTTTTCCCTCTTCTATCCTGTCCTGCCCTTCCACCATCGATCGATCGTACCACAATTGCAAAGATAGAAGTTAGGAGTCAAGTGAGTAAAACTATGCACTGACGGCGATTCAGTCGCTGTCTCAAGTCCACAATCAGTTGAAGAGCTTTTGACAAAGTGAAACGAATGACCATGTAACCAAAAGAAAACTATTAGATACCGTGCCACGAGCCTCCAAGCTGGTACATAAACCAGAGCAAGATTACCTAGTTGACTACCACTGTTCAACTTATCTAGCCCAGACGGCATATAGACCAAGACCAGAAGGAAGAGACAATGAGCGACGAGTGAGCTGTGCTGATTGTCCCTATGTAATTAATTACCTGGTAAAGATTCCCGAGTTATGTCTGAGCTTCTTGATCCGCCGCGCAATACCGATGTTTAACCATCCTTCTAAAATTGCGGTAAATCACGTCGTTCATGCGTTACCCTCTCTTGGATGTGAAAAGGCATTGTACAACATCGACATTGACCATGGAGATCCTATTATTATATTTCATATCTGCCTCATCTGTAAGTGCGGGTTGGGACAAATATCAGCGTATCGTTTTTCTCCATGGCCGTCTTAGGGACAGGAAAGATATGCAGCAACCAGCTCACATCTCACATCTTGAACTTCGGCCCGTGGACTTGGGATTGACTGAACTGGAAGAGCCGTTGGTAGTGTCACGAGGACGGTTGCAATCGATGGGCGGGCTCTATCTCAAAGTGAGTGACTGAAGATAAACGCCCTGCGTTCAAGAAAACCTCTTTAAACAAATCGAAGGGCGAAAACCGGTTGAAAACCACCCATTTCTACTTGGTGTTCTGACGACGTTCTCCGTAGCATCCGTTCGTCGACGTCCCTGAGCCATGATGGCACATGGCGATAAAGTCGAATGTAGGATCCGCAATCACAGAACCATGATACGTATTGTACCACAATTGAAACAACGACAAGACGCCTAGACTCGTCAAAAGAACAAGATAGGGCCATCCGATGTTCGCTTTTCGTCACGAATTGTATCAACCCTCACGTTAGATAGAAGTAGTTTTTCTTTGGACTGGAGCGTATCGTGACATGGCTGCCTGTGCCTTATGTCACCATCACCACAACCTCGCGCTAGATTCAGCTCCCTTGAAGCTTTGGTTGTCGCTCGCAATCTCATTGTTGGAGTCGCGTGACGACTGACCTAAAACAGGGGAGGGGGTTAAACATGGTTCCCAGTCTGTCCAACGAATTAACAGCCAAGCCGTGGCAGTTGGCGTAGTGTATGTAGAGCCATGGAGGGGTTTATAGCCAGGCCATCAGCAAGAGGATGGTCTTTTTAAGGGGGGGCAGGTGGGCGGGTGTACAATACACTACAAGACTGTTGTGTTGTTAGTTTGGTTCTTCTGACGGGGCAGAACAAGGGTAGAATAAGGCTAATCTGAGGACCTCATTGGCCTTAGGAAGATACCTAATAACTCGTCCCCGTTTGTAGAGGTTCAACAATGATCAGGATTCTCAACGCTACAAAAGTATTTTTCAGCCCCCTCCAAAGCTTCCGGAGTTAACTTACAGCATCTACATAGTATCCGCGAGACTCTCGACAGCTTTCCCAAGTTTAGTAGGCTTTTGGCTCTTCTGTACCAAACTAACAAACAAACCAGGGCTGGATTACATGCTGCCAAGTAGTATGTATGGTAGGGATCATTAGGGGTTGTTTAGGGGTCCCTGATGATCTTGTGAGGGACAAGGCCAGGGTGATGAGCGAGGGAGATCCGAACTGGGTACAGTGGCCGCCGTAAAAAAACGCCCCGTTCAAAATCCATGCATTTCCCTGGCCACCACCCCCCTTCTTTCTAAGTACACCACAACCACAATTCTTAGTAAAAATGGCCAAAAGCTGGTTATCAGGTACTTAAGACGATAAGGAATAAAATGGTATAATTCAATATTTAGTGTACCACCCTTTGGCAGCTATAACCGCCTGCACCCGGTTTGGTACCGAATCTATCAACTTATCTACTACCCCTATTTCTAAGTCTAACCAAACCTTCGTTGCTGCATCAATAAGTAAATCCAATATCTTATCATTTCAAGACATAGTTAATAATTCTGGAAACCCCTTTGCTATCCCTTCCTTTAGTAAACTCTATAGATTTTCGATAGGGTTAAAGTTAGGTAAATAAGGTAGCTATATTAGAACTTCAAACCTCATCTCCTCGAACCATTCCATTACCAATTTTAACTTATGAATAGGAGTATTATCTTGTATAAAGATAAGCCCCGGTTCTATTAGCTTAGGAAGCTCTTCCTCAAGAATTTTCTTATAAACTCGAGCAATTACTCCATTCCTTTTAGCGTCGGGGTCTCCAGGGCAAACCACCAGCTCACTCTTCACCCTATACTAAATTGCACCCCAAAACATTTAAAATAGACGGCTATTCTTATACCTGGCTTAGATATAAGGGGCATCCACAGCTAAAGAGTCTAAAAAGAATGAAAAGTATTAATATTTGGAAGAGAAAAAGAGAAATAAAAGAAATGTATTATTTACCTTTAGGGCAGAAAACCCAAAGCCTTTTTCCACCTCTTCCTTTCTCTATAGTAAACTCATTAGAAAAAACCACAATCCTCTAAAAGGATATATCTTTATCCTCGTACTCAAAGGCCCAAGTATATTGAATACTAGCTACATCAGCGGAAAGATATAGGCGAATAACAGCGAAGTGGTGTTTGATGCCCTCTTTCTTTAGGTAGGTGGAAAGATAGGTCTTTCTAATATAAGGGGCTGCGATTTTTCTCAAACTTTCGAACTAAATAAAAGGATCTTTGGCAACTTCTTATAGAATCGCTCTCCTATCTCTCTCATTTATCTTCGGTGGTCGTCCACGGCCTAGTCTTGAGACCCCCTAATCTTAGAGTCGGAAGCGCTTTACTACACCTTTTACGTACTCGGGCGTCACTCCTTCATGTACAGCGATAGTTCGAAGCGAGAGCCCATTAGAATACCTTACTACAATCCGGTTCCTCCGACGAGGAGTTGAATGCTTAAATTTTGCCTTTTTGATAGGGGATGACGGAATGACGGCCATTTGAATTATTGGTGTTGAAAAAGGGAAGTTGGGAAATCGGGCTCAAATGCGGGGTTTTGAGGGTGCGGGGCGTTTATTTGTGGCACCAATTGTACCAACAACTGCTCGACCACAGAGGATGTAGATCCGGTCTGATAGATTGGTCCCTGACCAACATAAAAGATAACGACTAAGTAACCATCAGCCGTTCGGTCTCGCCAAACACAACATCCAAGGATGTCTGCTGCGAAGGGGGGTTGTAACACAGGGCTATGTTGTGTACACTGGCTGTGACTGGATGACTGGATGTATTGCATGATCTCGAGGTTTGTCCATGCCAGAGCTTGGGAAGTATATACACCAACAGGACTGCCTCATATATCTCCATAGCCGTGGGGGGGGAGGAGGAGGAGGGGGAAGCAGCAAATGGAGGGGGCAGGAAGCAGAGCTTTGAGATCGAGATGTCCAGTAGTGAAGAGTAGGTGCACTACCAACCTCAAGGTATACGTAGCGGGGCGCAACGGGAGCGGGAGGTTAGCGTTTGGTGAGCAACCCGCCCGGAGAAGGCTCGCAGTCTTCTAGCCGTTTCCATGTTCCCTCCTTTTGCACCCAGTTTCTGCCCAGGAAATGATCGCTGGCCTAACAAAGTTGGAAACGGCCAGAGGACACTGGCCAGGTGCCGCGAAGACCCCACTCTGTCGCTCGCTTCCGAACAATGATACGTACATGCCCGATGGAACGACTGGGACTTGTAGATAGCCTCAGAACCAGAATTGTTGGCCCATTGTCGTGACAGGTCCATTAGATGGAGCGTATTTGGGCAACGATTCTGGACTCATATTATCATTCCTTTTCCTGCCAGGTGATATGAAGACGATAACATGGAAGCCTGAGAAGGAGGAGGATGAGCAGCCGGAGCGAGAGGATCGATTGCCGCCGATGAGACAGGCGCATGAGAGCAAGCGCACAGGCCAAAGGGTACTTGATAGGGGGTTACTTATTGGTTGAGGTAAATTGGAAAATTGGCCTGCATTCTAGCATTGGCACGAGACAACGTGTGCCATGCGGTGACAAAGAGGCAGCGAATTGGGAACTCCCTGGTGGTGCTAGTTCCGGGAAGATGAGGGAGGGGCTGCCGATGGCGGGGCTCTGAGTCAAGGTTCCAAAGACTCCAAACAGAGCACGCCGTCCTTATCCCGATATCCTGCTGGGCCGCTATCCGGATGTGTGCAAGACATGGCAAGATGCAACTGCTGCACATGGAAACGCCGGGCTTGACTAGCGAAGACGTCGACGACGCCGTCGACCGCAATTCTCTGGTCGTGTCAGCCTGGCCAACATGGGGAATAGGGATAAATGGCCAAGACAACCAACCCATGGTGACAGGAATCCGCCGCGGTGGATGGCAAGTGGACTCTTGAGACATTCCTGCCAATGTAGTGTATAGGTAAGGTAATAAGGTAATATTAGAAATGTGACATTTTGAGCCGCCGCCTGGCTCCCGGTGGACAACACACCAATGGTCAAGAAGGATAAATGAGGCTTCAGAGAACTTCACCTCGGGGTGGGGGCGACATTCCAGAGCGTGATACATATCATGGACTCCAAGTATGCAAAGAGGTTGCAAATGCAAACAGCTCGCGAGCCTACCGAGGTACAAGCTGAGGCCCATCTGTAAACGTGAGAAAGGGTGAAAGGGTAGCACATAACAAACTCCAGCTTGCGGGTTGTTGTGTAGTCGAACGAAGCATGCCACGCCATGGATCGGGGTCATGGATGCTATGCCTTGCGGACGAGACTGAGAGAAAGTGGCAGGGCAGTTGAAGAATCACCTCTCATGATCCAATCCCCTCAACGTCGGCCACGGCCACCAGTACCTCTACTCGCGACACCACTGCGCTGCAAAGAGGGCAAGTGTGAGCCTGATGAGACGATGCGGCCTTGTTCCCTGGTTTGGTTGCCAAATTTGGGAGCCACGGGAGCTTTTTGGTTTGGGCCCAACCCCAACTCACCTCCCCCCTCCGACCTCCGAGAACGTGGCTGGACTCGGGGAAGACGAGAGAACAAGGCGGACCTGTGGATGTCGGAGTGCGTGAGTGATCCCAAGATGCCCCGTGCGGTACTTAGGGTGGGCACACGCAAATGTCAAGCAATCGCGTGGAGGCCACTCTGATTCTCGTCCCAATTGCCCATCCACCTGTTAGCGAGAGACTCCAGGCCCCTTGCCCGTTTGGCCTGGTCACCGCCAGAGCCGTTCGGGCGGCTAGGTCTCTCGCTAGCAGCCAATCGTCGTTTGATTCCACCTTGGCCGAAAAAAAAAGCAGGCCCCCCCCAGCACGGCTGGCTCGCACTAGACTGAGCGGGGATCGGGGGAATCTCAGGCCTTCTCCCTAAAGCCAAAGTCCCTTTACCTTCAACCCAGCGACACTCCTTCGAACCTGCCCTGCCCGCCTCCCAATCTTATCACGTCACAGCCAGCAAAGCAAAACCACCGTAGTCTTCCGGTTAACCTATTTTTTTTCTCCCTCTCTTTCCGCTTTCTCCTCTTCCATTCCCAATTTGCAACAGTAGCGATCTTTTCCGCGCCCTATACCCAACCCAATCAACATCATGGCCAACGAAGTAAGTCAGCTCCAGCCCGCCGTCAACGCCGGCCTTCGGGCGCAGACGGCCTATTCCCCCATTTCTCGACACCGCCTTCCCCTTGGCGCCGGTCATGGCCAGCAGGATCGCTATGCTTCCGGCAAGGTGCAACACATATGCTAACGTTTGCCTTGTTCTTGCTGTAGCGCGAGAGGTGTGTGTGATTCCGCTGCCTGCTGCCCGCTGTTCGCGCGGGCTTCGGCATCGGTGTATCTGACCCCACTGGCGGCCTGCGTACTGACGACACGGTGAAATCAACAGCAAGACTTTCCTCGCCCGCCTCTGCGAGCAGGCTGAGCGTTACGATGAGATGGTCACCTTCATGAAGGAGGTTGCCAAGCTCGGTGGTGAGCTCACCGTTGATGAGCGCAACCTCCTCTCCGTTGCCTACAAGAACGTCGTCGGCACCCGCCGCGCCAGCTGGCGCATCATCTCCTCCATTGAGCAGAAGGAGGAGTCCAAGGGCTCCGACAAGCACGTCGCCATCATCAAGGAGTACAGGCAAAAGATTGAGACCGAGCTCGAGACCGTCTGCAAGGATGTCCTCGAGGTCCTCGACGAGGCCCTCATCCCCCACGCCGCCACTGGCGAGTCCAAGGTCTTCTACCACAAGATGTACGTATTTCAGGCCAAACCCCCGGCCTTGGCGATAGCTGACCGGCATCCAATCACAGGAAGGGTGACTACCACCGTTATCTTGCCGAGTTTGCTTCCGGCGAGAAGCGCAAGAACGCTGCGACCGCGGCTCACGAGGCTTACAAGGTACGAGCTTCTGAAAATTCGCGCGATTTGCTACTGATGCGCTTTTGCTAATTGGGGGTTTCACTGCCATGCAGAACGCTACCGATGTTGCTCAGACCGAGCTCACTCCCACCCACCCTATCCGCCTGGGTCTCGCCCTCAACTTCTCCGTTTTCTACTACGAGATTCTTAACTCCCCTGACCGCGCCTGCCACCTCGCTAAGCAGGCTTTCGATGATGCCATTGCCGAGCTCGACTCGCTGTCCGAGGAGTCTTACCGCGACAGCACCCTTATCATGCAGCTCCTCAGGGATAACCTCACTCTCTGGACCTCGTCCGATAATGGCGAGCCTGAGGCCGCCGCTGAGGCCCCCAAGGCCGAGGAGAAGGCTGAAGAGAAGGCTGAGGCTGCTGAGGAGAAGGCTCCCGAGGAGCAGTAAGCGCATTTTTCCAGACCGTGGTTTCTTTCACCATGACGGGTGCATGCCCTCACTGGTCGCCTGAGGTGTACCGGAGTGGCACAGGAACGCCCGTCCTTTGCGCAACTGGTCTCGTGTTGCTTCTTGACTAAGATAGCTAGGATTTTTGTAAACTTGAGCTGGGCTTTGTTCTCTCTGGACTTGACCGGCTGGCGGATGGAGCGTGAAATATGCGGCACATTGGCCATTGGCAGGACGGGGGCTTCGATAAAGGAAGTTGGTTGATGTCGGGGGCCACTGAAATGCAGGGCATGATAGTCGTTTCCTATTCTCTTATTATTATCCTTTCCCTGTTGTCTTTGTCGCCACGCACCTCTCCCTTCCACCTGCTTTTTCTCGGGTGGGAAGAGGGTAAGAGAAGGAAACAAGAAGGTCTCTGTTTAACAACTCCCCCCCTTCCCAACAAAAAGCCAAAGGAACTATACCATTCCACTTGGCGAGGAAAGCAAATGATACTCCAATCAGAGATATATCCCTGTCCTCTTATGAGGACGTTCACGTACCACGATTGTTTTGCGGTGCTTCTAAATGCCCTTACACTACCTGCCCTCGCTGAAGAAGCTCGTTTTGTAAACTTAATGTAGACTTGGGAGGATCAGGCCTTGATATCTTTACCATTGGTGCGGAAAAGAACATAATCATCGTTCCATTCTCGGGGACATGAAGCTGGTGTGCCATGTAGAGTGTCACGTCTAAAAGCGTAATGGATCAAGACAGACACAGCATATCTAATAACCGCACAAGGATCTAGTCAAATTTCCAGTTCATGGACCACAAGGATCTTGCTGGATGATAGTAGCCGTCCCACGATAACCGTCCTCGACAGGTAAGAACTTCCAGGTGACGGACCTCCTTCCCGAACCCAGCTCCCGGGAAGATATGCGATTCAAGCGGTTCTTTCCATGATCATCTAATAGCGCAGACGATGTTTCTTTGGCAGTATATCTTGACCAAGGCAACGACGATGAGCATGCTTTTGCTTTTTTGATTAAATTTTCTGCTCCTCATATTCTGTCCGAAAAGTGACTATCCTGCGGATCGTTGTCACAGGACCCCTTGGCGTACTATGGTTGCCTACTTAGATAAGTTCACACATAGGCCATCTATCTGGGATCTAAGATCATATGATCAAGTTCACTCATAGAGACATTGTGTTGAGCACAAGAAACCTTTTACTACCTAACGCTTAATGTATGCCATCAACTCATTAGTGCCTTTGTCATGATTGTAATGCAATACCCTATAGGAGTCCTAACACGTTTGTGTTTTTTTCTTTTCAAGGAGTTTCCCAAAGCCCAGTTAACGCCCGAACACCAGCTCATAACGTTCCGTAGCCCTAGAAACAAATGTGTGTATCATCCATATTTTGTGACGCGCGCCTTCGGAAAAAATTAAAAAAAAAATTAGAAAGATAAAAGAGAAAAAAGGCAGGTGTATGTACCTACTGTAACGTTCACAACTCGCCGTCACCAAAAACAAAAGAGTCTTTCGTCTGCGTCAAGTTATACTTCTCCCTTCCCCAATCCGCCGGGTCACCGCCGGGGACGCACAAACCCAGTCTCCAAAAGTAATCTCGGTGTGCGAAGAAGAGCTGCCAAAGCTTGAGTCTGGTGGGGAACAGCCTGTTTGTCTTGGACGTGAGTGCTGTTGCAGTTGACTCGCCGCCGATACCAACACCGTCATTCCCAGCACCAGCATCGCTACCGGTGTCGCCGTCATCACCATCAACAGCAACAAGATCCCGATGTTGAAAATAGGGATCAGTCCCCTTGGCTGCCGCCAGCGCTAGCAAGTCAGTCACCTCACGCAAACTACCATCAAACCATCCGCCGCCATCCGAGCTCTCAGCCCCAGCCATACACTCCGGATCGTTATCGCCCTGACACAACCGCAAGTCCTCGGGAGCAGGCGGCAGGTTCAGCTTGGAAATATACACTTCGCCTGCGTGCGAGCGGCATCCCCATTCTGTCAAGGGCAGGAGGGGGACAGGATCGTTGACGTGGGTTACGCGGCGGTAGGCTCTGGTTTCGTGCGCGTCATTGTCCTCTTCAATATCAAGACCAAAGGCCTTATCCAGATAATCCACTAAGGCTTGGTTACCGATGCGCGGTTCGCCAAAGGTCGTCACCTGGACGTCTTGCCAGCCTAGCGATAGCCGAATCTCCAACGCGGCGAGAGCGGCGACGGCCCCGCCGAGGCTGTGTCCGACCAGGTGGACGGGATAGTCGGGGTGTTTGGCGCGGGCGGCTTTGAGGGTGGGAAGGACGTAGTCGCGCGCGTTACGCCAGGAGGCGAGGAAGCCCATGTGGACTGTGCAGTTGGTGCATTTTTCATCGTTGTTATCGCTTCTTCCTTTTCCAACATTCCTATTCCTGCCCCCAATGTTATCCTCCTCCTCCTCATCATCATCCGGTGCAGGATAAGGCACATACTCCTGCGGCACCGTGCTCAAATCAACAATCGTGTTAGTGATGCTATACGTCCCGCGAAACGCCACAATAATGGCCGGCTCGCTGATGACCACGGTCCCGCCCCCATTTCGCCCGCCCGTCTTCCTCTCGCCGTGGTCGACCGCGATGTATCCGCAGCTATCGCTGAGCAGCAGGCCCGTGTTCCAGGTCCGCTCGAGCTGCATCGAAGGGAAATCTTTGCAACGGGATACGCACGAGAAGGGCTTGGAAACGCCGGTCGTGCCGACGCAGTAGGTGATGTCCACTAGGCGAGCCATGCGCTCGAGGGAGGCGAAGAATGAGAGAGAGACGCCGCCGCCTTGTTGATGGGGCGGACTTGGGATGTCGTGAGCGTAAGGTCCTCCATCAGTCTCTCGGGCATGGCCGTGGAGTGTAGTTAGGGGGTGTTGTTGACTTGGGTCTCCTGGGACGGCTAACGGGTTTGCGAAGACTCTCTCAACGAAGTGAGATGTGAACGGAAGGAGGAAGAGACCGAGCTGGTGTATTAGATGCATTCTTGTAGATGAACAATTGCATGTTCTAAATGATTGTAAAGCTGTCGGACCCTTTCCAACTAAGACTCACTGATATCGGAAGGCTGGCATAGGATAAGCATCAAAGGAAGATCGAGAGGTCGGCTTTTCATTAGAAGAACTTCTCTTGCACAAGATGTCGGTCAAACATGGTCTCCGGGCGGCGAGAACGTACCGCGTGACCAACACTGGACTAGTGACTGATGAGCGAACCGAGAAGAATGACCAGGACGTACGTAGATGATCGATCGGGCGGGAGTTCAGCTGTTGTTTTCCTTGGAATGATATTCTAGGATTTATGAGTTCAATGGTCAGGGCTCGAAGAAGAAAGCGGACTCGCGATGTAGAATTGTGTGAGATTTTGAAATACGTTGCAGCACGACGGGAGTTCTAAAACGCAGAAGTGGAGGTGATGATTGATTTGGGCAGAGCAAGCAGAACGGAAGAGGAATACAAAGCGGAAGTGGTGACGTCGAATTGACTTGTTCCAGGCTCCCCACGCTTCAGGGACGCCCCTACACTGCAGTTTCAGAGGTCAGATGAACGGGACGGGAGTTTGCCCGTTGTGGAGGGGGAGCATAGGTAAACAGGGGGTCGAGAGGGGGGTAAGCGAGTGCCACCGCTGCAACACCCCGCAAGAGCTCGGAACTTTTAACAACTTTAACTCGACTTTGCACCTCTTCCTGTCATGTCATGCAAGGGGAACCTGGAACCACTCCCTCACTGACGACCACCACCTTGGACCTGGTTTGATATTCATGTGCTTTCATTCCTCATTAACTATCGTTACCCGTATCCCATCAATGCGTTGCTCACCGATTAGCACCTATACTTTATCCCATTCTTCACAGGCACCCGTGATTGCCCTTGTCTCACGAATCCGTTTCTCTCCTCGGGATCTAATTTCCTCCTGGGGGTGCGATGGGATCGAGAGCAGTGAAATTTCTGATGATGGCAAAATCTAGAGAAAAGCATTGCGACCCTTCTCCGAACGCGGTAGTGTTGCTTGTATCGACGCAGCTGAGCCTGGGGGTGAACTGGTCCACGGCCATGAAGCCCCTACTTTCTTTGTTAGAGTCGGATCTGATGGTGATGATAAGTACCGCGTGTCCCCGATGGGAAACTTACGACTCTGCTGTATTGGGGCATGCCAGCTCGATGATAGAAAGCATGCTCGTCTTTTGGATCCACTGGAATTGCACGGTTGGGTTTTCGCAAGCATATCTGGGGGCCAAACCCTCTGGTCCTGCGTTTGGCTGGGTTCCATTGTAGTAACAAGACGTTTCGATATTTGTCTCGTTGTCTGCGTATTGAAAGTCGACGACAATTGGATGGGTATTGTTATTCTTTGGTGTCCAGACCTGGAGCGACGTGATCTTGTAGGATTCTGGGAACGGGCATTGGTCATCGTGTGAGGAGAGAGACTTGATCCTATTCCCAAACGAGGGCATCGAGGGCAGAGAAGCCACAAGAGGAATAAGAGCCATGAGGGCATGCAGGTTCATCATAAGCATGTTGGCGGTGTGAAGTCGAATATTGGAGTAATCCTGCTGTGTAACGGGATGTCTACGTCGTGTGGATGGATGCAGGTGTGGTTTATATCTGCTTGAAGTCGTGTAGATGGGCAGACACGGAAGGAGCAATGTCAAAAACTAAAATAGTTTGGGAATGAATAAATGAGCTCATGCCTCCATTGCTGTTTTGCCCTGCCCCGTTACTCAGGCATACGCAGTAGGGAACGGTACAGGGAACGGAATGCTGTGAGGTAGATCGTCTGCACACCGGTACACCTACCTTGAAGATCCAATCCACACAGCATTCGGCAATGAGAATACCTGTAAGGTCACACGAACCGGTGACAGTCAAAGAGCACTTACGGCGTACCACGAAGTGGCTATCCGATCTGCAAATCTGGCAGGACATAAAGTACTGAGGTGGGCAATGATTGGAAGTATCCGGCGCAGATCTGGCTGCCGTGATCCGGACAAGACGGATCAAGTCTCAATACGTGTACATGCCCGCACATCAGCTTCAGTCAAGCTAGTTGATACACAGCATGCCGAGATATTCGGTATTATGCTCGGTTGAGATCGGTCTTCCGTTTCTCTCCTTTGCATCGCATTCTTTAGCTGGCTAGTATGAAAAGCGTGCATGGCTAGTATACCCACTTTTACAACGCTGAGTAAGCGCAGCCGCCCAGCCCAGCCCAGCCCAGCCACCACACACACACCGTGCAGCACGCGCAGCATCGCTGCCCAACCCTCGTCGGCGTCGCGTAGTCTGTTAGCGACCGTTAATCTCATGCGCAATTGAATGAGGCTATCGCGAGACTCTACCTTATCGTTGAGCAACTTTTTACTGCGATTATCTATTGTCTTTGTTGTTGTTTAGTGCAGTGTCTTCGACTGTGTGGTGCTTGTTGACATACCGCCGCCCGCCCGCCCACCGCACGTCGCGTGTTCGCCCAGTCAGTAAGTCAGACTTTCCCCCCAGCCGACGAAGACGACCACATCTGACCGCGATTCAACAGATTTGCCCGCTAAAATGACCCCCAGTCCGTCTCGAGCAGTTACTCCTGACCGGAGCACAACCCCCCTTGCCGAAATCCAGTCGTTGTTAATCCGCCGCCGGCGCGAGCCATCGAGATCAAGAACGCGGTTACCGTCCCCTAGCGAGCGCGCTACCCGCCAGCCACCAGCGAGGCCACTATTCACTTCCCCTGGCTACGATAATAAGGTCGCTGCCTTTGACGTACTGTAAGATTACTGCGTATAGTAAGGTTTTATAATTGTATCTCGTAGCAACGTAAAGAGTAAATCGAGGGAGGATGTGGGCGCTATTATACGGATTGACTACCGCTATATACACGGTCGCGTTCATTAAGTAACTGGGCGAGATATTAGAAATACTGCCTCAAGGCGCTTCGATTACCTATATTAAGTAAAAGTCGTATTGAAGAAGAAGTAAGGTAATTAGTAGTTCGTTAAAGAGATTAAGAACTATTATAACTATCCCCTTGATGTTACTAACCTCGTTGGTAACGTTGTTTATTAGTAATGGATTCGTTATAATTATAAAGAGGGGATTAAGATAGCCGTCGAGAGGTTGTTTGGTATTGCTAGAATGAGCGTTCGTTAAATTGCCTATTATTTAAGTAGTACTTTAGACCTCGAGGAGGAAGATACTATTGCTGTTATTTAATGTATTGACTGTAATAGTTTGGTATTAGAGCTGCGTAGTCTTCGAATCCCTATTACGGCCTAGGAAGTTTATAATATTTAATACTATATTCGCTATGTAAAGTATGGTCCTTATACTTCGACTAAGATACTTATTAATTTATTGGAGTACAATAAGAACCTCTACGGTATCGAGTACTTTGTTGACTATAATCCACTCTTTTCTAATTAGTAGAGGGTATTACGGGTGTTCTGGACTTTCGACTGGTATATTGAAATGTGGAAGAAAAATTCCTATGTGTTATTGGTAGATAATATGTATAAGGTATGTAAATTGATTTTATGAAAAAAAGTTAGTTTGCCGTGGATTGCACTTAACTAACTATGGCTTTATACAGGTTAACCGCTTTAACCTCCCCCTCCTCAACGTTACTGGCATCGATACGCTTGGTTATAACTTTAATGTAGTATACGGTCTCTTAAACGGGGAGAGGCAAGAAGACTTCTACTGGTAGCTTAATTGCTTAAAGAAGCTTTAAGAAGATTACAAGATTCCTAACCCCGCAATACTTATTACTGACTTTAATAGAGGATTTAAGAAGGCCGCTATTGCCACTTACCTAAACGTGCTACACTAGCTCTGTATATAGTACGTTATAAAGAACGTAAACTACTATATTAAAAAGAAGTGGGTTTAGCTAGGTGGTACCGAGCTAGCTCCGACCGCTAATATACTAAATCCCCTACCAATTGCCCGGGATTTAGATAGCCGTAGCCCGGACCCCCTATCTTATATTACTCCAGTCGATAATAATAGTAATAATATTAATATTAATAAGTATATCAATAATAACCCCGAGGAGGAGGATCCGGAAGAAGCTGATAATACTACCGCCGCTAATCGCTTTACCTAATAATATAATAATAACTAAGGAGTTCGTAAAGCGGTTAATAAATTATTAGTTGAAGTTATCGCTCTACGGCGTTGTAACGTACTAGTCTTTAACCCTATTCGTTGATTTTATTAAAATATATATAAGGGATTTTAAGCTGGGTGGAAGTAGGTAGTATATACTAATAATAAGGATTACTTTAAGCGGGTATAGCACTTACTATACTATAAATTTAAAAGATAGACTTGTAAGTTAATGTATTCTATTACCCCTATTGTCTCTACAATAAATTATATACTTTTTTCGCCCGCCGTCTTTATTTATTTGACTAACAACCTCTCGTTGCAGCTCTACTAGCTTACCTCTATAAATATTACTTACTATGGATTAACGAATATAGTAACTACGTAGTATTGAAGTTTAGAAATTATAGTATCCGGGTAAGTAGTAGAATTGAGTCTTTACACAGAGTTATTAAGCGCTTATTTAAGAATCAATTCTCCTCTCTTAACCAGTTATATAAGTATATACGAGCTTCGTGCCGCTCTCAACGAGAGAGATTCAAGTCGAGATCTGTAGAAGCGAGGTAGTCTTATTTTTATAAATACAAAAGAGTAGGGATATTTGACGATTTGGTATTGAAAGTACGTTAACTGTACTCTTTTTATTATTACTCTTATATATATGGAGGTCTATGTAATTAACCTCCTTTTTTTTACTTACAAGTGGCGCCGTATGCCCTCAAACTTCTATAGTACTAATATTGTTACGTATATAACGACTAGCTTAAAGACCCAACCTAAGACCTGAATGCTAGTTGTAAGAAGGTATTTACAGCTTAGTACGGCTTACCCTGCAAGTACTTTATATTGAGGTTATTGCAAATGGATCCCCTATTAGCACTAGTAATGGAGGATATAGATATACACTAGTAGTTGAGGTTAGATGGGCGCACTGGGTTAATTAAGGCTGAGCAACGCACTTACGCAATCTAAGACCCCGTTGCCTTGCTCAGCCGCCAACGTCAAGCGGCAGTCCCCGACCCGGACCTTACTGATTATATACGTAGAGTATTGGGACGTGACCTTATAAACCCGGAAGCTTTCGAACTACGCAATTTTGAAGGTAATTAAGGATTGCCCGCCCAGCCTGCTAAACCTACGGCGCCTATCGACCGTAACCGGTATAATAACTGCCGTCTACTTTCTTACAATGAGCCGCCCCGCTGAGCAATATAGCGAGATACTTAGAGAGGGGGGAGAGCGCTAGCCCGCCAGCGCTAATCTCGTGCCAGAGGGATTTAATAACCTAATTAACCGAGTTTTACTTAAGATAATGTAAATCGTATTGCCCAGAGTATTATGGCTCAGATGCCAGTACCAGCCGTACTAGCCGTACCAGCCGTGCCAGCCGTGCTAGCACCCCCTCCTCTAGTACCACCGCAGGCGACTTCAGCTCCCTCACCCTCGCTTTTTTACCCCCCAACTCCCTTATAGCGAGCTTTAGCACCCTCCTCCTCTCCCCAACCCCAAGTCTGGCAACAATTGCCAATTTAGTAGTAGCCGTTATACGGCCAGATGCCAGCTCCTGCCAGCTCTAGTCAGTTTGGTTATGGACTGCTAGCTTCTATCAGACAGTTACCTCAACACTAGGACGGTCCACCGCCTTCTAACCAACAGTAAGGGGAGGGATAGGTTATACCAGCAACGCAGTATAAGCGAGCTCCAACCCCCATAGCACCGCCTCCAGTGCCTCCAGTATATTCACAGGGATATATAAGGGGAGCTCTCCAGCCGCCTCCCCAGCACTTACACGGCGGTGGGTATCAGAATCAGGGTGGGCACGTGCACTCTGGGCACCAGCACTCTGGGGAGCGTGTGCAGCAACAAGGCCAGCAAGAGAGACAGCAGTATCACTGGCAACCACTGTATCAACCGCCTCAGCAGTAGATAATTAACTTGATTAACGACTCTGAATACCCTCACGTAAAAAAGAACATATAAAAAGGTAGATCTGGTGATGCGCGGGCATCGATTACGTAGCCTCAGTTGTGTGTGTGTGTGGTGGCTGGGCTGGGCTGGGCTGGGCGGCTGCGCTTACTCAGCGTTGTAAAAGTGGGTATACTAGCCATGCACGCTTTTCATACTAGCCAGCTAAAGAAATCGCCTTTGCATGGCCTCGGAAAATCTTGGCAGATTCTTAGTCTGGCGTGTTTGAAGTATGCGTATGCCACGATATCCCCGGGACATCAAGGGAGTTCGAGCTCGTTGAGCATGTTGCCTACTGACCCTGCCAACGGGAGGTCATCGGCTAAAACGCTTCTCGACAGCACTGAAAGTACCATGCTTGGCGCAAGACCTCAGTATTCGAAGTTCGTCGTGGTGGAAGTCCAAGAAATACCGAGAACGAAGGAATGCCGCGAGAAGAACATAGTTTCGGCTATTGGTGCTCCCAAATCGTTTGCGGCTCCATAGCCTACCCGTACTACGAGTCTACAACTGCTCCATCTATCACAGCTGGCAGGCTTGCGTGCGTTATCCAACATCTACTCCACAACCCGAGAGTTGGTCCGGGGTGACAGAGCATCTGCGCTACCGCTTCAATACGACCTGTCCTTGTGATCTATGTATGGTGCGCACACCACGCAGTGAATACAAGGTCAGAACCGCCCATAGGAAACTGAGCTTGGGTAGCTAACCCGAACCGTTTTCGGACTTCACCAAGGTCATGCTCTTTGAAAGAGCCTTGTCCGGTTGGCCGTGGACCCAAACAACCTCCGGGCGTGAATGATGGAAGAATACGGACCGCACAAACACTGTCCCAACGAGGCTGGGCGGCTCCGGGTAATAATCTGGCACAGAGCTCTCCATGTTTCTAGTTGAGGAGCCCTGTCCGACGATATCTCGTATACATCCGTTGTGCCGACATCGTGACACCGAAAGTGAAACTTGCGAAGGGTTTTTGAGTCCGGGCAGGTGTTTGCCTTTGCCGAGTGTAATGGTCTTGGGGTGGTACTTCGGAAATGACAAAAAGAACTAGTATGTCAAGTTCTGTCTGTCTCGAAGTAACAAGATGGCGAGGCAACGGGTCTTCGTCTTCTTCGTATGAACAAGCTGGCTGTCGAAGAGTCCTCTCGACATAGAAAAGGGCAGTGCAGAGGGATAAGGCGAGTGTCACGCTGGAGGCCACAAAGGTTGCCCTTGCGGTTGAGAGTAGTTATTGATGCATTGTGGTGTTGATACTGAGTCGTGATCAGGAAGAGATCGATGGTGTCACTGAGAGAAGGGTAAGAGTTGGAAAGTTGAGTAGCGCTGTGTTGGCACGGAAGAATGGTGTTTTCGCTTCGACTTACATAAGCCACAAGCGACAATTACACCAGCCACAAAACGCGACCATTTCCCCCCCGCACACCAGCCACACCCACAGAACATTTCCCACTTTTCGGGCGGGTACTTCAAAAATCAGTCGCGAACTTTTATTCTCCCAAGTCCCTTTGACGTTCAGCCGACGATTTCGAGCATCCGACAACCACCCTTTTCGGAATCACCTCTCCAACCAACCATCAAAATGGCTGCTGAATCCAAGACCGGCCTCGCCGTTGGCCTCAAGAAGGGTCACGTACGTCTCACCTCGTGGAGGATCTCTGCGTTGCCTTCCTGAAAACAAAAAGGGAAATCAGGGCTATCGCAGACGATGGACACTGCATTTACCCTCTTGTTTTCAACAACCCCCAACACCACCTTATTACGCCGAACGATTGTTCGAGAAACGGAGAAAGGAACCGTGATTGCTAACCGGGACTCTACTTTTTTTACCCAAATACAGAAGACCACTGCTCGTGTCTCCAAGCCCCGTGTTTCCCGCACCAAGGGTCACCTGAGCAAGCGCACTGCTTTCGTTCGCAGCATCGTCCAGGAGGTTGCTGGGTACGTTTTACCAATTTCAATTTTGTCAATTCGAATCATTCGCGCCAAGCAGCAGTTATCTCGACAAACCCGATCAAGCATACATACAGCAGTTCGACTGATGGAAGATGATGGTTCATTGGGTGGATTACGGACATACAAATGTTTACCCGTTTCTGCAAGACATCGCGATTTCCATTGGAAGTATTGGACCGTACGGCTTGATCGGGTTTGAGAAGGGACCTGTTGGGGCGCAAATGTGCAGATATCCGCTTGAACGAACTCACGCTAACTTTGCGCTTCCACACTACAGCCTTGCTCCCTACGAGCGCCGCGTCATTGAGTTGCTCCGCAACTCCAAGGACAAGCGTGCCCGTAAGCTCGCCAAGAAGAGGCTCGGTACCTTCGGCCGTGCTAAGGCGAAGGTTGAGGACCTCCAGCGCGTCATCGCTGAGGCTCGCCGTGCCGGTCACTAAATTGGTTAATCCCAATCGATGGACTGCTTGGAGAGTGTGATTAAAAATACCAAAAAGGATTTCTGCCTCTTGTCTTTTCTCTGGCATTGTTTGGCGTGACGTTGGTTCGTTATGTTATGGATCGTATCTAAGCGCGCTTCCCCCCTATGGAATGGCTACGAAATAGCTGTCTCGGGGAATAGAACGAAATGACAACAGCTCGAATGGCAAGATGCTGGATCACGAACAAACTACTTCCCACTTTCGGACTGCGTGACTTCACACTCAACAACGTCAACGCTGCTGGGTGCCATGATTTGTAGGATATTGGATGTCCATTGCACTTTATCAGGTTTTTGCTGCCAAATTCGACGGTGCATAGAGAAGCTCTGGCATCATTATCTAGTGTACCCTCTTATCATTTCTTGCACATTCACCTTTCAGCCAACGCCCAACGATACCGATGATGGCCACTAAAAAGCTCGTATAAATCGGAAGCATACAATGAAGGCGTGATCCAACTCAAGGTCGTCGGGAGCTGCTCACTTCCTACCAGGCAGCTTGAACAATTTTCCCAACTTTTTCTTGACAGCATCGGAATCCAGACCATGATCACCCTTTCGCTTCACCTCTTGGCCGCTCGATGACGACTGTCCAGCTTGGACATCCTTCTCCTCTTCGCCCTCCTCCTGTGAGACATCCGGTACCACTACCTCCTGCGCTCGGCTAGCCACACTGCCCTTCAAAAAGGGCGCCTCGCGCGCCTCCTGCGACGCCGCATCATCCCATACAAGGTTCAACAGTGCCCTACCCCGAAGCTTATAGTCCGACACTAGCCTCTTGTTACCATCTTGAACCGCAACAATTGGATGCGTGCCGGGGAGGATGAGGCGGAAAGGCTGGTCAGGATGAGTCATGACTCCCTTGACGGCCTGGTATAGGAAAGCGCCTGTGTGCTCCGGGGCAACTGTCCACTGCGCCGATGTCTGGTCCGGGAAACGGATCTTGATATCGACCTGCGTGACCTTGGCGAGCCGAGCTGCTTCCTCGGCCGCATCAGCCGCAAGTTCGGCATCGGACTTGAGCCGTTGGTTTTGCGCCCGTTGCAATAGCTGTTGTTGCCGTAGCTGAGCATGGGCGATGGTGGGCTCGTACACAGAATCGTGTACCTCAATCCGGGCAGCGATGGGAGTGGTAGAGGACGGGGCATTGAAGACGCCCGTAGGCATAAGGGGGTCGCTGGGTTCGCTGACAGTGGTGGTGGTCTCTCTAGGAGGCACGGCAGGAGGAGCGACTACCTCATCGACGATGTCCATCGGATCGGTCTTCGGGACTGGCTCCGGGGCAGGGGCGACCGGGGCCGCGGCTTTGGTTCCCTCTACGGAGCCCGTCTGTAGTTCTGGCTCTGCTAACGTACTCTCCTTGATGGGCTTCGGCCCAGCAGCTAGAGTCAGATCTTCTGTAGGTTCCTCTATCGCCGGCGCTGACCCAGTTACTGGAGCTGAAGGCTCATCTGCCTGTGTCTTCGGTTGATCTGATTCCACCTCCTTGAGATATTGGCCGATATCCTGCATCGCCTCATACAGGGTCTTCTCGGTTTCGCGAAAGGACACCCGCAGAACGATGCTGCCAGAATTAATACCACATTGGGACAGCGTCTTCTGTAGATCCTCCATCGAAGTGTACTCCCTGCCCATGATGCTCACTACTGGCGCCTCGAAGTATAACTGACCGCTGGTTCCCTGAGGGCCAGTACTACTCTTAGGCGTGCCTCTGCCGGTCAGGTTTAACCCTTTCTCCGCAACCTCGAACTGCCGCATAACCTGCCACAGCGTCATGTCACTGGATAGCTTCTTCGTGTACCGCTGACCATTAACATCGAGGGCTATCGACACAACTGCTGCGCTCTTAGACTTTTGCACAAGTTCGAGCTTGGCGCCAGACACGAGACCTGACGTCCGGAAGGGACCAGACAGATCGATCAGCTTCTGTTTATGTCTATATGCAAGTGTCAGTTCAGCATGTTTTGGCAACCATGGATCATGGGGCGTTCGTTCTCACTTAAGTTGGTATTTGTCACTGTTCAGGTTGAACTTTTGACAAGCTTCCCCCAGAACATCGACCATGTAGGTTCCGGGCGTGACTTTGATTTTCGTCCTTCTCAAGTCCGTAGACAGCACTTCAACGTGCGCCGACATACTGGCGGTTTGACTATGATTGTGGGGGATAGTGAGAGCAGACGGGAACGATGTTGCTCCTAGCGTTGAGCCGGCGTAACGAAATTGGTATGATGAAGGTCGGTCTGGCTGTGAAGCTTTATCGTTTAAGTGGTACGAGAAGGCCGAGACTTTGTTTTGTGTTGACGCTGTCCTTGTGAAGCTGAGACGATTGAGTTCTTACAAGGAGTAGTTACGTAGTATAGTTGCTTGTGGATGTTATGTTTGGCGGCTGTTCTTCAGGCAACCCCGCGTAACGTAATTGGCAAATATCAGTCCACAGCAAGGAGGGGTTAAAAGGGTTCAGGTTGAGACGAAATTGGATGATGGAAAGCCTGATATGTGCGTTATCAGATGGTAATATGAACACTGAAAGTATCGATGGAAGTGATATGAGGCGGCGAGTGAGTGTCGTGTCTCCAAGTCACCGTCGTTTCGTGGAGTACACAAGATGTATAGTGAGCTTTCCGAGAGCTTCCACGGCTGACGGGCATCTTGTAAGGTCAGGAGGGGCAATTACGCAGTACGTTTGATGGCAACACCGGGCATCCACCCAGCAACGGGGAAGGGGAGAAACAGCCGAATGGGCAGCTCCTGCCACCTAGACTAGGTAGTGTACAGACTGCTACAAACCAAATCCTAGCATCGCATGCCCTGTGCAGTGGCAGCTACATACCTTGGTAGAGTACCTTGAGGTTACCTACTTGTACAGAGGCACCCAGCACCCAGCAGAACCTGCCCTGCCAGGCACCCTTGTTAGTGGACACCACCTTCCATCTAGTCCTCCGCCCAGCCAGCCGCGCCAGCTGCGTGTTGCCTTGCCCGGGCCTGTCCGTCTCGTCAACTGGAGCTTCCCTTGCCCGTTCGAAGGTGAGCTTGACAACGGAAACGGCAAGCTTTCCAACTACTCTCACCAAACATCACCATCACATCGCGAATACCCCTCACGGCGAAGACGAACAGTCCATCCTACTTGGACCATACTGCAGCAAACGTGCCAGCCCCATCGCCGAACATCACTCCGTCATCCGAGCAAGCAACTATCACCACTTGCATCACATCCCAGGCACAAGATGGTAAGCCTGCCTGACCACTACGACACTTCAACTAAACCTATTTGTGAGGAAGACCAACAAGATCTCAAGCTAACGATGATGCCATCAAACAGTCGTCCCCCTTCTCGATAAGTACGATATCCCGATACCCGATTCTCTCTATCTTGACCCCTCCACCTTGAAAGCCATATCATCATCGCACCTTAACTAACCGCCGCTCTTCCTCACCCTCCACAGACGGCGGCGCTGCTGTCGCCATGGTCGGAAAAGACTGTGTGGCTATTGCGTGCGACCTGCGCCTCGGCCTTCAGGCGTTGACAGTCTCCAACAACTTTCCCAAGATCTTCCAGTACGGCGACGTCTTCCTTGGGCTTACCGGTCTGGCGACGGACGTGTCGACCGTATCGGACCTGTTTCGGTACAAGGTGAACATGTACCGACTGAGGGAGGAGCGCAACATTGCACCCCGGACGTTCGCCAACCTCGTGTCCAGCAGCCTGTACGAGCGCCGCTTTGGGCCCTATTTTGTCAGTCCCGTTGTTGCTGGCTTGGATCCCAAGACGGGCGAGCCGTTCATCTGCGGCTTTGACAGCATTGGATGCATCGATTTCGCGAAGGACTTCATTGTGAGCGGAACGGCAACGGAGCAGTTGTTTGGCATGTGCGAGAACTTGTGGGAGCCGAATTTGGTATGTAATCTTTGCGAACCCCCAACCCGACCCTCTCCATTGAAAGCACTCGTTTTGGCTGTTTTTGTGTTTGGTTGTCATGGTGAGAGCGTGGTACTGACGACAATTACGCAACAGGGACCCGAGGACCTCTTCGAGACCATATCACAGGCTCTTCTTAACGCCGTCGACAGAGACGCCTTGTCAGGCTGGGGCGCCCATGTTTACATTATCGAGAAGGACAAGGTCACCAAGAGGCTATTGAAGGGACGACAGGATTAAGCGGGACGTTCGGGCATAATGATGATGATGAATCTGGGCCAAGAGTATTCAAGTCGCATACGCGCTAGTGGATTATCGGTACCCTTGGGCTCTATAGAACAAATACATTTGCAACATGACAAACTGGCACGCGGACGGGCCAGCTGTGCTTGTCAAGGCGGGTAGAACTCATATGTCAAGACGAAAATGCCGTCACAGATTAGGCATGGTCTAATCCGCTATGTATATGTTCTATCTATATAGACAAGAGGAGTTGTTTACGTCTAGATCTAAAACTATCAGACCAGGTCAAGTCTACCTACCACCAAAAACCTAGAGATCCTTCTTCTTATCTAAGGACGTCGAGCTGGGGGTGCTCTGTACAAAGTACTTGCGTTCCACGGCCTTGAGAAGTTCGTCAAGAAGCCTAGACAAAGTATTAGCGTACTGTTCAAAAAGTATCACATGGAAGGCGGATCTAGGGACTTACACAACTGGTGCGCTGATGACGATCACGGCTTTCCACTCTGCCCAGTTCAAGGGAAGAATTGAAAAGAGGGTCTGAAGGATGGGAGTGTAGAGAAGGGCGAAGTGCAAGGCCATGGACAGACCGATAGCATAGACGAGCATCATGTTCTTCCAAACAGGGAGCGTCAAGAGAGACTCGCTGGAAGAGAGGGCGTTCATGGCATTGAACATCTCAATGACGACCAAGACGGAGAGCGAGACGGTCGAACCGGCCTTGGCCATATCGTTCGAGAACATGGCGCAGCCAATCTCAGGGAACTCGGTAGAGCAGCGATGGAAGTGAGATAGCTGGTAGAAGCTGATCTGAGGACCCTCCGAGTAGAACATGAACCACCAAGCGTAACCGGCGACCGTGGCGAGACCGACATAGGTACCAATGACCAGATAGCGGAAGAAGAGCCATCCGCCGATGAGAGCCTCGTCACGCTTTCTGGGGTTGCGACGCATGATATCGTGGTCAGGGGGGTTGAAGGACAAGGCGGTAGCGGGAAGACCGTCGGTGACCAAGTTCACCCATAGAAGCTGAACCGGGATGAGAGCCTCAGGCATACCGAGAGCGGCCGTCAAAAAGATAGAGACGACCTCACCAATGTTCGAAGAGATGAGGTAGCGGATGAACTGCTGGGTGTTGTTGTAGATGGCGCGGCCTTCCTCGATGGCGACTTCGATAGTGGCAAAGTTATCATCAGCAAGCACCATGTCAGCAGCGAGCTTCGACACGTCGGTACCGGAACCCATAGCAACACCAATATCAGCCTTCTTCAGAGCAGGAGCATCGTTGACACCGTCGCCAGTCATAGCAACGACCTCACCGAGAGACTGGAGGAGGTCAACCAGCTTAGACTTGTGAGTAGGCTCCACGCGAGAGAACAGAGAAGCAGTCTTGGCGGCCTCGAGCTGTTCACTAGGGGTAAGGTTATCGAATTCGCGACCAGTGTAGCTCTTGCCAGTTAAATCCTCGTTAGATCCAAAGACACCGATCTGACGGCAGATGCTCTCGGCGGTGTTGCGGTTATCACCGGTAATCACGACAACGCGAATACCTGCATCCTTGCACTTCTTGATCGAAGCAGCAACTTCAGGACGCGGAGGGTCAAGCATGCCGACGAGACCGATGAGAGTAAGGTTCTGTTCGAGAGAGGCATATTCGGCGGTAGACTTGGCGGTGTGAAGAAGAGGGTTACCAGCAACGTTATCCAGACTAGCCAGTGCGATGACACGCAAACCGCGGTTGCCATACTCAACAACCTCCTTCATGAGGAGTTCGGACATGTTACGGTCCAAAGCTACCTTCTTGCCATCGGAACCGAGAAGAGCGTGAGTACAGCGTTCGATGAGCGATTCAGGGGCTCCCTTGACGAGAAGCTTCTGCTGTCCATCATGCTCAACCAAGACGGACATGCTCTTGCGGTCACGCGAAAACTCGTAGGTGGCAAGACGCTGGTACTTCTTCTCGTACCAGGAGCTAGCGTAGTGAACGCGATCCTTGGGAGGACAATCAGAGGGGGCGCAGGGGCCGATCTTCTCGGTCAAAACACGGAGGGCGCCTTCGGTAGCTTCACCCACGTTCGAGAAAGTGCCGGTAGAGGGATGGTAGTCAAGGCGGGCATCGTTGCAGAGAGCGGCAACTTCGGTCAACTGAAGAATGGTAGCGGAGTTTTGAGCAAGGTCGGTAACCTTCTTGCCCTGCGAAATGATAGCACCCTTGGGTTCAAAGGTAGTTCCCTCAACATCCAGCTCCTCCAGATCAGTACCATCTTGGTTGAAATGGACGATTTTGTTGACGCTCATTTGGTTGGTGGTCAAAGTGCCGGTCTTGTCAGAGCAAATGACGCTGCAACTGCCCAGGGTCTCAACAGACGGAAGACTTCTCACCACGGCGTTCTTAGCTGCCATCTTGCGAGTTCCAAGGGCAAGGCAGGTGGTGATGACGACCGCAAGACCCTCGGGGATGGCCGCAACGCCAAGGGAAACAGCGATCTTGAGGTAGTAGATGGCACCCTTGGTCCAGTTTCCATGGCTAGGGTCGGCGAAATTGGGGATGTTGATGAGCCAGACGAGAACGCAGATGACAGTGATAACCTTGGCGAGCTGGTCTCCGAAGTCATTGAGCTTTTGCTTCAAGGGGGTAGGCTCGGAGATCTGGGCGGTGATGCTCTCGTGAATGTCGCCGATAGCTGTATTGGAGCCAGTCAAGACAACGACGGCTTTGGCGTGACCAGTGACAACAGTTGTGCCCGAAAACAGCATATTGACCTGATCCTGCAAGACAGCCTTGTCGTCGCTAACAACGGCCTGGAAGTCTTTCCCGACGCTCTCGCTTTCTCCGGTCAAGATGGCCTGGTCCACAGCAAAGCTGTTACTCTCAATTGAGATCAATCTGCAGTCAGCAGGGACGCGAGCACCAACAGCAATGTCAACGACATCGCCTGGCACAAGATCCTCAGCCTTAATACGGGTAATCTGCCCATTGCGCACCACGTTGGCCTCGTTGGCCGAATACTCTTGCAAAGCAGCAATCGCCTTCTCGGCACTGCTTTCCTGGGACACTCCGACAACAGCGTTGAGAACTAGGATCGTTATGATGACGGCGGGGTCGACGAAGGCGCTCCAGCCGCCCTCGTCTTCGAAGAGCGCGAGTACGAACGAGATGGCGGCAGAGCCCAGAAGGATGAGGACGAGCTGGTCTTTGAATTGTTCCAAGATAAGCTCCCAGATGGGTGTCGGAGGTTCCTCTGGAATGGCTGAGGCAGGCAGAACGGTTAGCAAAAGCCATTGATAGAATAACGAAGCTGAATTCAAAGAATTCTGTAGAGAAAGCGCATACCATTTCTGCCGTGCTTAGCCCTGGACTGAGCTACTTGCTCGTCACTTAGACCGGTGGCAGGGTCAACACCAAAGGTGCTGAGGACCTCATCGACGGGTTTTGCAAACGCCGCCTCCATATTTACAAATGTTGTTGAAGTTGCGAAAAGTAAAGCGTAACGGCGCTTTTCGGCGGAAATCGAAAAGTGAAGGCTCCAGAGAGCTTCAACGCGAGATTGCAAAGTCCCTAGCAGTCTTGGAGCTAAAGTTCACGGTCTTCAAAAACAAGGCCTTCAATAGGAAACGGTGAAAAAACACGCTTCCAAAAGTATCATGGAATCAGAGCAAGAGAAGAAGATTCTAGCTAGCCTCGACGAAGAGGTTGCCTTTTGGTGATCGGGATCTAAAATGATGGTCTGGAATTATTCAGCCTTGATATGGGGTACCATTAACCGGGGTACATGTTTGTGCTGCGACGTGTCCAGTTCTACAAAAGTCGCCTCTCTTCCCTTCTGCACGACACGTTTCTCACTCGACTATGGTTGAACCGCCCGGAATGCCCCTGCGGCGGCTTAGATGCTGTACAACGGCGTAGGTAGCTGGGAGGGGCAGGTCACTCACAGGTCCAGTCCCCCACTGGCCACTGGTGCTGTTCGCTGTCCACACCAGAGACGAAACGGGGGCATTGACAGGGCAAGTCCGATCCTCCCCCAGCGAAATGGATCCAGCACCTTCCTCCTCCGGGCCCGGGCCCCGCTCTCAGGTGGATCATGGTGGACCAACCTCCAGCCGGAGCCTCCCTAGTCGAAATCGCCAAGCGATGCGGAACTGCCCCACATTCCCTCTCCCGTTGCTCCCAGCCTCGACCAGCCCAGTCCCGGCAAGTGGCACCAACCGCCCTGCATCTCATGCCGTCACAGGATCTCAAGATCATAATTACAGGGGAACAAGACGAGAGTTTCGACAATCGACCGGTAATCGCCTGAAGACGGGCCAATGTTAGAGATATTGGCGGAGGGCAGTGTTGACAGTTGACAGTGTCCAAGGTGAACTTGGCTCCGCCGCGCTAGCCGAGACATTGACTCTGGAGACAAGACAAGAGTTACAGCTCTTTGTTCACCATGCTTTCTTTGTCATCGTTTGGACTTTGGAGATGCAGCTGAGAGCAGGGTGCCCATACCTCTAGCAACGAACGTATGGGGCGAAGAGGAGCGAGAGGTTCGGGGCGGGTAGGTTTTTGTTTAACCTTCTAGTTCAAACTGTCATTATCAGCCTCTTTCCTTCCATATCTGGAAATACGTTTCGATGGTCAAGTTTGACTACAGGGGCGAGAACGACATCAGTCTAGTCGCGAAGAACAACTGCCTATTAAGAAACAGTGCAGTACTTGAGCACATGAAGATCATCATCAGTATCGGGATGATACGTGTACATTATATGTATGTAGACGACTTCTACGACTTTTCACTATGGCCTTTCCGATCTGGTTTTGTTTGACAGCCCACTGAGCCGTTGGAAGAAGAGATTAAGTTTGGCGATTGTGATACGATACCCATATTGACTCGCGAAAAGCTTCGTAACAAAATTACTGGAGAATCATGCAAACGGACATTATGAAGGCTGTGCAAAGGAAACAATTATGGCTGACAAACAGTTTGCGGTCTAGATGTTGAATGAGCATAATCTCCGAAAAGATAGCCAAAAAGTCGGTTTCGTCCCCGATGAGATTCGTGAAATTTACCCCGCCAACCCCACCTCCCATACGAAGCTCGCCAAAGTCAACAAACCGCCGACGCGAACGACAAGGCAATAACAAGCAAAGCATGGAACCTGAACCAAGCAGGTAGTGGAACGGCAAGATCGCAACCATCTGACAGACTTTACGGAAATAATTTCCGAACGATAACCCTGCAAATCTCCTGCAAAGACACTACAACCACACCTCCATCAAACAAAAACACCATGGCCCCCCCTTCAGCTCTCAACATCGCGACCCAATCGGTCAACCGTCTCGTCAGGGAGGAATCCTACTACCACAAAGAGCAGACCTCCCAAGAGGCCCGCATCAAGAAGCTCCAAGACGAAATCGCCGCCAACAGCCCTGAGCTGGACAGCAACGCTCCCTACGTTCTCAAGCAGGAGGTGCGTCCCCCCAAAGACCATGCATGAAACATGCAACAAAACCTAGAAGCTGGACACGGTAAACCCTAACCCTTCGTCGCCCATGATCATTAGCAAACGGCACTTGAAGAGACCAAGGCAGTGTTTGGCCCCCTCCTCACTAGGATTGCTGGGGCGGTTCAGAAGCTTGAGGAGCAGATTGCCATTTCCGAGAGTGAGGGCTCGGCTTCCGAGGAGGATTTGAAGAAGGCTAAGGAGGCGTTGGAGAATGGCAAGAAGCTGACGGAGAGCGTTTGAGAGGTGAGGGGTCCACATGAAGAAATGATAGAGGAATGGTGCAAATTTACCAAGTATTGAGATTCGGTGAAGGCTGCGAAGTGATTGGGCCTTCGACGTCTGTGAAGAGGTAACCATTGGGATTTCGGCATGAACCACAGGTACAATCAAGCTTGATTTTGGGCCCATGATAATATTAACAAGAGAGCTTAGCCGGATTTAACGTACATAGCTACACCATTCATTCCACTGCTCGTTAACACCATTCTCTATACCTAATATCCTTACGTGGTGTCCATGGTGTCCTCATCTACATTAGGACCGTCAACCGTGATCCGCGGCCGCGGCGGGGTCTGGTCCGGCAGAGGCGAAAGAGGACTATCCGGCTCCTCGACTTCCTCCTCATCTTCCTTGACCTCAGTCATCTCTACATCGGTTCCCTGTGTCGCTTCGTTGCCATCACCTCTGCTAATGGAACCTTCGCGGCTCGCTTCCTGGCTTGTCGTTTGCGAGTAACCTCCCGAGACGTCATGAGGCGGCTTGAGGAATGACTGGTTCTCATCACCCGGGGCAGGAGTATCGCGCGCTGGTGTTCTGGCGCCAAGTGTCGAGACGGGATGGGGTGTGCCAGCGGCGTCGCCGCTCTCGACTCCGCTCTTCGTGGGTAGTCCGCTATCCGGCCTCGGGGTTGCATTGCCGCTAGAAATCCCGGGCCGTGGGGTCTGTCCGGCGTCCGCCTCGGTGTCGCCGGCACCGCCTTCGTCATCGCCCATGCCTTCGCGGCGCTCCACCTCCTCCTTCTCATCACGGATCAACCGCCTCAACCGCATGCTCTCATCCATAATTTTGGCAAACTGGTCGCGCCGCTCATGCCACGTAATGCCGTAGGTCTCGCTTTCCGTCTTTAACTCGGCAATCTCCTCCTCCAGTTTCCTCAGGTTCGCCGCCTGCTCTGCCCTGGTACGCAAAGCAGGGTTGTTGGTGATCTTATCAGCTAGCTCATCGAACTTCTTGCGCTCCTCGAGCGTGGCACGGGCCTGCTCTAGCTGTACACGTAGCTGGACAGTGTTGTTGCGTACCGCCTGTGCCGTGTTAAGAATGCGCTCACGCTCGGCGACATATCGTTCGCGCTCACGCTCGTTGGCAGTCAGAAGAAACTGAAGCCGCGCGATGCTGCTATCAAAGGCGGCAAAGTCCAGAATGATGTCCTCCTTGAGCTGAGCGAGGTCTGATGTGGCCGAATCGCCGGTCACGGTGGGCGTTTGGACTTCCTGCTCGGTAGTTCCAGCAGCCGCGCCATTGCCCTCCGGAGGCGGGGTGGGTGCTTGACGAGCTCTCGAGAGGGTTAAGGAGTGAAGAGTGCTAAGGCGCTTAGTCACGCGCTTGAAGGGCTTCTCTTCCACGTTGAGAAGTCGTGACTTGTGAAGCTCATTCTCCTCCTTGTCGTCAAGTAGACCCCAGGAAGCCATCCTGTGGTTGTGATGTTGGTATCGAGATGCTCAGCGTCAATGTTTGATTGTTTTGACGGACGTAAATATGATTAAAAAGGAGTCCAATGATACGAGAAAAGTGAAAATAAGAAGAAGACAACAGAGTGTAGAAGGTGCAGTCTTCGATTTCGCCGTGTAACTTTGTGCAGTCTTGTTGATTTCTTTCTTTATCGAGTGTATGAAGGTGAAAGGAATCAAGAGGCTGATGATGTATGGGTGGAAGACTGATGGTTACACCAATCGTACGGACTGCTGGAAACTGAAGCATGGACCTCTTGGCGGAGAAGGGAGTATTTTCGTTGGTGGATGCACTGCAAGCAGGTGGGGGCCACATATCAGCCGTCAAGGTTCCGCTTACCTGTTCAGGAGGATCGAATAGACTACTCTCAGCTGAACGCCAGGTGTATCTCGCATGTACCCCGCGGACGTTACAGGTTGCAGCTCTGCTTCGCGCCAGTGATACGTGTACTTCGGAGTACTTCGGCCAACAGCTGAGACCTACAAATACATGGACATGGACAACTCTCTGACAGCCAGTCGGTCAACCTCGAACCTCAGCCTTCACTCCAGATTCGTCTCGCTTGCTTGTACACCGATAACCTGACGGTTGGCTCTAAATACCATAATCACTGGGCCGCTGCGAAGACATCCTGAAGGACATTCTTGATTCAATCACAATCAGAATTCTACGACCGAACACATCATCGTTCTACATCTGTCGTCATCCAGCCACACCTCGTCAACCATCAAAGAGAAGAAGGCTGTGGCACGCTGGGTTAACACGCCCTTGTACTTCGCCCAACAACCATTGTCCTCGATATATTCCGATACTAACTATCTCTAGACAAACCCCAAAGTCGTACTAGTTACTCGAGCATAACAGCAAGGAGCCCCATAATAAGTCACCATGGCTGGGCCACGCTCACTTCTCGACATGGCTCTCAAGCTCGCCATCGACAATGCTCAGGATATCACCTGCCTGGACGACGTGCCACCAAAAATCGCTAGCCAGATCCTCAAAGCCGTCAGAACGCCAGAGCACCTCCGCACAATTGAACTTCATAGCGGCGACGAAATCTACGAGCTGACCGCCGAATCCTGGCGTCGTTTCATCGAACGCAAGTACGGACTTCTCCACAACAAGCACCGATGGGAACCAAGCAACCCCAAATCATGGCACAAGGTGTATGAGAAGTACGGCAAACTCCAGAAGGAGTCAGACGAACTCGCCACAGAGGCTCTCAGAGCGAAAATGGCCGCCGTCAACGATCAAAAATCCTCGCGCACAACCACCATTGTGTCTGCCCAGGTCGCTCGCAAGCTGCCAGCCCCCAAGGCCCGTACTTTCGGACCCGGCTTCCGTGGGTTCAGCACCTCCTCAGATCCGCCCATGAAAAGAGCGACGTTCCTGCAAAAGGCCACTAGGGAGGCGAAACTGGATGCTCACCGCCGCAAGCTCGCCAAGCCCTCCGTCATGCTCATGGCTAGGAAGACGGAACTCACCCGGGCTCCTGACAGGTTGATCGAAGAGAAGCGTATTCAGAACCAGTTCGACATCGATTCTGCCCCGATCATCGAGGGCCCTCGCATCAGACCCGCAACAAGCTCGCGACAACAGAAAGACCAAGAAGCTCGCCTTCTGCAGATCAAGAACGGAGGAAAAAGCGGCAGCTCCGGCCATGCTCCTAACGTGTTGAGCTTCGACGATGATGATAACGACCACCATTACGACAACAGCCGCCACAACGACAAAGGTGCCTCAGGCGACGACAAAGGTGCCTCAGGCGACGACATGGATGATCTCTTTGGCGACTTAGATGACGAAGACGCTCGCAGCCCCCCTTTGAAGTCGAAACGTGGTCTTCTTTCCGCCAGTCCTGGTGCCAACTCCCAACCACGAGCCGCTGCTGCCAGTGCCAAGCCCGCCACTACCAGTCGGCCGCCTCCAGCTTCAACAACAAATGCTGGCCGTTCATCAAATATCGGACGTTCCCAACCTGCGACATCATCATCTTCCGGTAGGCGCCCCGAAAGCTCGCCTGGGGCTAAGCGCAAGCAAGTCGACATTTTCATGAAGCCTGCCAAGAAAGTTCGTCGTGTTTGAGGGGAGGATCTCAAAGGATAGGGTTGTAGTCGGGACTTGAGGATCCTCGTGTGGTCCTAGAGGAGGATTTTGAACGAGCGGGGTTATGATTGGGGATAAAGGATCTATGGGAGTTATGGAGTTGGAAATGCTTATTGGAACTGAGATGGGAAGTTACCTGCTTACACCGAAAGATAAGGGACGGGCATATAATGTGAAGGAAGTTTCTGGTGTCATGTCTAGGGATCAACATATATGGCGTTTTCAGCGGTTTGAGATCTTTATAGGAACAGGGGCGTTGTTTTCGGGGAATCTGACTACGGAGCGCAATGGCTTGAGCCAAATTTAGGGTGGGAAATGGACCAAAAGCGAGGTACTTGCTCTTCCGCGCGACAATAAAACACGTTTTGGTGGACTCATATCCTCTGACCCAATTTGAATAAATGTTGTATTGCCTGATTACCTGCCTTGAAATTCCGATGATGAGAAGAAATCATTCCCTTTCCTGGGCCATCCAAGCTTTCCAACGGCAAGTGTTAACCTCTTCCTCAGCATCTCACCTTTGATCGATGGAGTGTACAAATCCCATCCTTTTAATCCGCCAAGAGCGCCCTATCCTTAACCTTCCGGGATTTCGTCGTCTAAGTAGTCCTTCAAACACCAGAACGTCCACTTGGGTTTGTCAAAGGACCAACATATAGCACCCAGTCTATATTGGGTAAACGTCGTTATCTCATTAATTTGTGTGTATTTTTGTTTCTCTTCAGGCAAACCAAAGCTTCCCCAAAAGCCTACCACCCTCCACCTCTAAGAGCCAAAACGAGATGGAGAGTCGCACCGCCTTCGAGTTGGTAATCGGTTGCCGTCTTGTCATCGACCCTGTTTTGTTTCGCTCTCATGTCAGACACCACACCAACGCCAAGAGGATGGATCTAATGTAGCTAGGTCAGAACTGACATTTGCTTTCCGCCAAAGATCAAACGTTGCTGTACGGGAGGGATACCCTCCTTTTCTTCGACCTTCTCCTTGATGTGGGCAACCTGTGTGTATTGCCTGAATTAGTCGGATGTTCGAATGAGCTCGTAGCCATCGTGATCATCGAGAGCGCAAATCGTTGAGGCATCGTGGAGGTGACAATCGATCGATCGACCCGGTTTTTTTTGTTATTGTTTTTTTTTGTTTCTTTTCTTCCTGTTTCCACGGCTAAGCCGGTCGCGGATTCTACCCGCGCGGGCGCAAAACCCGATCCCTCTGACAAGAAGGGAGGGACGTACCTTGGTATCGGGCTCAATGTCGAGCTCAATCTCCTTGCCTGTAAGAGTCCGGACCCTGTGCGAACAAAGTAAAAGGAATGGTTAGCTGTGGTACTGGCTTGGCCTGGTGATAGAGTCCAAAATGCATAGGGAGCATGGATAGCAAGCTATGCAGCCGCGATATGCATACTGCGACTATCGGGCGAGGAAAGGCGAAAGTTCGAAAGCTCACTTGATCTGCATCTTGAATAGTTTGCGACTGGGTTGATGGGAAATAGTTCGCTTCGCTAGGGCGATGGATGAGTGGGGTTGAATGCTTAAGTTGGGACGGGATCCTGTTGTCTCTTTATGCGCGTGGATGCGAAGCTTCTGTTGACTTAAGAAGTTGACTGCATCGGGATGGTTGATGTTGGTAATGGAGCGGTTCAAGGAGTTGAGTTGGTCATCGGGGAAAACGGTCACTGTTGACGGGCTGGGGAGGGGTGGTGGGGCAGGCACTACCGGCGCGGTTAGCGTCGTGGCGGTAGGACGAGACGGCCTGAGGTCGCACTAGGTGGTACCGCTGTGGACTGGGCTGCCCCGGCTTTTGTTGTTTGGATACCCCTTCGGGTTGCCGGGGCAGCTTCGGTAGCTTTGACAGTGCAGGTGCTCCGACGTATAGCGGCCTTGGTAAACCGGCTCACATCAGGGAGATGAATCCATGACCGTACCTCTAGCTGACTGAGATATTGGAGTCTTTTTATGAGCTGAAGCTACCTACGGTAGAGGTGGTCATACCTGTTCACTTTCGTCCGAGGGGAACGCCGTTGAACTAAAAATGTTCCGAACTGCAACTCAAGTGATTTTGTATCAACATCTTTCATTGATCCACCACGAGGCGTCCTTCGCGCTAGGTTGAATAACCGCTTTGTATCACTAATAGAGAGGATGCCTCGCACCTAAACAGGGCCATTTGCAGACGAGCTTTTCGATGGATATCTTTTTTGCGAAAGCTTCCTTTTCTGAAGATCATCGCTAAATCCGGCCTTTCCGATAGTTCATTAAAGTCTGTTGTACACTTGGGGTTTCCGTCACATCCGTAAGATACATATACAGCGGAGATTTTTATCCGTCATCTCATGCTCCTCCTCTAACTTCCAAAGGCCTCGGCTTAGTTGTCTTTGGACCTCCGATCTTCGAAAACGTTGAGGCCCAGGCCCTCAGAATCAAGGAGCAGCCTGTTCTTGCCGCCGGCCTCCTGGATGATGTTCGCAATTGCACGCGCATTCTCCAGCTTCTTCAATTCCACATACGACTTGCTCTTCTTGATGGCCTCACCGATGAGCTCCGCAGAACGGGCCTCACCCTGAGCCTTGACCACCATAGCCTGCTTCTCTTGACGCGCCTTGTCAACAATGAAAGCTGCGCGCTGCGCCTCTTGCTGTGCGACCTGCTTGGCCTCTACTGCCGCAGTGAATTCGGGGGAGAACGCGAGGTGCTAGGGTATGGTTAGCCGAAGATATCTACGACGCAAAAGAACGGGGGTAGAAATCGTACTGTAAGCGACACATCGTCCAGAAGGATGTTGAACCGGGCCGCACGCTTTGCCAGGTTCTCGCGCACAAGCTTGGCAACCATCTCTCTTTGGGTGATCAATTGACTGGCGTTGAATTGCGCGACAACGCTCTTGAGAACCTCGTTGACAATTGAAGGAAGGACCCGCTCGTCGTAATCGGTACCGAGGGTACGGTAAATCTGAGGCAAGGCCGTGACTTCGGGTCTTGAAAGGACACGGCAGGTAATGTTGACCATTTGCAAATCCTTGGTACCGGTCAAGGAGGACACGTTTCTGGGTTTTGCGCGGACATCGTAGGTAATGGGGGTCTCGAACCAGGGGATCATGAGATGGGTTCCTATTCAACTTGTCAGAAAAACGATTAAGGCTAGCGAGATCGAGACCGAGCGGCGAAAGCAGCAGACGAACCTTCGCCATAGATCTCCTTGCTAACACCATTAACTCTCCTGTACTTGATCGCTCTGTGACCACCATCAACGTTGAACAAGGAGTTTGAAAGAACCCAAGCACCACCACCAAGAAGGGCGAAACCGGTCAAGGCAGGGCCCAAACCGCGGGGAGGAATGGGGGGCCTGCCACCTGGGAAACCGCCGCCGCCGCGAGACCGGGCAGTCTGCTGAATCTTGTTCAGGAGATCCTGATATGGGTTGTTCGACATGCTGGGCTGCTGTGAAGTAATGGGCGGCCCAAAGATGATTTGGAGTAGGAGCCCTAGGTTGGTTGACGGATGTGGTGGGGAAATGGGGATTGAAGTCGTCACGATAGCTTACCCGAGCTTTTCCAGCGTCGGAGCTAAGACCACCCACAGGCAGGACCACAAGCGAGGCGTATCACTAAAGTCCACTTGCCATCTGCCTACCACCCTACTGGCGCAACTGGACTTCTAGGTACCGCCTGTCTCATTTTGGTCAAGCACAGACCATACGCTCACGTGGGTCGCTACAGCTTGTCGCGACGGGAGCAGGACCTTGATGGATCGGAGCTCGGAGACAAGTAGAGGTATCCACCCCCGCGACGTACATAGCCCCTGCATTCCATCGTCGAAGCGACACAGCGACAGAGTCCAATTTTTGACGTTTGCAAATCCAGAACTCCAAACTTCCATTTGCAACCACCAAAAGGTTGACTGACTCCATTCCCAGAACATCTTCCCGTTGACAGAGTATTCCCACCTCGACCAACCCCCATCTTACAAATCGACGGTATCTGGCAGCAGGCTTGGGCTTTGAAATTGAAGAGAAAAGGCTAAAGAGGACCCAATTGCCACCAGGTAGTCTAACTACGACTGTGTTAACTTCCATCTCATCCATCTGCCAAAGTTCGCTGTTCCTGCGCGGTCCCTATTGTTCGCATCGATTCATACCAATTCTTGGTTGCCCATTCCACCTGTCCAACATTTGGTTCGCTTGGTGATTCCCATTCGATCAGCCCACACAGCTCGCAGTCAAACTCACGCAGGATTGTGCCTCTCCACTCTCAGCAGCGCTACTGCTAGACACTTTGCGCTTCGTACAACAATATTTGCTCGACAGTGAACGCGCGCATCGCCATGTCGACACGCCAACCTTCACGTGTGGTCTTCGTGGGAAACATTCCTTATGGTACGCAGACAACCCGCTTCTGTCCAGGTCAGACGACGACCATCTATAAAAGCCCACCCACTGACAGGGACAATGCAGGCCTTACCGAAGAGCAGATAACCGAAATCTTTAGCGGCGCTGGACGGGTCCTCAACTTCCGCCTTGTCTATGACCGTGAAACTGGAAGGCCAAAGGGTTTTGGGTTCGCAGAATTCCCCGACTACGGTGCGTATCCATCTCTGTATCAAGTGTCCCTCTCCCGCGCACACGCTAATTAGCCTTCCCCGATCTCCAGATTCCGCTGCATCAGCCGTACGAAACCTGAACGACCACGAGATTATGGGTCGCAAGCTGCGTGTCGATTTCAGCAACGAGACTGTCAGCGACGAAGACGGTGGCAGAGATCGTGATGGCGGGGTATGGCACAAACCAACTCAACTCACCTTGCTTTCACACACAATCCACTGACCATGACGGCCTACCTAGTCGAATCAGAACGCCCCTGGTAGCTACAACGCTCAACCTCCCAATGGGGGAGGCTACAATACCGCTCCCCCCGCCAGCGCCGCCCCTCCTGCTCTCGGACCCTTGCCCCAGGGTAAAGACCTTCCCCCCGATGTCACCTGCACCGACGCGATCTCCCGCACCCTCAACACCCTTCCCCCGGCTCAGCTTCTCGACATCCTCCAACAGATGAAGACGCTGGCGACGAACGATCCTGCTAGGGCCACGGAACTTCTCAACCAAGCACCCCAGCTGAGCTACGCGATATTCCAAGCGCTCCTTATCATGGGCCTGGTCTCGCCGGACGCTATCAACTCGGTTCTCGACAACCCGGCCGCTGCTGCTGCTCCTTCTATGGGTACTCCCGTTGTCCCCAACCCTATGGGCGGTGCTCCCTACGGAGCTTATCCCGGCGCCATAGCCACCCCCCCTGTTGCCCCTGGTCCTGTTGGAGGCTACGCAGCACCACCTGTCGCCGCGGCTCCTATTCCAGCTCCGACTGCTGCTGCTGCCCCAGGGCAGGATGCAGAGGCGCTGATGCGTGCCGTTATGGAGTTGCCGCAGGAGACGATTGACAAGCTGCAGGAAGCGGAGAGGCAGCAGATTTTGGCGCTTCGCGCTCAGTTTTCTGCTCAGGGCCTACGCTGATGACAGACGGATGATTCAATTAGTCAACTTCTCGTGAACATGGGCAACAAAATATGTATTGGGGCCTCATGTTCCTGTTTTTCTGTCGTTATGCATTCTTTTCTAGGCTGGTCAGGCGTTATGGTGGTGGCGGTCGGTTTCACACTCTAAATGGGAGCATTGCAAAGGTTCAATAGAAAAGGGTAAATATCGGTGAATTTAACAGCCACAGTCTGGAAGCTTAAACCGCTGAACAAAGTCAAAGTTTCGTGACAATGTATACGGGCATAGTTTTGATCAAGTAGACGACATATATCATCAAAGGTATGAAGACAGAGTTGTGGACTACATGACTTTGCTTTCCGCTTTATTCTTTTAGATTCATCTGTCTATCGAATCGCGAAAATGACAGACATTCAATCTCACTCCACAAAACGCCATCACCACCACCCAACAACGCCTGTATTTCGTTCTGTTTCTTTTGCCCATCCTTATTAACCAAAACGCTGTCATGTAAACTAGGTACCAAAACCCCTCATGTAGACATGTGCTCTCTCAGTACATGATAGGATCTTGACCTTATCGTCCAAAAATAGTCGTTAAACCCGTATGGTACATCAAAAGCCCTCCTCCTCACTTGCCTCCACTCACTCGCTTGCGTGCCTGTCTGTATCTTTACACAATCTTATACACACGCATCGCAATCAGATAACAGCCAAACCCAAAGAGCAACAGTCCCGCTGTGATGGCCGTGAACCACTTGAGGTCGCCCTCGTTCCCCTGTCCAGGGACCCAGACGTTCATACCCCAGAGACCGGTAACGATGTTCATGGGGAGTACAATGGTACCCAAGACGGTGAGTCTCCCGAGCACGTCAGCCGTCTGCTCCTGTCGCTCGTTCATGCGTATGTTGATTTGCGCTAGGTAGTTGGCATGAGATCGTGCTAGGATTCTAAGTTGAATGATTGTTAGGATTTTGGGTTTAAAATTTGCGAGAAATAGTGACGAGTGGAGAAGCAATTGGATTACTAGAGAGACAACTTACTTCTCATAGTGACTCAAGTTCGAAGTCATGGTCACAATATGATCCTGAATGTCACCCAAGTACAGACCGATCTCCGACCGAGGCGCCACCTCCCAATGCTCATTGCAACGCTTTGCGAAGCTCTTGATGACGTCGGCCTTGTTGCCGAGCAGTCTGTAAAGCGACATCACCTTTTTGCGGCAGTCGCCCACGCGTCTGAGCATGTCGCGTCCAGATTCGGCTGATGTCGCGTCGCCGGCCTCAGACTTTTCTTTGAGATTATCCGATGGGAAATTCGGATCGTCTTCGGAGTGCAGAAGCAAAATGGCTTCGTCGATATCGTCGACTTCATCCTCGATGTTGTGAATCAGCGGACCAAAAACATCGGTAATGTCGTCGATAATGGCGTACGATATCCAATCCGATGATAGAATGAGATAGTCACGCAGCTGACGAATTCGTCGACGCACGTTGGCCGGGTGCGGTGTTTGCGAAAAGTGGAAGCTTAGGACGCCCTCGCGGAACACGACCACGTACATGTTGACGGGCTCCAGAAAATTCTCGCTTGTTGAATCCTGGTCGAATGAACGATAATTGACGAAGTAATAGTGCCGGAAAAGTTCAACTTTTTCGCGGGCTTCTTGCATCATGATATCTTCAGCTGTGAGTGGGTGGATACCAAATGCCTTGGAGATAACCTTCATCTCTTGCTCGGTCGGGCTATAGATATCCAGCCACCACACTGGTCGGTCTCCGTATTTTGGTGGCTTGCTTGTCTTTTCCGTCGGTGGCGACTTGGAACGTTCCGGAGATTTGGTATCTGTTGGTGTATGCTCTCCCGAGGTACGTTTCGAATCCGTGACTGTTGTTCCGGCGTTCGAGCCACGATCTCTCCGAGCGTCGAAGTAACCTTGGGTAGTGGTAGTGAGCGATGGCTGCCGGCTTGGAATCCTTGGGTCACCGTTCTGGCCCCCCAGAACTTCATCTAGACCGACATGGCGCTGATCCTCTTCGTCATCTTCGTCATCAGAGGAATCTGAAAGGAGTGGTGGATCGGGGATGAACAGCTGTCTAAAGGAGCCTCCTGGTGGAACCAGTTCTGAAATGGTCTGGCTGTGAATAGTACTCTGGAATTCTTCATTGAAGTATGTGAAGCGATAAGGAGCATCTTCCTGAGCCCGGTACCAGCCACGATGGACTGGCCTTAGTCGCCCGTTGATCAACTGAGGTTCCGTGATCTTTTTTGCATGGCGCTCCTCACTTCTGCCTTCCTTCTCATACCTGCTCCATTCCTCCAAGATAGCAAGATCCGGCCATTTGCCGCGCCGTCTTCTCTTCATGCGATACGCAGTGGGATCACGAGTGCGAAGATCCTCATCAGCGATTTCAGAGAGACCATCCTGGGGAAAGCACACGTCCTCCTCAGCCTGTAATGCGATTGTGTGTCGTCGTTCCAAAGATCCTACCAAGTCGCTCTCTTCATTTAAAGTTCGCCTGCCAGGGGAATTCGGCATGGAGTCGACATCATCCCGCAGCATGATATCGCCGAAGCTCATGCTTAGATCGCGATCGGTTGCGCCCATGGGAGGAGTTCCAGGCACTGATGGAGGATAGTTGACATTATAGCCTTCTGTGCCGGTTGCGCCAAGTGATGTGGCCCGTCTCCTTTTGCTGCTGTCCCTGCTTGATTCAAGACGACTGGCGACTGAATCCCTTCGCGCGGTGTCGTTTGAACCATAACCTGCAAAGCCTTCGCTTCTCTGGAATACGGAACTAGAGAGAAGGGGTGCTCCTTCGTGCTCGTCTTCGCTGTTGTTGCTGCTGGCCACCACTGTTTTAAGCCTGCTCGCGACCTGTGGTGTTGTCAAATGCGAACTTTGCGACACCAACATCGATGGCCGTCTAGGTCGTAGGAATGGTTGTTGTTCTCTATAATTATGATATGTGTAAGCTCCTGCTAAACCCCCGCTTGAAGATGCCAGAAACTCACCTATGATCCAAAAGCGCCTCGCTATCAATGCTTGTATTGCTGAAGTTGTTTCCGGGCTGCGAATAAAAACCGTTTCTGGCTTCCGCAAGCGCCTTATCATTCATTCTCTCCTGGGCCATATCCTCGGAGGTGACGCCGAAAGAAGTTCTTCTATTCTTCTTCTTCTTCTTGCCCGCTCGATGGTTCTTTCTCCTTCGAGATGGTTGGTTTTGGGGAGGTTGGCCTGCGGATGGCCCCGAGTTCGACATCGAGGCATCGTGCCGTGGGGGATTATTTAGATCCATGACATTGGTCAGCGATTCGCGACTTGGTAGGTGGAGTTGTACGTCCTGGATTTCGTCTTCGATGAACCTGTAGATGACTAGGTGGGTGGCTGGTGGATGATTGTTGGTTGGACTGAATGATTGGGTCCCCTCTGTCCAGGGAAGCTAACAAGACGGACAACCACGTTCCTAATCAATTAGTGGGACAGGCGATTTTAGCTCCGCGCAAGCTGAAATAACATTCAGGTAAAAACTGTGGTATGGGTTTGAAAGAATGCCAGTTTGTGCCCGGCGGAAAAAGTGTGGTGACCTTGGGACGAAAGAGATGACGTGAGAGAGCAAAGAGCCAGCAGGCAGGCGAGCGCGGGCGCTATGGCAACTCAGTTGCGATGCAGTAGGCAGACGGCCTAGCTTGGAAATGTATGGCAGCCGGAGCAACAGATGTTTACTGGTAGATCCACGTCAAACAAAAAGAAGAGGAAAAAAAAAAAAAGGCTGTGGCGCCTCTTGAATCAGGGTAACCAGTGTCTTATCGAAGGCAGTGCGACTTGGTGTGATGATCAATGAAGCCTTACAATCGCACGTTGATGTCGACGTCGAGACCTCTCGCACAACGTACCAGTGCTGCTTTGAATGTTGTATGAATGAAATTATGTAATAGAGTACCTCTAGGAAGTACCCACCTTGCCTGTATCAGCAACAGCAGATGTGTGGACGCGGCTCTGCGTGAGAAACAGATACGACAGCAGACGAGGACGAAAGTTCTTGAAACATCGGGCTTCGACGGAATTGAAACAGTCAATTTTCGGGAGCTAAGTATGGCCGGGCTTCTGTCCTGGTGTCTTCCTTTCCACTTTCGACTGACCGTGGGGTGACAGGACAAAAAAACTACAACTTCCAATCCGGCCCGGTGATGTCAACCCAAGCAGGGATCCACTGTATCACTGCTGGTCAGCGCTGTGTAGCCACAACGTCCAATTCCCAAGATAGTAGCCCAGGTAACGATGGTCAAGTATATGTGGAACGAGGCACGCAGTAAAATGCACCTGTAAGCTTTTCACAGGGTAATTCGCTGTTAGTCATGTCGGGTAGGTCAACCGCTAGCGTACGGCTGTACACTACTGGGTGGTGACCCACAGACACACAACTTCTCCGCTGTGGAGGGTGAAGAACCCTCAAAAAAGCTTGATTTTGGCATCGGGTTCCCTTCTTTGCAATCCATGGTTTTTCAACTGTGTCCTTAGAGGTATGGACGGGGCGCCTGTAACTGACTTAGAGCCCATCTCTTCACGCTGAGTTACCAGCTTGTTCGGTGTACACTAACAAGTACTCTAGACTACCAGTGGATTTAAGGCTACCTATAGGTGGGTGTGAGTGCGGATGCGCCTCCATGTCACCACAACCTTGTGGATTCACGACCCTTGAGAATCCATTGCCGAGGTATGTATCTACAGTAATGTGCCCTGTTAATGCAACTAATGCAGGCAGCCAGATTTCTTTGCAAAAGGGGGGCATTTGCAAAGGATGGTACTAGTGCACAGACCAATATATACTGTGGGGCTACTGGATTACGGGTCGGCTACCCTAAAGGTGGGTCACTTCGACCCTTTTGCACCGCCGCTATTCGTCCTGCCCACCAAAATCAGATCCCTGTTAATGCAAATCCGCCCCGTTAGTATTGCAATTAGCAGTTAGCAGTCTTTACCACCAGAGGGAATGCGGGCAGCCGAAATCTTTAGCAAAAGGGGGGCTTTTTGCATTAAGGGGGCCTAGCATTAACAGGGCACATTACTGTACCACAGTATGTAGGTATACACTCAGCCCGGTACCGTTGAGAAGCTGTCACACCGACAATCCGTGGAGTTCAAACAACGAACATGATACATATTCCGCCAAGTATCCATGGATCGCAGTCAACTATACTATCCGTGTGTTTGGATTTATGGTCATAAGCAACACATTTCGCACCATTACCGTTGCCGCCATCGTCTTGACTTAATGGAGTCGAAAAGCCTGTGCTTGACCGCCGAAAGTACAACATCGGAATCGGAGTGAAATACAAATTCAATGACATCATATGCTGTAGTTCACGCACCGATACCTACGCCCGCGAATAGAATGTCTTCCCTACGAACTCGACTTGTTTCCGGTTGCGCGGTCGGATGAAGACACCACAAGGCTTAGAGTCTATCAAGTGTTACTGTGTACACCGCGGAATCATCGACCTAGTGTATATTGTGTAGCTCGGATGCGAGGTTGGATCTTGAAAGTCACCTCAATTGCGGTAACTTATCAAGGCTCCAGCACCGACTAACATTTAGCTTACCAGCTATGTATGACATTGATTTGCAGCTTTCGCCTTGCTTGACCACCCCAGCTAGAGAATCCTACAAGAAACAAATGTATCGGTAATATGAAGGACCACCCCGATTATCTACGCTCAGCAGCACCTACATGTAGATGGAAATGGGGTGATGTTCTTTAAGTCATACCAAAGCCTAATGCGAATAGGTTCATCACCGGTAGGGTCGATATAGGTATGCTCATCTTGCCTCTTTTAGTATGACAGACTTGTGCCATATCCCCGCTCCCCTGACAAAGTGGATGCGAGGCACGGGTAACCCCTCCTTCAGCTACCTGCGGAGAAGAGGAGGAATCGGCGTGGGGTAGAGGTCAAATAAGGTCAAGACAGGTAGGTATTGTATAGCTCTGGATGGTGTTATAGTACCTTCGGCTTCCCTCCTTCGAACTACAAGAAGGAACGTTTAAAAGATTCAATACTTGAATCAGTCTGTCTTCGTTACCAAGTATTCAGACCCGTCATAATGTCCTTCCCGAAGCTTATCCCGGCCTTCACGGCTCAGGTATGTTTACACCCCTTCTCTTCTAGTTGCGTTGTTGTAGATGATTCAATGGGTATTCTTCGGGCTGTAGTCTAGTATCCAGGATACCTATCGACATCGCTCAACCTCAGAACAAGAATAGTATCATGCTCCCTGAAAGATGTCTCCCACTTCTTGGCCGATTACACTATTCCAGTTCGATACATACCTAACCACTCCATCTCTTTCTACTTCCAGATCGTGATTGAACCCCCCGCCAACATCGGCACCACTGCTCGCGGCGGCACTATGCTCTTCGTTCCCTTTGTGCCCAACAGCGGGTCTGTCAAGTCGGAAGCCTCGTACCCGATCCAACTGGACGCCGAGTTCGTGCACGGCGCCGACTACGTGCGGATGGACCCGAACGGCGAGAACGTGCGGCTGGAAATCCACAGCGTCGGCAAGGACAAGACGACGGGTGCGCTGTTCCGGTTCAATTACACAGGCACTGTCTCGCTGGCGGGTGCCGCCGGCAAGGTGTTCCGTGGCGAGCCGGACATGGCGACGACGGGGTTTGGTGATGCTTGTGAGTGTGACCTTTTTTTTGCTTGCAATGTATTTGTGTCGGGGCTGAACTACGATGTGGATGTTGGATGGTTTGGGTGAAGGACTGGAGAAATGGTTTGATTTGTCACTCTTCGAGAGAGAACGCTGGAGCTTCTTGGTTTGCTGACGAGAGATGAAATGGCTTATAGTCACCCACCACGTTTTCGAGACCGGCAATGAGAAGCTCTATCCTCTGCAAAACAAGGTCTTCGTTGGATCTGGCAGGTTCATCATTGAGCCTGGTAAGCCGATTGTTGTCGAGTACAAGATTAGCGAGGTGACTGCCTCCTAAGGAGTGTGGTACAATGTAATGAAACATGAGTGATGGCTATCATGCTAGCCTCGTCAAACAAAGTGCTATGATGTTTTATGCGCGATCTTATGGATGCGTAAAATGAAGGGTAGAAACTCATATGTTGTGTATGGTCGAAGTTTGATACCAGGCATCAATATCCACCCCCCTTTCTACATGACTCAGATCCAGTGGTCTCAAGGTATCTTCGCTATTCGCTATTTATAATTACGAGCCATATGACATCTCATGCACACCTATGTATACCAAATTTTTGGACATGTATAATAGCCGAGTAGCACTCCATCTCGAAGCAGACAACCAGGCCGGCAAAACCAGCTGGTTACAACTAGCTCGAGGGTGGACCGCCCGCCTTCTGGATAAGAAGATGTCCAACCGAGATATTGGCGATTTCATATGCCTTGCAGCCCTGGGGGAAAGTGCCCAAAGCAGCCCAAAGATCGATAAGCGGCTGCATCGGCTCCAGATCTGTCTTCTTCAACAGGCCGAGCGTGGTGGCCGTCAAGATGAAATGGCTGAAGCAGCTGTTCATGGATTTTTCCAGGTTGAGGCAGAACATGTCGTCAAAGTGTGACCAGTACAGGTGCGCGTAGACGCGGAACATTTGCCGGAAGATGGTCTGACACGTCTCCATGAAATTCTGCGGGAAGCCGCTTCGCTTGCCAATCCAGTCCGGGCCCGACTCGGGCAAGGGGGTGCAGAACGCCGGGTTGTCAGCGAAGGAGACGCCCGCAGGATCGGTGGGGAACAGGTTGCTGTCGTCAATCTTGCCGCTGATGTAGCGCTGAACGAGGCTGAGGTATTCGTATGCTGGGATTTCCACGGGTTGAAGCCGCGAGTTCAGCCAGGTGAAGGAGTGGGAGCTGTATTGGATGGTCAGTTTACAAAGGGGTCATTGGATGACTGGGATGTAGCTGAGTTGCTAGAAAACTTACGCTCCCGCAGACATCTTGGGACATTTTCGAGAGTTGCAGATCGAGCTGCCATCCTCTTCCCGGTCATGGACGAGTTTGATGAAGGTAATGAGCATCCGCCAGTGGTCCACGACTATAACACGAAGTTAGCAGAGCTACGAATTTCCCGATGATGTTCGACAACTGTACGTACCTTGATGTGCTATCCACTCTCCCATTTCCACCGTCTTAGGCTTAGCACTAAGGGTCAGGAAATTGCCCTTAACGATATGTTTGCCATAATTGCAGTTTAGCCATTGCGGCTTCACTTGGGGTAGATGATATGAAGCAAGGACCTCCTCCGCTGAGGGGATCGAACCATTATTGGGATCCATGCCGATACTTTCAGCGAGAGAAAGCGAGTTCTGGATGGGTGGAAGTTTCACTGAAAGAGTTGGAGATGTATAACCAGGAGATGTCTCGAGTGAGTGTATGGAAGGCAAAGAGTTCTGAGGGTTTTGCTGAGTCGGACTGGTTGGGCTTTTGTGTCCTCTAAACCGAGCGTTTCTAGAATGATGCTGTTAGTTCCTCATTCCGTTGCTTGGTAGAAGAGTGCATTTGTTAATAATGAGTCGACAATCCGCCGTCAGTGATACAAGGCGGATTATTCTCATAGCCGCAGACATATCTGTCAGCTAAGCTGAGTATCCAACCTCCAATTTGCGGGATAGCATGATATGTGGTTAATATGGTAAAGATTCGTATCGTGGAAGGGAGAGTGAAGGCTCAACCGTTGTATGACCTCCTCTTCAAATTCACCATATAGTGAACATCAAAGTCACCCGCTCAATGGTTGTCGGTTATTTGTTCAGAGAACTTGAAAGTTGTGTTGGGCCGTGACGGGCTTGGCATGAAAGGGGTAACGTTGCCCATATACATGGTAAGTGATGTGATAGTCTCATATAGAGAGCTCACTTCGACCTTCAGCACAAAGCACTTGCGGGTGTTGATGAGCAAGGAGCGAGACGATCCTAACCAGGAGGACCTGACATGGGAAATGGATGGGGGGGGGATAAGGTAGAGAAGCAAAGGGGTTCGTACCTCTAGGCAGTATACGTACAGAGATGCTTGAAGATGCAGAGACGGCGTGGTAGGCAGCTCCGGAGATGCAGGGCCCCAGGTAGATTTGGGAACAAAGATGAAGATATCGAAACCACTCACATTCCAGAAAAGAGGTTGGACATGGTCTCAAATAGCGGACGAGGAGATGTACGGCATCAGCAATTAAGGGACGGGAAGAGGCGAGCAGGAGACAGGCGTGACAGGGCACCTAGACTAGAGTCTTACTAGGGGACGGGACTAGGGAGAGCTAGGGCGGCCAGGAGACTGCTTCTAAGGAGGACCGCACCCCACCGCCATCCACGATGATAGGTGCTAGGGGACCGTCTGACTGGGCAGCCGCTCCGAGAGGGGACCTTAAGGTGAACAGCTTAGGTTGACAACGTCCTCCTGAGTGGTAGTAACGTCCATTGGAGTATTCGGGGAGACTCGCTGCTCCCAACTTGTTTCTGAATGCCTGCTAGGCTTGCCCCTTCTCACACGTCAACCATCAACTCCATCTCGCAAATGCAACAGGACGGAGCAAGCCGCCACAAATAGGAGGCTCCATGGTGTGAGGGTCTAGAGGGGTCGAAGGGGTATCCTGTCAGGTCGCTAGGGGCATCCGCTGGATTCATGAAGGAGGATTGGATCAATGCTACGGTATATGATTGGGAGAGAGCAACCTCCAAGGGATTGATCCCCGCTATTTCTGGCGCCACAGGAGACCTTCAAGGTTCGCGGCCTCACCCCGCCTTATCGTTATCGTAGCCTCAGCTCGGCCCACTATCAGTGACGCTTAAGCCACACTTGGGGTATTGACTGGACGCTGGTCCGAGTCAGGTCCTGCTCGCTGCATTCATTCGCGGGACTCGCTGTAGGCCATTGGACCACTCACTGCAACCCGCTAGGTAGCAGGAAGGAGGTGTGCGACTGTGGACTCCCGTCGACGCGACCTTCAAGCTTCCCCGAACTTCTGTAAGCCGCATCGCGTAAAACTATCAACTACCATCCAACTTCAACCGAAACCAATCAGCATTTGAACATCAACCTTTCTTGCGCATCACCGCCGGCGCATAAGAATATTCCTCGAGCTCGAAGCGCACCCATCACACAACCAAATCGACCAATTCTCACATAGCATCAACCCAACCGTCACTCAGAATGTCCGATTCAGAGGATCATATCGACAACGTCCCAGACGATGCTGGCGACGATTTGTTTGGAGACGAAGACGTTAACGACGACCAGCCGCTATCGGAGATTGGCGAGGACAAGCTCAGTGACCGTGACTTGAATTCGGGCAGAGAAGACGACGTCGCCGACAGACATCATGACGAAGCTGACGGTATGGAGGATGAGGAACCGGAATTCCGCAGCAAGACCGTTGCAGACACACCGCTTTACCGCCATCGTATCCCCAAGTCCGAAGACGGCAGTGTATGTGCAGTCACTTTGAGATCACATGTGTGACAACAGAGTTGCTAACGGGATCGCAGCTTTACTCCTTCAAAGTCCCCGACTTCATCAAACTGAACCCGCTCGAGTACAACGCCGACACTTGGGAGCCGAGCAAATGGGATCTCCGAAACGCGCGGGCCGAAACACCAATCCCTAGTGTCATGCGCCGCCGTGACCCGAAGACCGGCAAGATGCAGAGCAATACCAACATTTATCGCTGGAGTGATGGATCCGTTACGATGGCGGTTGGCGACGAGCATTACGAGATTCAATCCAAGCCTCTGGCGCCTCCGTCCAACAAGCCCTACCAGGAAGTCCAAGACGCGCACTATTATGCCGCTGCGGCCCACTTGACAACGAACTCGCTTGTAATCATCGGACATTTTACGGAACAGTACATGCTGAGGCCGAACAAGAACATCCAGGATCACGCTCTTGAACGTCTCAAGGCGGAGCTAGCAACCGCTAAAAAGGAACGCGGCCCCGACATGATTATTCTCGCCAAGGAGGACCCAGAGCTGCAGAAGAAGCAGGCAGAGATGGCTGAGAGGGAACGTGCTAAGGCGCAGCGTCGTCGCGAGACCGCTGCCGCCCGCGTGGATGGCGCTGGAGGACGATTCAAGGGCGGTGCACTCTCAATCGGTGATCTGGAAGGCGGAAGACGCGGCCGGAAGCGTGGTGTGCCTGGTGGCGGTAAGAAGAAGAACCGTCGGCCCGAATATGATTCAGATGACGAGCTTCCCGGCGGCGTGCGCAACACCGACAAATACGACCTGGATGACGGCTTCCTTGTCGACAGTGACGAGGAAAGCGAGGAAGTAGTGGATGATGAGGAGGAAGAGGAGCTTCTTGATGACGATGACGAGGAGGAGGAGGCTCCCCGCCGTAAGCGTCAGAGGACGGCGGAGGCAGATGATGAGGACGGTGCCGGCACCACCTCGCATCGCCGCAGACGGGCCATCGTTGACGATGACGACGAGTAGTTAATGAGAACTTCTTACTTTTAGAGTTTGGGTTCTGAGCATGTTTAATTAGGCGCATCTGGTCATCAGGAAAGTAAAACATTGGGCGTCTTGGTTGGCATATTAACTTGGGACATAAGTAGGTCCCTGAGTGTACAGGCGGGCGAGAACATGGGTATACGGTATGCTTGCATGTCCACATCTCAGCATTAGCTACCGATGTACATATTCTCCATGCCTCGACAGCGCTGGATGAATTCACAAGTAGTCATAGAAACTACATGTAGTAATTAAGTAGCTGAGATTATATTGTTCTCGCATGGTGTCTTCAGATTGCGTCTTCAAATGCGACGCTCAGCTTGCGCATCAAGTAGGTATCCTTGTAGTTGTATTCCTGTGAACCAAAACAAGCGTCCGCCAGACTTTTTTCCTCCTCATAAAAGCCATCGCTAGATGAAAATGCTGCATTAAAAGTAGTTGGGGGTGCCTGTCCTATAATGCTCCTGCGTACCTGGAAATGCCCCTATTGTGGCGCCTATCGTCGTATCGTCCTCGTCCGAGCTAGGATAAAGAGCAGCATCGTCTGACCTCTCTGGCGGTGCGCGCATAGCCTCCAGTGTTGGAGCATCTAGTTGTGGCGGCTGAAAGGGCTTGAGAGTGTGAATCTCTCTACCCATGGGCATCTGTTGGAGTAATGGCCCCGATGGAGGGACGACCTGGGTCATTATCTGCGACAAGAGGCCACATTGTTAGTCCATACGACAAGTCAAACGTGGGACATTTGGGGAATAGCCTGAAATGTAATCTCACCGTGTCATTTTGCTTTGACCATTTCTCCCACAGCATTTCATATACTCTTGTCTCCTCAAGTCGTCCAGCATCTGCTCCCCAGTCTAGCCCTCTTTCCACCTTTTTGTCCTCCCTCTTCTCTGTCCACTTTTCTTTCAACCTGCCAAAACCTCCGCTCTTCTTACTGCCACCTTCCGAGGGGTTCCTCTCAACTCCTAGCTCCTGAAGTCCCGCATTCAACCAAGCAATCGCCGTCCCAGTTTGCCCACCCAGCTCCGAGTCAATGCCAAAGAACCGACACACCTTCGCTCTACTTGTACGTCGCAAGTTATCTAGATACTTCAGAAAGCTCTCGGTTACCTTGGCTCCGCCCTCCGCTCGCGCCAGCCCCGCACACAGCGAGTACGCCTGCGCAGCGTGTTCGCTAGCCGCCAGACACAGCCTTGCAAACAGATGGGCCCTGACCTTGGGGATATCTGGCGCCTTGTACATCCACTCGGTATCATTCTTGTTCCGATCTTGCGCCACCACAGCCGGGTACGGATCATCCTTGAGTACGGCCAGGAGGGTGGCCTCAGCCATAGCGAGCGAGCACTGCGCTCGCAACGCTGCGGGCGAGATGTCGGCACAGGGCGGAGCCATCCCATAGCCGCTACTGAGCCCTTCGGCCCGGAGCGCGAGGTAGTCGTAGATGGAAGCCGCATCGAGCAGGTTCTTGGTCGCGGCGCTGACGGCCACTTGACGCTGCTGGGTGCCGACGGGCGCCGTGGAGAGCACGTAGAGCGGATGCAGCGCGGTGCGGGCCTGCAGTGTGTGCGCGTTGGCGAGGCAGGAGAGCACAAAGAAGACTTCGTATTCGAGCGAGTGCACTTTGACGCGGGCGGGGTCTTTGCCAGGGACGGCGACGGCGGCGTTGTCAGATAAGGTGGGCCGCCATTCGATTACGGGCGCGGTCTTGAGGATCACGGCGATCTCCTCGCCGTTAATCGCCTGCTGGCTGAGGCCGGCATCGACGGCGAAGAGGTAGGGTAGGTAGGCTATGAGGCTGGAGACGACGGTCGGGAGCTTTGCGACTTGGTGTTCGCGGGGAGTGCGCTTGAAGGCCTTGAGGTCTTCGCGAACAACGCCGCGGCGGGTGCTAGCATTGAGGGGCAGCGAGGGATGGGACTCGCAGCTAAAACAGGACGTAAAGGAAAATGACGAGGTCGTAGGCAACACGAATGGGTAAGGCATGGCGACTCTATTCACAATTGGATTGTTATATCAGCAGATGGTCAGTCTTCTCAATTCATTGCCGTGTTCCAAACTTCCAATGTGTACGTGTGGTTGTGACGAAGCCCCTCCACAGTCGTTGGCTGGCCAGGAAGGTTCTCAATATCGGATGGGACCCGTTGGAGAAAGCCAGCTGCGTCACTTGTCAGCCCGCTGATTGACGAGGGGCTCTAACCGACATCCCCCGCCGCTTGACTACCTATCCTAGAAGCCAGCTGCTGACAGCCCGAGAAAGGTAGCTCCCAGTTGTGAGCTTAGACTACACAGCCCGTGTACATACCTAGGTTTCCCCATATCGGCCCCACCCAAGAACCTTGTCGGCCGCCGCGACGCCAGATTGCTTGAAACGTTGGATGGCATTTGCGAATCCAGCGCCCACAATTTCCCCAAGCATCATCTCCTTACGGACACCTTCAATGCCGCCCTCCTTTCGACACAGTTCTGTTCGGTCTCGATTCCGGTAACCATGGTCGGGCCCTCTCCTCATAAGCCCAGACGGAAAGCGAAGCGGGCTGGCGGCAATGGCCCAAGCAACCTTCCTGTCATTATGGAGCGCGAAGCTCTCGTCCGCATCCCTTCCTTTCCCCTGGCCGCCTTCCTCTGGCCTGCCAGGAGTTCTGTGTCGCAATGGGAGTTGTTACCGTTGATACTCATGGTAGTTGGCCTGTTCCGCTGGGCTGCAGGTCTTTGGGGCTATTCTGGTATGTGATCAACCAGCCCCGTCTGGCGCGACCGTGATTAGGTGTATACTCTACAAGGCTAATATATTCCGTAAACACAGGCTTTGAAAAACCTCCTCTGTTTGGCGACTACGAGGCCCAGCGCCATTGGATGGAAATCACAACACATCTTCCCATTTCGCAATGGTACTTTCACGATCTTGAGTGGTGGGGTCTCGACTATCCTCCTCTTACTGCATATCACAGCTGGATTTGTGGCAAGATTGGGTCCCTAATCGACCCGGCGTGGTTTGCGCTTCACGACTCGAGAGGCTCCCATGATCCGACGCTCAAGATATTCATGAGGGCCACCGTGCTGGTCTCCGAATATCTAATCTATATCCCCGCCGCTGTCATCTTCGTGCGGCGCTTCAGTAGGCTCAGCGGCGTTCCTGCCTGGACCTCCTCCGTTGCTCTTGTGGCGATCCTGATGCAGCCGGCCACCATCCTTATCGATCACGTCCATTTCCAGTATAATACGGTCATGTTGGGCTTTGTGCTTGCTAGCATGTCAAGCATGCTTGCCGGACGCGACTTCTGGGCCTGTTTTTTCTTTGTTATGGCGCTGGGTTTCAAGCAGATGGCTCTCTACTATGCCTTCTCGGTTTTCGCATATCTCTTGGGAGTCTGCGTGTTCCACCGTACCAACATTCCCAAATTCAATATCCCGAAATTCATTGGGATTGCTTTGGCCACCGTGGTGTCTTTCGCAATCCTGCTCCTCCCGATTGTTGCTGGCACTTTGTCCGAGGCCAGCCGCGGTATCACTGCCCATCCTGGCGGTGCTCATCCCCCTCTCCCGTTGTTTGCAGATCTGGCAAAGCACTTGAACACCGAGGCCTTCTACTACCCGGTCATCGAGCAGCTCGTCCAAATGATCCATCGCATATTTCCCTTTGCCCGAGGTCTCTTCGAGGACAAGGTCGCGAATTTCTGGTGCGCCATGAACGTGGTGATCAAGCTTAAAAAGTATCCGGCTGAGCTGCTGCAGAAGGGTGCGTTAGTTGCGACACTAGCAGCAATCGTTCCGCCAAACCTCATCTTGTTCCTGCGACCCAACAAGCATCCAGGTCTCTTGCCCCTTGCCTTTGCTACAACCGCCTGGGGTTTCTTCTTGTTTAGTTACCAAGTCCATGAGAAGAGTGTCCTTCTCCCCCTGATGCCTATGACCTTGTTGCTTGCAGGGAGACAAGGATTGGCCAAGGATACTCGTGCCTGGGTAGGATTTGCCAATATCTTGGGCTGTTGGACCATGTACCCGTTGCTGCAACGAGTCGACCTCCGAGTCCCGTATACCGTTTTGACTCTTCTTTGGGCTTACCTTCTCGGTCTGCCTCCGACGTCGCTGAATGCGTACTTTCAGGACGGCTCAAGCATCTGGAGCCAATGGGCCACCGCATTCATCCATGGCTTCTTTTACCTGACGATGGTGTTCTGGCATGTGCTGGACATGTTCGTTGTGGCCCCGAAGGACAAGCCAGATCTTTGGGTGGTTGCCAACGTTGGCGTTGGTGTTGCTGGGTTTTCGCTGTGCTATCTTTGGTGTCTCGGGAGCCTTGTCATCGAGAGTGAGATTCTACCCCCGTCTTGGACCGGCAAGGAAGCAAAAACGAAAAGTGAATAGAATAGGTAGGGGGGTAAATCCGACACAGAAATTCGGCCGCCTCACACTCTACGCCATGGACTGTATAAGCCGTTCCTATGGGTCAGCCTCTCTGCTATGACATATACACCGTGAGATATTGTTCGAATTAAATCTTCTCATCATATGCTTATTGATCGACATCTAAATTTACCTTGAGAAGTCTGGAACCAAAGGCCATGAGTTCGTTCTCTTCAGGCAACCAGAAGGCTTTGCACGGCGCGCACGAATACACTCCATGCTGTGTTATATGAATTGTGAACAAGGCGTGCATGTCTGGGAGAGGAGACCCATTCTACCACCCCAGCCCGATCCTTGAACTCAAGCAAGCCGACAGACACTGACATGTGTACGTGCCTACAAGCGCACACTTGTGGCGAGTTTGAGGATCAGTACTGCAGCGGGAAGGCGAAGTAGTGTACACGGCAGCAGCGGGGAGTGTCACAAGCATGCCAGAAGACTGACACGACTGGTCATTGATCATGGTGCGCCAGCCGCCATGTTAGCTTCGTCCATTTCACACTGGTATCGTGGGGGCCACGTTGGGCCGGATGCGGGAACGTCAGCAGCGTTTCTCCGGGTGGCTTTTGTGGAGGCTTGTCGAGCAGGGGCTGGATTCTTTTTCGGGATGTTGGAATTTGCAATCGATATTCTCAGCCAGACTCCCTGACGCAATAACCAAGAAGGCCATCGGGAGAAGGACCGTTGTTTTTTTTTCATCAGAGGCAGGCAGGCCGGCCTGGCATGTTCGCGATTCATTGAAGAAGTCGGGCTGACAGAGTGTCGCTTGCCGCGGAACAGATCAGAGAGAAACTGCATGGGCTGGACATTGGCTACGGTCGGCCTGTAAACGCTCACCTCGTCCCCGATTGAAGAATTCCGGCATCGTGTCGGTGCAGGGTGTTCCCCGATGAGAGATGTAAGGCTGAAGCTCGTTTAGACACCCCCCTCCCCCAGGAATAGCCATGCTAGACAAATCTGACAGATGCCCAGGTCGAGGAAGTCCAGGGTTTCAGCTTCATTTTCAGCCCTCTAGGGAATGGTCAATTTCCCCCACATCCTTTGAATATTCAGCCCAGACACGGTGTCGACACCCAATCAGGAACAGGACACGCGAAGGTTAGACTTACCCCATGGGTGAGACGCAAGATAAGCCAACCTTCCACACTGGACGACACTTGTCTGTCGTTGGTGTTGTTATGCAGAGCTAGGTCGAGTTTGTTGTCACAACATCTCTCTCATTCGCCCTCTTGTAACCTTTCGTGCAGTCATGTCCGTACGGAAACTTCGTGGCGTCAATTTCCACCTCCTGTCGTCGCTCTACAATTCTACCCTCAAAGCCTTTCAACCTTCCGTCGTGTATACTGTGAATGGATGTTAACGACCCAAAAGACAGGCTGGACGCCGTGGACGGCATGAACGGCCTGGAGGGGCAGACTTGGTGGCAACAGTGAAATATCGTGTTGAACGTCCCCATGACCAGGAAAGATCCGACGAGGCCTCGTGGGACGGGTTGTTCCTGTCTGGCCTTCCCTCGGAGGCGTTCCCAAATTTGAACTCAATCCTTTGACCTAGGTCGATAATGGTGCGTCTAGCTTGGCCACTCGTCCATGTCCTTTGTCTCTTCATTCTCGGATACCGGTCTCACGAACGGCAGACAGTTTCCTTTGTAGGACCACCCTCCACAAGCACGCAATACTGGTTTCACGTTTTTTGTAACGAAGGTTGTGCTTCATAAGACTTGGGACATGCCCATCTCAAGATCTATCATGTTGATGATTTTGCTGCTGCCGGACAGTGATCAGTAAAGTACCTACTCGATATCAGCAATCAATCACTCGTCCAGTCACCCCTCCACGGACATCACAGTTCGCTCGACCGACCATCTCGCCCTCGGTCTATAGATACCGGAATCCTGTGAGCTGCATCTCCCCGCTCGATTCTCACGGCCCAGCCCACCCAAGTCAATAGCAGAAGTTGCACTGTATCCGTTGCAAGCTTGTTCATACCGGTTTGTGGCTGTGGACACACCCCATTCAAGAGGCTGCCCTATCTCGCGTTCTTTATCTGAGGGTCTGTACCATCCCCCCATACTTTAGAACCTTTTTTTTTCTTTCCCCTTCCGCCTTCCTTCATACGAAATACTCTCGTCTGGAAACCCTATCGCCAGGAAGGACTTGCCTGGCGGAGATCGACAACAACAACAACAACATGTACGGATCACGTCTGTTCGTCGGGGTGGCCACTGCCGCCCTCTCGATAACTGCGGCGGCACAGACTTTCGTCAGCAGCCGAGCGTCGTCTACTAGTTCCTCGACATCCATCTCCGCAACACCCACGAGGGCAGCCGGTCCAAACGTCATTGTTATCGAGGTGGGAAAAGTAAGTCATTGTTGACGAGCGTCCAAGATCCAAGCAGCAGTGTGGCTTACCATATTTATAGCATGGGCATATCTTCGAGCCACACGAAGTGACTGGTGCCAAGAAAGGCGATGTCATTCGTACGTTACCCTTCGTGAAATCCAACTTAAGAAGTGTGCGATTTGATCAACCGACTAACGCTAAAGCTGGGTAGGCTTCAATTTTTATCCCACGGGTCACTCTGTTGCACGAGCTGAATTCGAATTTCCATGTTTCCCTTGGGAACTCTACCACCCTAATGAGGCCGGGATGTGGTCCAGCGGCGAGAATTACACTGACCCCGAGAGCTTCGATAAAGTAAGTTGATAGATTTTCAAGCAGTATGAGGGCTACTTGATCATGGCGTTGACAAAGTCACAAAATAGCCCCTTGAATGGCAGTTCACACTTGACACTGAAGAGCCCATGTTCTTCTACTGCTCCGCTCGTACTTCCTGTTCAACTCATAAGATGATCGGTGTCATCAACCCTAACGCTACGCATTCATGGGATGCCCAACGGAAGTACGCAGAACAAGTGACATACGATCTAAAGCCGGGAGAGACATGGAAGGCTGAAGATCCAAATTATGGAAAAGAAGATGGAAGCAAAAAGTCGGGCCTTAGTGCCGGAGCCATCGCGGGAATCGCCATTGGCGCGGCCGCCGTGGTAGCCATTGCCGCTGCCTTGGTCTTTTTCTGCGGCCGAAGGGGAGGGTTTCAAAAGGCCTATCGCAAGAGCGCCATTCAGCCGCCGGCACCCGCTACCGATGCCGCTGGTGCTCCGGCCATGGTAGAGGCACAGTACCACAACCAACACAATCCAGCCAGCCCTGTCCCGACACCGGCAGGCCTGAAGAGTCCCGGCCAAGCCAGCTTCACGACCTTCTCGACTTATCCGCACATGGACCCCAATGACCCATATCGAAGCATGACGGCGAGCCCTCAGCAACCTCCATACCCATATGGAACTCCCCCACCACAGCAAAACCCTGTCTCGCCGGGATCTCCTTATGGTTACAACACTTATAATGGACACGCAATGTCCGCGCCTGGGAGCGCGCCTGTTCCCGGGCCCAACTCGCCTCTCATGATTGGAGAACTCAGCTCGTAAGTTTTATGTTTCCACAGATGAGAACCGAAAGGCAATTAACCAGAATTCATTCATACTTCAAGGGTTCCTCACTCTCGTGATGTTAATTATCAAGCTCCGGTTGAGCTTCCGAGCGGAGACGGCACCTCAGTCAGGCCTCCATCGACGATGCCGGGATCGCCTCCTCCGCAATATGAGAGCGGGAGCAATGAAGGTGCCAAACAGGGTTGGACAGTTGGCGAGGAGAATCAGTTTCAGAAGCGATGAGTGGTAATTTGCTTTTGGGGCTGTCAACCGGCAGTTGCTTAATGAATGAAGGACTATAAATGGCACAGAGGGAATCAATGGGAACGACGATAGGCAAACCTATGCCATGTGTCTCTCGAACTCAAATTACGTGATGGTAGCGTTCTGAAAACATATCTGGCTTCTGTTAAGTGGAAATCTGTCAATGTTTTATATTACCTGGTTTTTGGTATCCCAAGCTGTGAATCAAGGACACTTGCTCGATATTGTCGTTTTGATCACTATTAGAGCCTTCGCGACCATACACCACGGCGGTTGAGTGTCCTCCTCGAGACTTACATCCTCACATACCTACGCACAGATGACTTACCCAACTTCCAAACCCAAGTCAACGCCTCACTTAATTCAACGCCTCAGTTAATTCAAGCTCATTTCTCTTAAACAAAAACCGTACCGTACCCCTCCGACCCTGCGCACCACCATCTAGACCAGCAAAGGTTTAGCCACACCAAACTCAGAAACGGTTCACCAAATCCAGGGAATCGGTCCGTCAGGGAAGCTACCACACAAAGAAACGGGCCCTGTCCCGTCCTCATCCTTGTCCCGTTTGTTCCCCATCCCTTTGTTCCCTCGCGTTCCATGGGGCCTAGTAACCGGTCAGTAGGAGGCAAACTTATGAACAGGTTTTCTTCTGCAGGGCCCATGGCTATAGGGAGAGAGGGGAGCGGGGGCGTGAGGATGTCTTTGTTTGATTTCCATGCTTCCGCGTCTTCTTTTGACCCGCTCCCTTGTGGTTAGGCAGCTAGTAGGCCTTTTGGCCGAGGGGTTTGAGGAGAGTTTAAGCTTAATTGAGACATTATCAAACCAACATTTCTTGACCTTCTTGACACGCTTAAAAAAGGGTGAATGTGGTAAGGTATCGTTGATGAGAGATGCTACGCGCACTCCAAGGTTTGCCTACGCGCACTCCAAGGTTTGCCTACGCGCACCCCAAGTTGGAGAAGTATACTCGATGACTTTCAGCCACAACGGTCAGATTGCTATGGAATGTGGCGATAAGCACGCAAGTGGTGCTCAATATCTAGCAGTACCTTTTTCTTGTTTTCTTCTTCTTGTTTTTTTCGCGCCTATTTTCCCTTGAACTGACCGTTGAATCTCGTAATCACATCCATCGCGCTGGTCCTTGCGACCAAAATCACGCACAGCCACGTTACGACCTTCAAATACGCTTAACAACTTTAATTGACAGGACTCAACCTACTAGACTAGTTTATTTGATACCAGTTCTAAAACACATGATGAAGGTGTGGTTGAAACAAGCCCGTACCGATCTGGTGCTTGGGGTGTGTGTAGGTTTTTCCTGGAGTACGAGTGGGACTTTTCCTGATGAGTGTGGTTTCTGAGTAGTGATAGACTCTGGTTCGGCAGGGGATAGGGATTCGAGGATACGCGACTGGCGATGCTAGAGGGTTTACCTTTTGAAAATGTTGATGGGCTGTAAGTCTGTCAGAACTTCGCTATAAGTAATTTAGCTTGAGCGCTTCAGAACACCGAAGGCCATCGAAATGAAAGTCTGGCTTGAAGTCTTTCAATTCTTCAAGATGTCTTCGTCTATAAGTACCATGAACTGAGCCCGATAAAGGGAGTATGTATTCCGATGAAATGGTAAATCAAAGTGAGAAGGAATCCAACCGGACCTCTCGCCATCGCCGTAAATAGTCAAATCCTGGCCCCTCAACTCGATGCCGACGTCGCCGTCATGCCGGATTGCGGCAATGGGACAAATTAAGGTTGTGCCATTGGAGTTGAGCATGCTTCCCATGCGTTGGACACGACAAGACAAACTACCGAGTCCCGTTCCTCACTGAACCGGGCCTAGCGGACGCATGTGTGGATCGGAGGACGACCTTGCCGGCCCGTAATGGAAGCTGAGAAGGCATTGACCCCTGCACTCGTCTGTTATACTCAACCTTGTCAGCGACGTCGCTCGGCTGGGAAAAAAAGAGCCTGAAGAGCTTCCTAATTCGTAGTGTAGTCTGATCGGGCTGTTGCATTGAGGAGGGCCATTGCGCAATTTTGACTTTTTTCAGCGGGGTTGCGGTAGCGTGTTTACTGCATGTTAAGATCGAGGTGAATAGGAGTTAGGAGAAGTGTCAGACACGACGATGAGGCTCCTTTTTTCTCGATCTTGAAGCTATTCCTCGTCGCCAAAAGGGGGAAATTCGGATCAGATCGCACTATCCAAACAGTCGAGATTCGAGAAAGCTAAACCCAGTCGCAGCGTGGGGTCTTTGGCGATCCATCGCTTCCGAGGCTCCATTCTTCCCGTGCCAAAAACAACGGTTGGTTCGTGCGCTCGCTCGCAACAAGCCAGTCCAGCTGGGTGACCTTGGATGCTTGGGCACTCCAGCAGGCAGGGCAACTCGAAACACCGGAAGGTTGACCCGTCGGCCAAGAGTAAGGGACCCACAGTTGCCCGCTGTGTGTATTTCCGTTTGAGGATACTTTATTTTCAGGAGTAGCTGCTACTGCAAGCTATGTACTTTGTAACATAAGCCCCATTCGCCTTGGCAGCTTCTCGATGAGGCACTTGCAGGAAATCACGGAAAGACATTTGGTTAAGGACACAGTTGTATGTTAATAACCTAGGTACCTGACTGACCTCACCACCGGGACACTTCCATCTTCAAATCCACCTTGCCTTCGTTGCATCTTCCACCTCTTCAGCTGTCAGTCGGACCTTGACCCTTCACCACCAGGTCTCAATCCGAAAGCTGCTGCGCCTGAATCGAAACGAGGGCCCATCTTCCACTCTCAACCTGAACTTGTACAAGCTCGGTCCCGCATTTATTATTACTCTCTGGAGTCACCCTGAGCTGGAACCCTCCGTCATCACTCCTACTTCTCGGCGCTCATCCCTCCACAAAACAACACCAACCTGGTTTCGCGATCCAGGAGCAACACCTGCGCTTGACCACGTCTCGATATCCGACGCCATACTCAGTTGATCAACCAGACCAGACGCGATCGAACCTCACGCAATGGCGCAAATGCGGGGACCCAGCAGCTATGGCATTGGTGCCTCGAGCCCTTTCGGAGGACCCGTCAACGAAGACTCGACGGAGTCCAGCCCTCTCGACGCAATTCGGAAGCAGACGAGCAAGATTGAGGACGTCCTGGATTCTTTTAGCGAGCCCATCAAGCCGTATGTCAGACCTGGTCGAGGGACGTCTTCTACTACACGTTGGGGTGTTGCTGCTGACCGAATGGTGGTGTACACAGATACCTCCCCGCCATTGGCCGCTTTTTGATTGTCGTAACCTTCATCGAGGATGCGCTCAGAATCATGACACAGTGGAACGACCAGCTGCTGTATCTTCACGACTACCGCCATAGTATGTGCCCTTCGAGGGTCCATTAGTCTGCACCTTGCGCACAGCTAGCCAAGCATTTACTGATCATGGATATCCTACAGTTCCCAATGGCGTCACCCACCTCTTCCTTCTCGTCAACGTTATTGCTATGGCCTCCTGCTCCACCCTCGTCATCATCCGCAAGTACTCTGAGTATGCCGTCGGCGGTCTCATCGGCGTTGTCATCACCCAGGCGCTCGGTTACGGACTCATCTTCGACCTCAACTTCTTCCTCCGCAATCTCTCTGTTATGGGCGGTCTACTTATGGTGCTCTCGGATTCATGGGTGCGCAAGACCAAGGCCTTTGCCGGTCTCCCCACGCTTGAGGAGAAGGACCGCAAGATGTACTTCCAGCTTGCTGGCCGTGTCCTCCTCATCTTCCTCTTCATCGGCTTCGTTTTCAGCGGAGAGTGGACCATCTGGCGTATCATTGTCTCACTCGTAGGCCTTGTTGCTTGCGTTATGGTTGTTGTCGGCTTCAAGACCAAGTTCAGCTCCACTCTTTTGGTTGTCATTCTGAGCATTTTCAACCTTCTGGTGAACAACTTCTGGACTGTAAGTGATTTCTCCTCCAACGGACACAGTTGTGTTTTGGTCTTAATAAATCGAACCGCTGCTAACTGTGTGCCATTCTAGCTTCACGAGCATCATCCTCACAAGGACTTTGCCAAGTATGACTTCTTCCAGATTCTCTCCATCGTTGGAGGTCTCTTGCTCCTCACCAACACTGGCCCGGGCCAGTTCAGCATTGACGAGAAGAAGAAGGTTTACTAAGGGGTCCGAAAGAGGAGGTGAAGGGGAGAAGGATCTGCGTAGGGGTACATGAGAATCCCTTGCTGATTCGAGCTCGGCAATCAGAGCCAAGCAAGGGTGTTGTCTACATGGGTTTGGAAGCGAAACGAGCAAATGGAGACATGATGGGTATGTCCCGCCACGCCGGTCAATGCTATGTGGAGGGTGATTCGAATCTCATTTGGGAGTTGAAAATACGTCACGGGTACCTAGGAGAAAGTCAGGAGTAGGTTATGTGATATGGTATAATTTTGATCAGTAGCGGCGTATAATCCTTTTGGCTGTCTCTATCTGTATGACGGTTCTCATAGTGTGGAAATTTTGGAAACAAGGCGTTTGTTGCAATGCTCGAAATAGTCCTGAGATGAAAAGAAATGTTCTTCGTAGCTGTTGAGGTTTTCCATCGAACCGATGGTGGACCAAAATTTCGCTTCAGATCTCACTCAAATCAGGACTACGTTTCTTCGATGCATTCATGTACGATACTTCCGAGGGTAGTACAATTCGTGTCACTCGAGTGGCCATACATATCGAACACGTCGGATTCGCTGCACTTCTGGAATGGCCTTCACGTATCACGCAATTCGTCTTAAAGTAGTCTTCCCAGAATTGCGAGTGTATCATACCAAAACCGTTCGAACCATCAGATTCACGTTAGTAAGTGAACCATCAGAAATTTTCATTGTTAGAAGCCAGACTCACCTCTCTTCCCAATCGCAACCAAACGTGACAACAAAATACAAAGGGTCATTCATACCATCGCTATGTCCATACACCCAAATAATACCTAGTAGTAAACCCGGAAACCTCAGAACTCCACGCTTGGAACGTAACAGAACTGTCATGCCATACCAAAGCCACAGAGAACAATGAAGCTTCCGCTTATGTGGGGGTTCAACTCCGTATCCTCCCTCCTAAGCCCTTATCACCGCCCAGAAGGTGAAAAAAAAATTGGAAAAAACAGAAAGAAATCAGGAAATCAACAACCTATCCATCGCACTCTTCGCAGATGCAATGATCCTCATACCCGGTGACCTCGTCTTCTTCCCGTCCGCCTTTCCTTCCATCTTTTCATCCGCCTCGCCCGCCGCCGCCAGCGTCGTGGTTATTCCCGTCGACGCAGTCGGCGATATCGACTTCTCACTAGCACTCCCGACATCCAGACCCCCGGAAATCAACGGAATCACCCCCTCCAACTCCCCACTCGCCACCAATGCCTCCAACCTCTCCTGTCGTCTCCTCGACCTCTCCTCCAACCTCGCAAAGATATCTTTGAGTCCAATATGCTCTACCTTCTCGCACGGCTCTTGTTGAAGGCCATTGCCATTACTCTTGTCCCGGCTGCCAATCATACAACCACCATCATCATCACCCAAGCTAATCACCGGCCTCTGACTCGCCGTCCCTGCCGCCCCGCCCTGTCCGTACACATCCAGCTTGAGCATGGCGCGGGCTATCAGGCGCCAGGTTGCGGGGGGCAGCGACTGGGCGAGAAGGGCGACCATGTCCTCGCATCGCTTCCAGGAAGTTGCAATGGGACCCCAGAGTCCGCCGTAGCCTTCTAAATCGAAGAAGATGTGGCGGCCTGAAGAGGTGGCGGAGAGAGTCTCCTTTTCGACGAGGTCGAGGAGAAGGGTATAGGACGAGGAGAGGGAGGGGAGGATGGCGGCGAGGAGGACCATGTTTTGGATGGCCGAGTCAGGGGGTTCGTTCTCGTCGGAGTTGTTGTTGCTTTTGTTGTCGGTCTTGGTGTCGGTGTCGGTGTCGGTGTTGGCGGCAGAGGAGGAACTGCCACCGAGAGGGTCGCCGCAGATGCTGCAGAGGATGGTCTCGTGTGCTATCTTGGTCACGGTACGGACGGTGTAGAGCGCTTGGGTGATGTTGTCAGTGGGCACGATGCGGAGAGACTCCATGGCCTCGCGGAGATTGCCTGAGCAAGCACATTGAGCGGCGGGCTGGCCACCGACGGCGCGGTCGTTGGTGTTGGTGCTGTCGCTGGGACTGGTGGTGGAGGAGCCGCCGGGAGTCAGATGGGGGACGGTTGATTCGGATACCTCTGATCGTGATGCCGGGCGGGAGCCGTGGTGATTGTGAGATGTGTTTGGGTATATTCCCTCTGGTTGTTCTCGCTTCGGGAAGGGCGAGGAGTATTGCTGTATTGAAGAGGAGCAAGCTGATGTGGACGCTTGTACGTCAATGCTGTCAAAGTTGACATCGAGGTATCCCCCAAGTACCGGCTGCCATTGTGCGTTGACGGCAGCCGTGGAATCCATCCAGGCTTGGTTGGCATGTCTTGTCTCCTCCTTGGGCATGGTCTCTATTTGCCCGGGTGCCGGTCCCGGTTGGGGGATGTCATAATCCAAGGACAAGGGGAAGCCATACGATCCGAACTGGAAATTTGGGTCGAATATGTCACTGAAATTTATGTCTGTGTTGGTGACGTCGAGAAAGCACATGTCCAGGTCCAGGTTGAGGGTCCCGTCAAAGGGCATGGAAACAGGATAGGTCAAGGCCGCCGTCTCGCTGGGGGGAACATCATCAGTCTTTGCCTCCTTTCGCGATGCCTCGGCCACGTCGACGTGAGGACGTTTCCTTGGCCGACCCATGGGTTTCTGGGCCGAGTAGTTACAGTGAACGCCTTCGCGCTTACACCGCGCACAGCCATCTGGTTCTTTTGAGCAAGCAAGTTTCCGTGCCCCTGTATTTGTTAATTTAGATACATCAGTGCGGTTGGGCAGTCATGATTGCTGGCTAGAGGGTAGAGGTAGATAGATATATGGATCGAAACGGGGAGCGGGACGAAACATACGGCACTCGTCACAGGCACGGCGTTTCACCGGCTCTTTCTCCTTAGTGACCTCGCTGTTTGAGATCATGGCTGTTTTTCGCAACCGGCCTTTCCTTTAATTTTCCTTTTTTTCACCCCTTCTTTTCCGCGGGCGTAGATGTGTGGTGGATAAAAAGGGTTGAGTGGTAAGGTAAACGTCCAAGGCTCTCCGCAAGCCCCGCTTAGAAGACACAGATATCGCCCCGGTGGTACTTCAAGACACTATCTAGACGCTAGTGTGGTGTACACAGTAGATGGGCAAAGAGCATGGATATGTACGTTGTAACAAGGGACCTAGGATGGTGGGATCGACTCATTTTCAAAGGAGGGCAAAGAAAGCAGAATTCAGACAAGATGCTCCAGGCCCGCAATGCTAACGGGCCAACGCAAGCAATCAAAGATCACTTAGTCGCGCCAGACCTGATGCCACTATTAATAAGCCGCAATTAACACAGATAATGCAGAGACTGACTGTCTGTTGCCGCATTGCCTCAAATGGCACTGGTAGTGTATCACTCATCTGCCGAACAACAACATCCAAGCCTTTGGAAGTATATGTGGCTCACTGGCCAAAGGCATGTCCTTTACTGTAGCCTGGTTTTATGGCAGTATTGTAGTGTAGTGTGAAGGTGTCGAGTCACCCTAGCCCATCAAGGTTCCCTATTAGGCGTCGTGCTACATATTGTCAACTGCCATGCTTAGAAAGCGCAAAAAGACGGCGATGGTGACAAAAAACGTAGGAGGCAATGGGGTAAAATTCGAATAAAAGTCTATAATTACAAGCGATCCATGGAGACTCAATCTGATCATGCCGGGTATTTGATTGATGCTGGTTTGCCAGTTTTGACTGCCAATACCCACAGAACGGGCAGGACGAGCTACAGAAGTGGAATCGTACGTGGTTGAAGCCAGGTGTAGGGGTGCAGAGGGATGCTGCATCGAGGTTGGAGTTCGGTATTCATCTACACGTGTGTAACAAACAAAGCTAAAAATTTGAAGTCGGTATCAGGGGACGGAGTGCATCCCTCCTGGCTTCATTTGTCTCCATTCAAGTCTCCTCTTTGACACGCTAAGCCGATAGGGTAATATGTTTGGTTCTTTAGCTGCCAGGAATGCCAAGGGCGGTGAGACCAACTCGTCCCCGCCATGAGCTGTAGAACCGGCAGAAAAAAAAGTCCCAGGCCAATTCGTATGCTAGGAATTTTCGACGCCTATCGCTGCGACGCTATCTGGGTGTTTTACCAGCAGAAGACACGCCAAAAATCAACACATATTCACAATGGGGCCAAAAGCCACCGAGAAGAAGCGAAAGGTCCAGGACGCCGAGCCTGAGTCCGACGACGAGATTGCACCCGATTTTGACGGCGCCCTGTCGCAGAGCGAAGACGAGTTCGATTCTGACTTCGACGACAACGAGCACGAACAGGACGGCGAGCAGGAAAGCGGAAGCGAGGCCAGCGACGACGAAGATGAGGAGGGCTCCCTACTAAGCGACGACATTTCCTCCGATGCTGAGGGCGACAAGGCAATGGGCAAACTTGTTCTCGAGGACGAAGAAGAGGAACTTGAGATTGAGATACCCGGAGTCGACCCCAAGCGGCCGGAGAAGGATGATGGAGACAAGAACTATCGGATCGAAAAGGATGCGAACGGCAACGAGCGCTACGTCTACGAGTATGTTTTTGCTCTGCAAATGGACTAGAAACCGTTCCATGCCAGCATAACTAACTCGAGAATGCAACAGTGAGATCGACCCCGTCTACGATTCGGACGATTCCGATGCCCAAGAAGCGCCAAACACCATCGGCAACATCCCCATGAGCTTCTACGACAGCTATCCCCATATCGGCTATGATATCAACGGCAAGAAGATTATGCGCCCGGCCACTGGCGACGCTCTTGATGCTCTCCTCGACAGCATCGAAGTGCCCAAGGGCTGGACTGGCCTTACGGATATTCACACCGGCAACCCTCTCAACCTCAAGTATGCACCCAATCCATCATCCTTTGTGTTGCTCGGTTTCTTCGGGTCACGCTTACTGACTGTCATAACGTAGTGATGATGAATTGGAGCTTGTTCGCCGTGTCCAGATGGGTATGATTCCCAACGAGCTGGAAGACCCCTACCCTGAAACCGTGGAATACTTTACTGGTATCGAGGAGAAGATGCGTAAGTCTAAATCTATCCACATTTATCACTGTTGGAATGGTGCAGCTAACGAGTCAATAGCCCTGAGCGCTGCCCCTGAGCCCAAGCGTCGCTTCCTCCCCTCCAAGAACGAGGCCAAGAAGATTATGAAGCTTGTTCGCGCCATTAGGGAAGGCAGGATCCTGCCCTACAAGCCCCCTGAGGAGCGCGAGAAGGAGGAGGAAGAGGAGGAGCAGTACTTCGATATCTGGCAGGATGAGGTGCCACAAGAAGTCAACCCCTTGCACATCCCGGCACCCAAGCTGCCTCCTCCTGGTTTCGACATGAGTTACAACCCGCCCGCAGAATACCTACCGACCAAGGAGGAGAGAGAGGAGTGGGAGAAGCTCGACCCCGAGGAGCGCGAGAAGGAGTATCTCCCTCAGAAATACGACTCTTTGAGGAAAGTTCCCGGTTATGGCGAGATCGTCAAGGAGAGATTCGAGAGGTGCATGGACCTTTACCTTGCTCCTCGTGTGCGGAAGAACAGGCTCAACATCGATCCCAACTCGCTCCTGCCCAAGCTTCCTTCGCCTTCTGAGCTCAAGCCTTTCCCTACCGTTGCCCAAACAGTTTTCCGCGGCCATGACGGCCGTGTAAGAAGCGTTGCCATCGACCCTACTGGTGTTGCTGTCGCTAGCGGTGGCGATGACGGTACGGTACGTGTGTGGGAGCTGTTGACGGGTCGCCAAGTCTGGTCTGTCAAGCTCAGCAGTGAGGAGGCTGTCAACACCGTTAGGTGGAGGCCCGCGAAGGACTCTTTCATTCTCTCCGCTGCTGTGGGTGAGGATGTCTACCTCATGGTTCCTACACACGCCAGCGTTACTCCTGCTTTGGACCAGGCTAGCAGAGATATCCTGTCGGCTGGCTTCGGTTATGCTACAAACGGCCAGCAACACGGCGCTGCTCCCGGCAAGGAGCCTCCTGCCAAGTGGGCCCGCCCCGGTGCTAAGCTCGAGGATGAGGGTGTTTTGATCAGGATCACAGTCAGGTCGACCGTGAAGGTCATCAACTGGCACAGGAAAGGAGACCATTTTGCGACAGTATCGCCTTCCGGACAGAGGAGCTCCGTCGCCATCCATACGCTCTCCAAGCACCTCACCCAGATTCCCTTCCGCAAGCTTTCTGGCTTGGCTCAGACAGCTTCTTTCCATCCCCTCCGTCCTCTCTTCTTCGTCGCCACTCAACGAACAATTCGCTGCTACGACTTGCAGAAGCTCGAGCTGGTCAAGGTTGTCCAGCCTGGCGCCAAGTGGTACGTATCCCCATTATCACCCGGATAATGTGACTGGAATTGATTTGCTAACTCTGTTGACTTGTAGGATTTCTTCGTTTGATATCCACCCCGGCGGTGATAACTTGATTGTTGGCAGTTACGACAAGCGTCTCTTGTGGCACGATCTGGATCTTTCCATTCGTCCGTACAAGACGATGAGGTTCCACAGCGAGGCGGTTCGTCAGGTCAAGTACCACAGGGGCGGTCTGCCGCTCTTCGCTGATGCCAGTGACGACGGCACTCTCCAAATCTTCCACGGCAAAGTCCCGAACGATCAGCTGGAGAACCCCACCATTGTCCCTGTCAAGGTGCTCAAGGGACACAAGGTCGTCAACAAGCTTGGTGTTTTGGACATGGACTGGCACCCGCGTGAGCCGTGGTGTGTGTCTGCCGGTGCTGACGGTACCATCCGTCTCTGGATGTAAAAGAACAGCGTTTAATGGGACGAGGCAAAAGATGAACAAAACACAAGGAAGGAAAACGGAAGCGAGAGGACAGGTTAATCAGTCTGCTTGTCTTGATTGGCGTGCTCGGATGTGCAATTATTATGATTAGAAAGATACACAGGCCAGTTGGAGTGTATACAAGTCGACTGCATGTATGTTCGGCGGAGTTCTCGGAATGCTAAGGAAATATACCACATTTTCGTCTTTACGCTACTTTGCCATTGGGCAGCAGGGGGGTGATCTAGGCCGATGAGGTCTCGCCATGGCTGTTAGGCGGGATTATTTGTCTGCCCTACGACCCCTGTCTATTCAATCTGGGTCTCATGTCCGAGATGATGCCTTTCTGAAACCGCAGAGAGTCGAGCAGGTGTGCTACACAAATGCCGGATCCTGCTTGCGTGGTTGTTCGTCGGAAAGGCCCGGGAAATGGATCAAACTCCACGCCCGAGCTGCCTTCATGTTTGCCTCTGCCGTTATTATGTAACCACACGTTCTTTCCCAACCGTTTTTTTTTTTGTTCTGATTTCATTAATCGTTTCCTTTTTATCCGCTTGAACTCGTGCCACGAAAACCTGCATATTCTCATTCATCGTGCATCAAAAGTGTCGCAGAGATAGGGGTTACGGTAGTGCCCGAGAGCCCAGATCTCCCCACAAATCAGTCAGCCCTATAAAGACAAAACTTTCCACTTGTTTTCTCTTCCTTACCCCTTTCTTACCCCTTTCGGTTTGAGCTTTTTTTGATCTCTGAACTCTGGTTTAGACCACTCCTCGAGGTGCTTTGGACCATCCAAAAGGCACACAACATCGGCAGCGTTCACACTTAACCTTGACGATCACACTCCAACAAAAAGAAAGGAAAATTGAAACTCCGGCAGGAAGAAGCCTGATAGACATCAAGGACACCCATTTCACACGAATGAACTCTATAGGCTGGCCTAGACCGGATACTCCAGTCCAAGCGACCGGTGCAATGATGACGAAAGCATGAACATATTCTGATCACCAATGAACCTCTCCAACTGCTACCTACCGACCCACCACTCGCCAACAACTCTACAAATACCTATTCACCCCATCAGCAAACCTCTCAAAAATCTCCAAATCCACCGCCTCTGCCATTACCCGATACCCCTCCGGATTCAAATGCAAATGATCTCCACTATCCCACCTCTCATCCAGCATCGTCTTATTCCCCCGATCCCTCACAGCCCTATCAAAGTCCACCACCGCATCAAACCTCCCACTCCTCCGAATCCACTCATTGACCCTTAGTCTCGTCTTCTCCCTCTCCGGCTCACCATACGCCTGTCCCGGCCCGCTCATAGGCGTAATGGTTGCCCCGAACGCCGCGATCCCGTGGGAGTGTAGGCGAGTGATCATCTGCTCGTAGGCAGAGATCAGTCGGTCGCCGACGGATTGTTGGGAGACCTGATCGAGGGGTGCGGTACCGATGTCGTTTACCCCCTCCAAGATGAGCGCGTAGCGAACCCCGGAACCAGGGCGGGCGAGGACGTCGCGCTCGATGCGGCCGAGGGCGTTGGGGCCGAGACCGTCGGCTAGGACGCGGTTCCCGCCGGCGGCTTGGTTGATGACGGAGATCAATGACAGCGAACGACGACCGGCTTTTTGAAGGCGAGCGAGAAGCTGGTCCGGCCAGCGGTTGTTGGCGTTGGTGGTGGATCCGCGGCCGTCGGTGATGGAGTCGCCCACAAGGTAGAGGGCGGAGGCACGCTCGGGCTGGTAGGCCTCGATGGAGGAGAGGAAGTACCAGTGGTCGGTGCTTGCTACTCCAGCGGTGGAGGACAAGTTGGCAGCAGAGACGAGGTTGCCCGGCGCAAGCCAGCTGGTCGTCCGGCTGCCGGGGTGTCCAGTGATGGACTGGCCGGCCTGGCCGGAGGCGAGGTAGAGCGTGACGGTCAGGACGGACTGGGCCTTGACTTGAAACTTGATGGGGTCCGAGACGACCACGGCGCCGTTGGGAACGAGGAAGTCTGGTTGGCCTCCTGAGAAGGTGACGGTCTTGATGGTACCGGGCTTGATGGCGCCGGAGCCGGCCCCTGCTCTAGATGCGGGCAGGGCGACGGTGACTGCGGTGATAGGCAGCTCAGAGCCGCCAAAGGCGTTGCTGAAGCTCAACCGGATGGTCGAGGCATCTTGAGTGATGTAGACTGTCTGGCGCAGGGTGGCGTTTTTGAAGACCGTGTCTCCGCCGTTCTGAGAGTTTATGTTAGTGTACGGGTTGTCGGCTTCCTCATTGGTAAGCCAAAATACTGAATTCGGACACTACTTACATATGGAGCTGGAGGAAGGTTTTCAGACTCAACAAGCTGCGGCATGGAGCCCCAGATATCGATCCATTGATTTGAGCTCTTCGCGGAAACCGACGAAGATGGGCACAAGAGCAACACTCCAGTAATCAGGATATTCTTCAGGCCGAAGCCTGTGAACGATGAACCGAACAGGGCGGCGAGGACGGATCTTGAACGGTGCTATTGTTCCAGAAATCACGAAGCCCAACTTCGTCAAGGGATTGGCCTACGCTTTCCATATTGACTGTCATCCACTCAGGGCGATGGATAGGTTATATACCGATATTAATCCATGCAGGAACATGCCGATGTGTAACTGTCTATGGTAGGTAACAGAGTCCATTCTGGGGATCTGGGATGGGATATCCAAAGGTAGCACGGTCAGAAATTAGGCTAAATGGTACATTCCCAGTTCAACCATCGCTAGGCGATGGCTAGTCTCGTTGACTGGAAAGAAAACACAGAAAGATTTCGGAGCATGGACTTGGTCTTCTCCAAACGCTCTAGTGGAACGTGGAGAACGGCATTTAGAATTCTCCGGCAATCTCTATCCCCGCATCGGCTGCTGTATTTCCTCTTCCCTTGTTCCTTCAACCTTGCTGTACTTGAACCCCGCACGAACATGTTCCAAGATAGCGAAGTCGCTTTGCATTTATATCACCGTCACGTTCGGTCAAGCGGTATCTATTTCTCCGTCGATCCGGTAATCGGGCTCGGTCCAGGATGGTTCACAAGAACATCGTGATCATATTACTATCGTGGACGTCCTAGACTCTATACAATGAAAGCAACCATTATCCCAAACTTACAATTATCTCCGTTCGTCAACCAACATACAGTCATTGGTTTTTCCATCTCTATTCTGCCATGAGGTGTAAGCCGTTGTCCAAGCTTGAGCCCAACGTCCCATCCTTTTGCTTGCGATAACAAAATGCCACTCGACTACGCTTTCCCGCGATGTTACCTGAACATGGAACGCAAACAAAGTCCAAGTAAAGGGGAAAACCATTGAATGAGAACAGACAGGTGGAGGTAACACAAGGCTGGGTAAATGGGAGGGTAGTGAAACAATCAGGGCAAGACTGTCCCATTCGGAAAGCAACAGGACAAAGGAAGGATTGACTGTCCAGGGAAAGTACAGACGAAGGACAGAACATTATCAACATCACATACATGACGCCGATGTGAGCCAGAGCACAAAAGCAATGTGCTTTTCAAGCAGGAAGAGGCATAGGGTCCTCAAACAGGTCGAGGGTCGAGACTCGAGGGAGATGTCTGCCATCTGGCTCCCCGCACCATCCGCCTGAACCCGCAATCAGGCTCGCCTGCTCCGGGGACGAGGGAACATACGCCCAGTCAGATCCGACGCTGCTCGAAATGCTTTGCTTGGACTTGGGAGGCTTTGTGGTCGGAGGATTTTCGGACACCACAGGTCTGGCAAGCCGACCAACGAAGCCGGCGCCCTCAATCCAGCTGGGTATGTTGCCAACGTAGGGCTGGGCCGTTACCTCACTGTATTGCCCTAGGACCGATGCAGTGAGAGAAGGGCCTTTGGGAAGGGACTGGCTAGTTGCCAGAGGTGGAGTTGTAGCTACGGTTTCCTGGCGATCCATGACCTCGTCGGCAAAGAAGGTCTGGTCCGAGCTTGCGGTCTCCGTTGAGCATCCGTGAGATCTAGCGCGATAGGGCATCTCACGAGCGCCAGTGACGAGGTCACATTGTGCAATATCGGACGCCAAGTCGCCGCTGTAACTGGAGGAGGGTATACTGGCAACTTGGGCTGATGATTCGTTGTCATCGTTGTATTCAAGTGATCTGTCCTTGGTGTGGTAGCTTGTATACAGTTTGATCGACGTCCAGCTATCGCTGGCAGCGGACTGGGAGCCCAATGAAGAGCGCATTGTGCTGGTGTTGCGTCGAGAAGGTGTTGACGAGGTGATGCTCAATGGGAGCAGTGGTTAGAACGGGGTGTTATTCCGTTCGGTAAACGGTGTTGTATGTGAGGGTGGTGTACAGTTGTATGGCCATGAAGGTGGTATGGAGCTGGATGATGGGGTAGTGATCCTGGATAGACGACGATGCGGGCAACAATGTGGGAGTGCTCAAGCGTTTGGAAGGTTCATAAGAACAGTGATCTGTCTTAGTTGGAAATTCGGGTCTACAACAGTCAGCAACGAAACTCTGCCGGGCAACTGCCATCCGTGGTAAATTGGGGGGGCTAATTGAACGAGAAAGTAGAGTGTCCAGGTTGCTAGAGTTTGAAGGGAACGGGGAAAGTTTAACCATGCCTTGTCAACAAGCGGGGCAGTCCGAGAGCATCAACGACAGGTAACAGGTACGGTTTCGAAGGTTGGGAGCGTAGATGTCGTCGGCAACGAAGTGAGCCTACCGCTGAAGTAAAGAAAAGATCAAGACGGAAAGAATATATGATGTCAAAAAGTAATGGCGGGGGATGAAGAGGAGGTATGGGGTCTTTATGGACTTTTGATAAGGGGAGTAGAGAGGCGCATCTATATAGGTACCTCGAGGCAGGGGAGGCAGTGGAGGCAGGGGTACCTTCTGTGTGACTAACCTTGTGTTTATTGCTACGTCCAGGTCCAGCACCCCCGACCCGAGCAGCTTGCGTAAACAGGAACAAGACTCGAGATGAGCGTTCGGCGCGCTCGCAAACGTAGTCAGCGGGAAGTGAAGAAGGGGAAGAGGGAAAAAAAGGAGAGAAGGGGGGTGATCGAGTAGGGAGATCGAGTAGGGAGATCAAGAAGGTCGGGGCAGTGCATCAAGCGTGTTATTTGCAATAGAAGGTGTTTGCCGGAAAGCGTGGTCGCCAGGGTCTTTGGAGCGAAACCATTTCCTGTGAGTTTCCCGGGGATGTCTGGGCGATGTCAACAGAAGAGTGCCCAAGTACCGATTTGTGAGGTATGGACGCACTCGCCGTATTTCTCAAGCTGTTATTGCTGCCATTACATGAGTACCACACCTACCGCCCTGTTGATTCAGCTGTTGAAGACAAACTGCGCTGCTATGGTGACTTAGCTCAGCTTGGCTTTGCCAATTTGCATTTCCGTGGCTTTGTCAAATGTTCAGTTGATGGTCCTTCACATGCTTCGACATGCGTTGGTCGATCGAATGTGACGCTTTGTAGATCGAAAGGACTTTGCATGGTCCAGTCATAGATAGCGAATCGACCTTCAACTAGAAACTGTCGAAGATTTGGGCGTCATTATGTGAAAGAATTGAGATTAGCTATTATATGCGTATGGGCCCTTGTGAATGAACGCGTTGAACATTCGAATTTCGATTTTGAGCGGGTTAAAGTGTAATTGTCAAGCATAACGTTGCCCGGGGCGGAAATGGCGTTGCGGGGAGAGGTACGTGATAGAAGTGTGTGTGGGACTGGGAGTTTAGGAGGGGGACGATCAAGAGAATGGCCTCCCAGTTAGCCCATTCATCATAATATCTTGTCTCCAATGGATTTGGTTCCAGTCTCCTAAACAGTCAAGCTAATGTAATCATCACGAAAAGAAAAAGAACCCATTGGCCGCGGCGAACATTCATTGAACTGAACCCAGATTTCGGATAGCTGAGATAAATATGAGTATAGCAGCCGTTCACAACCAACTAATCACCCTTCCTTGTCAGGTAGGCTACTACACTACGGTATTGCGATCTTGGACCTGATGAACCGGGGACGATCTTCGGGCACAGGTACAATGTCGCAACGACAATAGTTGCTTTTTGCAAACCCAACCCCCCTTCCCCCGCGGGCGCCCCAGACAGTCTCGACAGTTATGAAGCTTCAACTGAAAGCAGGCCGGAAGTGGTAAGCCAAGAACTTTTCACGCCATCCTGGATCTCCTGCAGAGACCTTAGCTCCCAGGACTTACCAGGGACCCTCGCGCAGCATGCCATCACTTGTGGTAATGGTGTTGTAGTATCCTGTCGGCTGTGTTGACAACAAAGCTTTTGTGATTTGACACAGTCCGTCATAACCTAACACCCTTGCCATCAAATTCCCCGAGGAGTAGGGGTACCAGCAGGCTTGAGGGAGGCGAACACTACAGAATGTTCAACCGGCAGGAGGAACCCAGAAGGTGTACCTAGCTGGTGTTTCACTCACTGGCACCATCAAGATGCAAATTCGCATGAGAATCAAAAGAATTTTAACATGAGGCTTCCATGATTCGCTCGCTCCTGATCCTGATGTTTATCAGGCTGAATTGGGGACAGCCGGTTGGCTCGATGTTGTCGGGATGTGTCGATATCTTGACGAGCTTGAAAACCACAAAACCAAAATATACATACCTCTACTGCTATCCACATGTAAAATAAATAAAAGACACTTACGCACTGCGAGCTACCGCTGACTCTTTTCCCACTTGAGCAGCTCGTATTATCTACAGCCTGGTGAAAGAGGTCCCACGACCAAATTTGAGCCCTTTCATAGTTGGTTCATACCTCTTATGTTTTTAGAGATCAGGTCAAGGACAGAAGTAAGGTTCAGATATTGAAATGTCGGCATCATCCGAACGTCGTTGGTGCTTGAACCCGGAGGGTGCCAACTCCAGCTGCCAACTCCGCTAACTCCACCAACTCCACAAGTTTGAGCTCAGGGTGCATCGCGCTCTGCAGTTAGGCTACTGTTTGGTGTTGTACCCCCCCTGCTAGACGCTGTGCCCTTGCTGTAGCGTACATCAAACAGCATCTGGCGCCCGTAATGGGGTCATTCACTTCCAGGCGCCGGCCCAGCAGGTTCTTTGTACGTACAAGAAATAAAAGCTTGCAGGTTGTTCAATGTCTGGAGAATACCGGCAACTTCTTCGCGAGAAGACTGACTAAATCAGCCTTGGCCATGGTTGTTCAAACTCTTCCATATCGATTTTTGCTGAAAAATTTGCCGATCCTGGAGGTGGCAGCTGAAAAGTGGATGCATCCAGGTACGGTTCTTTTAGTGCAAGGATATCCTTGCGGAGGATCTGCCATGGTTTGTCATATGAGTTGACCTTACTAAAGACGACGGAACGTAGGAAGTGAAAAATAAGGATGATATGAATATAGGTACTTTTGTGTGATATCTCCGGCCAACTGGAAAGGGGATCCAGTACACAGCGACTTTGTCATTGTATCGACTGAGAATCAAAGAAGTGAGGTGGAACCTTTTCCAAGTTCTCTGAACGTTAACAACAAACACCGTTCATTCCCCAGTCCAACCACGGCAGGCTCGTCGATCTCGGTCAAGCTCGCTTTGGCTCCTGCCATCACTGGCTGGATGAACATGAACATTAATGCTGTGATCGGCTCAAACTTTTCATAGAAAAGTTGTGAGATTTTGGTACTTGGGTGACAGGGGGGTGACAGGGGGGGCAGAAATTGTACCTCAAACTCGCAAACTCTCGACAACTTTTCTGCCAGAAGTAGGTCCCCCCCTACTTCTGAGATTCAGTGAGTTTTGAGTAGAAAAGTTGTGAAAGGACCAATTAAATTTGAGGATTCCAAAGCTTGGCTAAGCTGGTCCAAGCTCTCGAAAAAGGTACTTGAGTAAAAAAGTTAGAAAACCTGCAAACCAGGCTAGCCAAGGCGCTATCGCTCTGAATGGGAAAGCCAATGCAAATCGGCGTCCGTGCCCGCTCGAAGAAGGAAAGCGCCTTTGGTAAAGGATTAGGCACAGCCCTGCTAGTGTAGAATATCCTTGAACACCCTCACAACTTTTCTATGAAAAGTTTGAGCCGATCACAGCATAAGGCAAATTGGGCAAGTACATAGAAATGAACTTACCGAACCAGTACCCCAGGTATTCAACATCATCATCTTGCGCTAGTCCCGCGAGGCTCCGCACCCAATCAACCCCGTCTTCCATTTCCACTACATACAGAGAAGAGAAGGCTCAAACTTCAACCATGCACATGCATGCAGGCACCGTAATTCCGTGATCACATGAGTGAAATTTATTTTTATTTCTTCATTCGATTCAAGTTACGTGTATTTGTCTTTCTCTTCATCTTGATATGACATGCCCGCGCTGCCTTGTCCAGTCGAGGAGGTAGTGTATGCCCTGCACCAACTTTTCAGTTTGGTGACGAGTAAACGAACTCGCCATCGATCTCTTGCCAGCTGAAGGGGGGAAGTGTCTTTCCGTTCCGGCAATGGACTTGGCGTAAGTGGCAGGTTGCCATCTGGCTCGGGAGCTGGGAAAGGCACTAAGAACTATAACTAACCTTAACAAATATGCCGAGGTGGTGTTTCCTTTTCTCACGAAGATTCGTAGTCCTTTGTATATACAGGGTCATACCGATCCGTTCGACAATCAGAAACCAACCAGTCTTTGTAATCCATCACGATCACTGCATCTATCAAACGGATACTTGCGTTGACAAAGTCGATATCCCCGCTGTCTCCGCTGTCTTCTCTTTTCGGACTGGCTCCCGTGCCTGGGATCAAGTCAAGTGAATGAATCCTGATCCTTGTCAAATTCATCCGATAAAAAGAGAACGACATTTTAATAGCTAAGATGAGCCTTCTGATGCTTTGAATGGGCATGGCCGATCATTTCTATGTAAGGATTCCCCCCCCTTCCTTCGGTTTGGTGCAGGTACATACAGCTCAATCGAGAATCATGAACCCCGCTCCTCCCCCTTGACGATGCAACAACAGCCTGGCTCCCCTTTCAGACTCTCTGAGTCAAGCCTTTCAAGCACTCACTCATCCATTCTTTTCGGATTCGTTCATTGACAGAAAAGGCAGGTATCAATCAGAAAGTTACACACTACACTAGAGGTATGTATTCAGCAGAGGAGTGAGTGTGTCCATCCAAAATGCCAGCCTGCCACATTCAACTATCCCATCACCCAACAAGATGGTGGAGCGCGCCCTTGAGCGCTTCAACCTCTTTACAAGCTTCCACCCGCTGATAGCAAGATAAAAGACTGGCCAGGAGGTACAAGCACTCAACAAGGCTTTCTTGCTCGGGAGCTCGCCGGTCATGTCGCCAAGTCCGCCAAGACCTTTTCGGCCTCAGGTGTTGCGTTTTGAAACAGCATCATGATATCTGTGAGAGTAGCAAAAAGGCCGAGATTTGTTTGTTGGAAATAACGGCTTGGACTGCGTGCCGGTCAATTTGAAGAAGAGCGGCGGGAGTGACAGTGTTAAAGGTCGGCCGAGGCTGATGTACTACACGCTTGTTTTTTTTTTTTTGTTTTTTTTTTGTTTTTTTTTGAGGAGAAAAAAAAGAGTTGCTGGCTGCTGGGCACATGGCACTATAGTGGAGGCTATGCCATACTGATATAGATCGGACACGGAATTTCCTGGCAATTACTGGGTCTTTGCATTTATTGAGTCTGGTATTTACAGGGCACATCACTATATGTAGTAAACTTGAAGTATCAGACCCGGAAGGGCCACACACACAAGTCCTGACTTAGCTTTCAAGTTGTCTTCCCACCAACACAAACGAAAACAGCGACACGTATTGCACTGCACTACTAGTTAACACCAGTAGTCTTTGCTCTGCCCGTTCCCGACCTCCTCTCCCTCTCCCTCTCCCACCGCTCCCGATCGCTTCCATTCGGCGACGGTGCCGACTGCGCCGACATCATCGGGCCCCTGCTACTAGCCTTGCGCCTCAGCCCGCCAGCCTTGAGCCTACGCGCCTGCTGATACGCGCGATCAAGTTCCGTCTCCACGGCGCAGCGGATCTTAAGCGCCGCCACGGCCGGCCACACGCTGCGCTCGCCACGAAGGATCCAGTACTTGAGCGTTTCTTTCGTGGGTGTCTCGAGCAGCCGGATAAAGTCGCCGGCCGTCACCTCGGGCACGAGTGTCACGCTCGCTCCTGGGACGCGCTCATCCACAAGGAAACGACGGATGCCGGCAGGGAGCAGGCGGAGGGCATCGAGCTGGCTGAGCCGGTGGCGGATTTCGAGGCCCATCATGCGGACAAGGAAGGCGGTTGCCGACATAGTCTTGTTGCGGGTTTCGAAGAGGGAAGGACCGTGCATGTCGCTTTGCAGGAAGGGGATCAAATAGGGCCGCGCTTGGCTGACGATGAAATGGTTGACGTTGAAGAGTTCGGCGATGCGCTGGAGGGGCGATTCGCGCTCCGAGTATGAGGCGTGTGTCCAGTGGCGGAAGTCAACTGTGTTGGCGGGCTTCCAGGGGACGATGTTGCCCTGAGAGTCCTTGCAGAGAATCTTGGTTTCTCGGTCACCGTAAAGCGAGGAGGATGAGGCGTTGGATGCTAGCGCTGCTGTCCAGATTAGCTGTAAGGAGTTGTGTCAGTAACTGAACCGCCGATGATTTCTTCCTTGAAGGGCAATGCCGACATACCACATTGGGAGCTGTGAGATAGTTCAGGAGGGTTGGAACACCCCCCTGTCCAGCCGTGGCGACCGTGATGTTCAGTACTCTCTTGCTACGGTTATACGCTTCCTCAAACGTGAGGTCGCCCAAGTTGGACCTGATGCAGTGCTCCAACACCTTGACATCCAGGAAGTAGCCTTCTTTCCAGAACCTAGTCAGTCTACGTACTAGAGTCGACCAGGGATTAGTCCACCATGAATTCCTCTTATCCTTCCCTTCCCCGTTGGCGGGAGTGCCAAGCTTGCTCGAAAAGGCAGAGAGGTCAATGGCTTCACCACTCAAGACATGCAGCAGTTCCTCCTCCGTATGAACAGCTACAAGGGCAGCGATCAAAGCTCCAGTTGCCGTCCCGGTGATAATTCGCGGGAGCAAGCCACGCAGGAACAGTGCCTTGGCGACACCGAGATGACAGAGACCAAAGATAGCGCCGCCTTGAAAAACGAGGGTGCTCCGTCCGAATGCTTGTCTGGTATCGTGGATAAAATCGAGCTTCATTTGTGTCGACATGTAACCCATAGTGTTGCTGCCACTTCCACCACCTGCCGTACTGTTTCCGCTGTCTTTGCCATCATCAGAACTCGCCAGTCCGGGACTCACAGGCCTTGCTCCTCTGAAACCGGGTGTGAGACTGTTGTTGGGATAGTTCGTTCCGGTCCTCCTAACTGTCGGTAACATGCCAATCTCCTCGATCACTTCTGCAACCGCAGTGATATATTCCTCGATCAGAATCTTGGTTCCCGCAAAGCTCTTGTTGTATAGCTTAGGTGCCGTGATATTACCAAGGTTTCGAACGAGACCGCTGCGCAAAAGGTTGACAAGCGCATTGACATCGCCGTTATCGCGCGCAACCTCAATGCTCTCCAACCGCTCGTTGATCAATTTGTAATCATAATGCCGGCTGATTGGGCTATTACGCCACAAATCGAGGCCGAGGAGTGTGTCGAGCCGGATGGCAGCTTCCTCCCACTCGTCGAACTCGGAAGCATTGCGGAGGACGTCGAGCCAGACCTCGACCGGGTTGCGGCGCCGGTACCATTCACGGAATTTCTAGGCGGACGGGATTAGCCTGGGTCATGTCTACATGCGTTGACATCATCAGCCCTTTGGGTAACAAGTCTTGGGACATAATGTCGAGTCAAGACAAGGGAACTGAGGTAGAAGGTCTGTAGGACGTAACGGGATCCAAAGCACTCACACCTGCCCAGAAGAGTACAATGTCTAGAAATATCCTCCAGAATGATATGAATATTGTGGGTATTAGTGACCCCATTGTCAAGAGATGAATAATAGAAAAAGAAAGAAAAAAGAAGAACAAAAAAAAAAAAAAAACTGCCGTAGTGTTCAGGACAAGCAGTGATGCGTGACGTGTTGCATAAACGGCTGCGTCAATAACATATCCTGATCTCGCTCATTTATACTTGTCGGTGGCAGATGAAGCGATAGGAGAAAACGATAACATGCGCAACTTGAGTCAGTTGCGGCGAAAGAGGTTGAACGAGCGTGGAAGAAGAATGATGTGGCGGCAGTGGGTATGCCTACGTAGGTAGGTACGGTTAGGTACGTCGTTGTTGTTCGGTAGATAAAAATGAGCGAGTGTCGTGTCTCGGTGTGTGTGTGTGTGTCTTAGAGGTCAATCAGCTGACAACGGGACGTTGGATGTTTTCCTCGCCTGTCGCCTGCGGTCAAAAATTGGATGGCACGAAACGAAGTAAACGAAAGGCTCGGATGAAGATGTCCGGGATGTGTTGCGGGAAAAAAAAAAGGAAAAAGAAGCTTAAAACCAGACTGGGTCAGGTCCGTGTCATTCCATGTTTTGGGTCGGGTTTGGTGTTCTTCACAGGCGCGTCGAACGGTGGGAGAAGATGCAAACGGAAGTCTGGCCGGAAGTTAAGGGGATGGGTGTGTGGACTGGGTGGACACTGGACTGTGTGCCCGACGTCAGTTGCTGGATCCTCCTCAGGCAGGGCCTCCCCACTCAGGTCAGTTAATGCAGGCTTTCCGTGGCATGTGAAAGAAAGGTATCAAATTTTCAAGCAAGCCCTACCGTCGCATCGCTGAAATCCCATTCGTTCCCCCACATTTGGGCCTAACAGGGCCCGACGGCCCTTGCTGCCGTTGGGAATATTGTTCATGACGGGGATTATGGAGCATGGGAAATGAGATCCATGGATATTAAAATATTGAGGAAGATGAGATGTCCAGCTGTTGCTGTTCACGGAAATTATTGGCACGATGAGGAGCGGAATAATCGAGAAAAGCACAACTAGGCTTGATTCGCGATGGGGTGTTGAGATTTACACTACATAGGCACCTCACTGACCCTTGGCGCTATAGTGCGGAATGGCCTCGGCAGTGACACGTGTGACGGGGGTGACGGATATCGTCATCGCATGACATCCACGGATTTAGACTATGTAAACCTCGAACGACAAGGGGGCCATCAGAGTCTTGCGTTCGACATTACTTCTCCACGAGACATGTGAAAGCGAGCCAAAGACTAAGCATTGTATGACGAGGTGTTACCACCCTTGATGTTCACAGAGAAGTTGTCAGCCACTTCTGCAAGATTTCAACAGGCCCAATATAACTCCCATTTATCATCTTGATGCTACTACCATATGGGATCACCAAAAGTTGTGGTCTGGCCCGTTGAACCTGTTCTCCTTAACTGTGTAGCAAAGAGAAAAGGCTAAAGCAAGAACAGGTTGCCTCTATACAAACCATGAAGGCGATCCTAAATCATCTAAAATATGCTAGACCAAGTACACAGCAGCGCACGACTTCTATAGCGCCTGATGCTATGCATATGAACACTGGGTATCATCTATGCCCGATATCCTCCATATCGTCAACACTTTGTATCTTGAACAAAACACGTTCCCCAATACTCAAAACTTCGTGATCTTCCTCAAACTCCCCGAGATCTAGTCGGATGGAGGAGTTGCGATCGAGCCGCCATTCATGATAGCAGCGCGGACTTGGGCCTCCATCTCAGACTGGGACATCTCCACCGTGGACCAGCCGACCACCTTGTTGGCGAGCTCCAGCTTCTTCTGGCACGCCTTGTAAACCAGCTCTTCGACGGTATCTTTGCTGATGAGCCGGACAATCTCCACAGGGCGAGTCTGGCCGAGACGATGAGCGCGGTTCTCGGCCTGAATATCGTCTTGCGGATTGTCGGACTGGTCGAATATGATGACTTTGTTGGCTGCAGTCAGGTTGATTCCTGTGCCGCCCGAACCTGTCGTGAGCAAAAAGACGGGGATGGTCGCGTCGGCGTTAAAATCGTTGATGAGTTCCTGACGTTCACTAACATCCGTGTTTCCTTGCAGGGAGAGATATTCGATCTTCTCCGACGCAAGGCATTCTCCCAAGATCTCAATGACTTTGGCGAATCGTGTGAACACCAGAGCGCGGTCACCGTTCTTCTGGTACTGTCTTATCAGCTTCAATAGTGCCTGGACCTTGGCACTCTCCATCCATGACCCATCCGGAAGATCGAATTGTCTGATGCACTTGTAATCTCTGCACCAAAGATGAAGTTCGAAGTCCGAAAGGGCCTTGAGCTCATTGATCAGATGTTCGATCTTCGGCTGCCGAAGCTCCGATTGGTCGACCTTTTTCATCAAAATGTTGGCCATCTTTTCCACCGTCGAATCATTGAAATAACGCCGGAACAACTGCGGGTGGATTGCGGATTTCCGGAGCTGAATCCAGACGTTGTTGTTGTCGTTGTCACGACCGACACCGCTGGCGCCTGTGGCGTCAGTCTTCCGAAATCGGCGTTCGTAGTCTTTATATATTGCCGCCTGTACGTCGTCCATTTCACAGTAGACGACTTTGGCTGTTTTGGGAGGCATGTCCTTGAGGACCTGCTCTTTGCGACGTTGTAAGATGAAGGGCTCCAGGATTGTGCGCGCCCGCGCCACTCGTTCACTATGAAGCAATGCGCCTTGCGAGACTGCCGTCAAAGAAAACTTCTGATTGAAAAGTGCTTCGAGATCATCGAAGTGGTCCTTGAAGAGCTCCGGCTCGACGAACTGAAGCAATGAAATCATCTCCATGAGATTGTTCTGAACGGGCGTGCCTGACAGAATGAGCCGCCACGTTGCTGTGATCTTGAGCAAATCCTTATAGAGCTTTGTCTTTGGATTTTTCATCTTGTGACCCTCGTCGAACACCGCTACCATCGGCTTCAGCCGTCTCAGGTTCGAGATGTCGTCCTGACGCGACACCTGGGAGTAGGATGTCAAGACGACGTGGTGGCTGGCGGGATCATCCAAGATGTTGTCGGCAATCTCATCGCGGACAGATTGCGATCCCTGGTACAAGGTAACATTCAAGCCCGGGGCGAACCTCTTGAACTCGGCGGCCCAATTCGCGAGAGTGGACGGAGGGACAAAGATGATGTTTGGCCATGGTTGGTTGCTATCGTCATCCTGGCTATGTTTCTCATGTTCCTCGACAATTGCTGAGATTAAGCTGATAACCTGGCAAGTCTTGCCCAGACCCTAGAATAGTAGACAGTCAGCAACCTCATGGAGAGGCAAATATTGGAGAGACGAGCAAGCTACATACCATATCGTCAGCTAGAATGCTGGCATACTGGTTTTCATACAATAGGTATAACCAGTTAAGCCCATACAGCTGGAAAGGCTTCATCGTGCAGCCGCTCATGAGCTCCGGCTGGCTTAAGGGAAGATCGATCAGCGTAGTCGTACCGTCAATGCTGAGAGGCGTAATGGTTCCATCTTTGTTCTTCACTGTTCGAGGCTGACCGGTTTGATCGACCTTCCACCTCGAGGTGGCGTCCTTGATCGCGGCTGCTTGCGACTCGCAGACAGCAATAACATGGTCAATGCCATCCAGCGCTTTGGTGTACTCCTTGATAGAGCCCACGATATCTTCGCCAACGGGTGCCCTAGTCGACTTCTTGCGCTTGACCTTCGTAGCCTTTGCTGCCATGGTCACACTTTCAGCATCAGCCACACTATTGAAAGGTTGGTAAGAGAGCATGTGCTTTGCAACGTCTTCTTTGACGTTGGCAATGGCCATCAATTGTATAGGATCGCAGGTATTGAGGTAGTGCAGGACACGCTCTTCGAAGGCATCTTCTTCCGGATCCCGTTGCGAGTGTTCCGGCTGCGGTTCAGGCGAGCGAGCCGACTTCTTCTGGACGTAGTCATCGTCATCTTCGTCGTCGCTAACGAGCGTGATGATTTTTGTCTGTTTGAGTTTGGAAACGGGCTTCTCGATCGGTTTCGCTGGCGAGCTGGCTGGCGACGGGCTGCGTCGCCGACGACCCTGAATTAGGCGGCGGCGAGCCGGTGCGGACGGTGCTGGGGCAGGCTTTAAAGGAGAGTCTTTCGGACGTATGAATTGCAAGGATTCTGGCGAAGAAGATCGGAGCGTGACCCAGTCCTCTTGAAGGACGTAGGGCTTTGCTGGGCTGGTAACGGGACTTCCGACATCATTGAACAACTTTGGTTTCTGTTAAATATGCCAAGTGTTAGTATGACGCTGTATGTGATGTCTATCATGAAATGTGCAGGTCAAGTACCTTTGATGGTTTGAGGTACACTGCAGGCGCAGCCTTTGCAGACGTGGGGTTGGGCTTTTTGAAAGCAGATGGCTGAATGTCGCCGCGCGCGGGCCCTTCATCGTCTGAAGAATCGCCCGCATAGAGAGGCTTGTCAAATTCATCGTCGTCGATCATTATATAGTCTCTCTTTGCCCCTGCTTTGGCTGTGGGTGATTGTGCGGCAGGAGCCTTGAAAGAGGTACCTCTTGGGGCCATCGCGCTCGCAAATCGACCTCCGATATTCGACGATTGTTGACGGAAAGGTGACGATGCAGGTACTTCGACGACCGTGGGGGAAGACGGGATGGCGGCTTCTCGTGGCTTCACTGTCGGTTGCGAGGCGATCTGGGTAGGCTGAGTAAAGTAGGGCGATTGGGAGACAATACTGAGTTCATCCTCGTCGTCTTCGTCTATAAAATCAAGATCGGGCTTGGTCCGCCGTTGGGGAACTGGGCTATCGACGACAACGCTTGATGAGCGTAAAGAGTCGTCCTCTGGCAAGGACGAGAAGGCCATTGTCGATCGTCCAGAGCAGGATCGACCAAGTAAAAGAGCACAAGGTAGTCTCCCAAGGAAGAGGTGGTGAAGGAGAAATGGTTGTTGTGGAGGTAAGTATCAAAGGAGTATGTGGAAGGTACCGGTCGTTTGTCGGACGCGGTCAAAGGCGCAAAGCTGAAATTTTAGCGGCGCATAGAGCAAAGCAAAACCTGATAAAGACGAACTAAGAGAAACGTTCGCTGCAAGGAAGAATTCCAGTTGACCCAAAAATCCAGGTCCAAAGTACCCTGTTTCCTTGACGCTTTGCCCTTGGGAATCCTGTGATGTAAAAAGACGGGATGACAACCGAGAGGAGTTGTACTGGAGTTTGTTGTCGGTCCGTCCTAGAACAGAAATGGCTGGGTACACGGCATCCAGTCGTGCAACCGGCTCCAGATTGCCGTCCAGCAATCAGCGACGGGATCAGCCCTATCTTTCTCATTTGGAGCCCCACACCGCCGCCATCCCGCCGCGACGCGCATTTGCTCGTTGCGAGAAATAATGTGGGACAACGCGACCGGACGCCTTCACGTCTCCACGTGCTAGCTCGCAACTGGTCAGGCACAGTAACGAACCACTTAAACACCGATGAGGACAGGGTAGGCCCACCCAGCCAACCAGCGAGCTACGCAATTGCCCAATGTCGAGCTTGTCCTCATCTTGCCATCGAGGACTTCACCTAGAGAAATACCCTCGATTTTACTCAACATCTCGCTGTTACCATACAATTGAGTAAGCTACCATACCTTAACGTTTTCCGTTTGCTTGCCAGTCTAATTCATCTCAAGAGATTTACCAACACAGCAAACAGTTTCGGCTCATCCCACTTCAGCTCATCCATTCAATTCATCCCGTGAAGCCGATATACGACGACAAACGTCACGACCAGCCTACACTGAATAGAAAAACTAGACCCAAAATCACCAGCAAGATGGCCACCCGCAGAATCATATCCCAAGAGAAGACTCTACTCGAAAAGGATGACCGTATCGGTTCCAGCCCAGCGGCAAGCGAGAAGTCCAACATCACGCCAGCCGTCCCCGCGTACGCTTCGCCCCAACCCCCGTGCTCATTCTCATCCATCACATCACCACTTACTCTTCCTTCCATTCTCATCACTATCATACACCCACACATTCCGCCCATATCCTGCCTGATGATCCCACTTTCACACAATACATATATGTATCCAAGATATGATCACCAAGCTAACCCCCAACCCCTCCACAGTTCCGTAATTATCAAACTTCTAGCCTTCACCTTCGCAATGATCGTCATCCCCATTTCTTCATACTTCCTCACAGTGGACCGTTTGTTCAAAGGTACGCCCAGTCGTCTTTCCCCCTCCCCCCCCTGCTGCTCCTGTCCCTGCTCCCCAATTCCCTATTCCCTATCCCCCATATGTCACATGGTCCTTCATTCCTTCGTACGCATCGCACGAACCGGACTGACTCAGCAAACTAACATTCACTGATCGAACCACCAGGAAACTCAACATACGCCGGCGCCACAGCAGCTATCATGGCCAACGTGGTGTTAATTGGGTATATCATTGTTGCCATGGCGGAGGATCAGTCGGACCAGGAGAATGAGAAGAAAGGAGGTGGTGGGAAAGTAGAAGGGAAGAAGGATCTGTGATCTTACTGAGATGTGACATGAATGTTGTGACATTGCTCGCTCTAATGAACGGAAAGGGTGTGGGGAAAAAACAAAGGTATTCATTTGTGTACCCAAACATCTCCTTAGTCGTTTGAAACGACGAGTGAAATGTTCTTCGCGTGATCAAGTGCATCGGAGCTTGTCGGATTCGTATAACAAGTCTAACTTCTTATCTGAGAGCGGAAAGATGGGTGCGTAAACTTCCATGGAAAACCACAATCACAATATATAGTAAAACGATCCCTAAAGGTGCAACAATCCAGCTGACAAAATCCCTTGCACTTTCTGGATGTTTGCACCTAGGGAAGCTAGTACACAGATCAAAAAGCGCCCTCCGGTCCCGTAAAAAGAGGGTGACTAAAAGTGGGTCGTATGAGCCCCGGTAACTGGGTATAAGTGTTCTCTTTACCAAAATAGGACTCTTGTAGGTGCAAATCCAGAGTCTGCACTTTGTACACTACACTACTGCTTCTACACACTTATCCATAAGGCAATTTACACTACTAAACCTGGCAGTTTTGGAGAAAGGAGCATATGCACGGCGAGATTAGCTACATATGAGGAATCAGTCTAATGGGATTTTTTCCTACTTACCTACCTATCTCTTCAAGGGCGCTGGAGGGTGGAGACATCGAAAATCACTGTCTTGCATACGATTTCTAGGAGGCATGAATGTGTTGCAGTATGCTTCCAGATTATGCCTGATATCCAGGGAACCTAAAACGCAGTACTCCAAGTCAAGACGGTACATGTGGTAGTTTGCAGGGTTTGTGTAAGGAATCAAGTTTAGTTGGCACATAGTTGGCACTCTGAAGGGGTTCTTGCACTTGGGGGTGGTTGCACTTTTAGGGATCTTTACTGTATTTAACAATTTCACAGTGATGGGCAATGACATATCAAGCCATTCATCCAATCAAACAAGCATAAATCTATTCGCTTATACCTGGCCCACGTATATACTCCATCTCGTGAAGATATCGTCGCAGAGACAGTAAAGAGCAGGTGCAGATCTCCTGCAAGGGTGTGTCTGAATGACGAGTCTTCCATCCGCTCTCCAGATCAATGCGTTTTCCCTTCACCCTCATTCGGGTGATTTCTAGCCGCTGTAATCCTGTTTCACGTCGAACACAAAAGAGATCCTTTGACTCATCCCTCATCACACACATTGCGCCCATCATCCCTAACAATACCTTGTTCCTTGCGTAGTTATAGCCTTCCATCTCGATTGCAATCCATTCCCACATTATCATTACAACATTATCTGAATCCTTCATGGAACACCGGCGTTTCATGACCACTTCATGTCCGAAGATAACTTCCCGCAAACCTCAGTCTTAAACAAGAAATTCTGTCATAATGATACCTCCATTACACCTATCAATGATTGGGAATGTTCGGCCGACTGCCTCAGAACGCTCATCAGACGTTCCCTGGATGGCATGTAGGCGAAGGCGTGGGTATCCATCGTAAAAGAAAGCGAGGAAAAAAGTGGCAAGGCCCAACAAGCAAGTCTTGATCAATATCATATCATAGTCGGATAAATGACAAAATCGTGATCCGAACATCCAGTCTCAGTAGACCAGCCTACCTCTTCAGCTTGCGCGAAAACCAACTCTTGCGCTTCTCTGGGACGCCCGGCCTTTCTGGTTGAATGGTATCGTTCGACTTTTTCTGTAGTGTCCGGGTGTCTTTCTGGGGCGGAGCAGGCGCTGTGACTGGTGCAACGCTGGGGCTTCCCTGACTGAAGTTGTTGAGGTTGTTGTTGGCGAAGCCAGGCGTACCGTTCGCTTGGTAGTTGTTTACTCCACCGCTGTTCATGCCCGTAGCAGGTTTCCCGTTGTAGCCAACTGTGAAAGCTGATGGTGAATATTCGGTGTTCTGGCTGAATCCTATTCCATAATCATTTGCTGGTTCCGACGGTCGCTTGGAAACTGGCCCCGCTTGAGCTCGTTCAATCGAGCTGTTGTCACTACTTGTCGGATCAGTCTGATACCCCAATGGATCACTTCCAGATGCCGAGGCAACGGTCTCGTACGAGCGATGGTTACTCGGGATCGGGTAGTCGTTCGCGCTCGGCGATTGATACGGCGAAGAGAATTGCGGGTTAGGCATGATCCTGGGATCACGACGTCTGCCTTGACTCTGAGGCGGGGAGGAATACCCGCTGTTGTATCCTGACTGGTAATCGTAGTAAGTGTCTCGTGGTGCTTGCCTCAGGTCATGTTGGCTGCCGTCCTGACGGTTTGGATACATTGCCGAAGCTGGTCGGCTGTTGTAGTAACCGGGGCCATCTAATTCGGTTAGCATTCCCGTCTTCCATGTCTTAATGAGGGGGTATAAAGTTGGTCGTACTTGTGCCATAATAACTGTTTCGTCTGCCGCTATTGCCCCAGGTTGACTCCGAGTCTATAAACGAAGTTAGTTTCATGTTGAATCGCAACAACCCGTGAAAAGCTGGTGCATACCTGAGCGGTAAATGGACCTACGATTGCTGTAAGCTCCATCAATGGCGGCCTCGAAGCTCCGAATGGTATCTAGAGGGCGCTCCCAACGACTGCGGGTGGGATTTGAGCGATCGGGGTCGGCTACACGAGAAGTCAGCATCGAGCCTAAGTGATGAGACTTGTCTCTTAGCGCGTCCACAAGAGAACTTACCGATTGGATTTCCAAAGACATCCTTGTGCTGCACATTCCGCAAAGAAGCGAGCGATGACTTAACGTGCGCGGCCACCTCGGCTGGTAGAGGTCAATATGAAGTTCACCGCACGCAGGACACAATAAAGGTGGCGGATCATGCATATTAATGCATGACACATGGTTGAACTTACATGGCTCTGCCTCGTTCATGGCCAAGGTAGGGTCGGCTTTTGTATGTAACCGTTTGGCGTCCTTCTCGGCACTGGTCTCGTGCAAGTCAAGCTTTTGCTCCTTGGTGTCGTGAGACTTGTCCGATCGGAAGCTGAAGGCTCTCGACTTGCGTTGGGAACTCGGTGGGCGGCCCTTTGTCTGAGTGGTAGGAGCGACGGGCGCTTGTGACTGCTGGTACTGTTGTCCCTGCAGTTGTGCCTGCTGGACTTGATGCGGATTTGAGTTCGGGGGGTATCTGTTGGAAGTCGCCATCTTGGCTGACCGGGAAACGCGAGGGTTTTGATCTGTATTCTAGGCAAAGCCCGGGGGTGCAACGAGAGCGGTGGGGGGAGGGTCCGTGATGAGCCTGGGGTATCGAGACCCTGTCGATGGTGCAGATGGAGACAAGACCGTGATGGTTTCTGATCGCGCGCAGGTTCGGACGGATCAGATACCTGCTTATCGCAAGGGTCTTTTTCAAAAACAGATGCTTTTCGGCAACAATAGCCGGGCCAAGAGCTGTAGGTATCCAAAGTGGTATTCGCGCGGGCAAATATGGGAGAAGCAACGACGAAATGTTCAGATAGCGTCCAAAGAGCGGTTGATGTGGACTAGAGAGTGGGCCGGCGTGGGTATTTACCCCTGGTGGTTGCCCTGAGTGTTTTGTCTTGGGTTGGCGGGCTGCGTTCCGCGATCTTATTGTCGCAGACTCTAGAAAATCAGGGAAAGTGTGTCCTTGCACCCCGGGTGGCTGGGGTGAAAGCGGCTGTCGTTCGTGGTTCGCTGGAAAATCGGACAAATCGTCGGCCACGACGCAGAAGGTACCAGCAAAGCAAGCCCGCTAACCAAGACTCAGCGCTTGCGTTTCTTTTATGGGTTTTCTGCGACGGTCGGCTCCGCTGTAACTGCGTCGGTGGCGCGCGGCGTGTCAGATGCCAAACCTTTTAACTGTCAAGATGCTAAAGCGACGGTAATCGCCAATGTCCAAATGGCCAGATAATATCGTGTGTTCTGGCTTCAGCTCCCTGGTTTGATTAGCCGATTTAGTATCTGAAGGCGCGGCGATCCAGGACGATCCGTAGGGAATTCTCTCCACTCCGAGACGCAGAGAAACAACCGAGAGGCTCAGTTGTGGGGGAGCGACGGACAAGCCTGGGACTGGGGGTTCAGGTTTTTGGTGAGGTGGTGTTCGGAATAGCAGGGCTGCGACGTTCGATGGTGGAGTTTGGCGCTGACGTCAGGACCAAATGATCCACAACTGAACAGGCTATTGACGCTGATTGGCAGCAATGATTGACAAGAAATCTTCCCCAGCTACTAACTCTGCGGCTGTAGTCTCAAAATTTTGTTTCGTCTGATACTGTTTTAAGATCCGATCTGATGCCTGGGGCGTGCCGATATCAATTGTTGGTGCGAGAATTCTTCTTATATGGGTTGATGAAGAACTGACGTCGACCAGATGCGAAGTTGGTGTTAGCGGAAGGGATTCCCCCAGAGCTCGATAGTTATCGAAGGAGCGGGAGCGGCAGATAATAAGGCGAATTGACCTCGCTCGACGCATGAGGAAGTAAAGAAATCGGGTCTTGCACAAGGGAGGGGGGGGGGGGGGGAGGGGCGCTGCTTAATACGACAACAAGGGGTGACTAACCCTCTTTCAGCGATCCCGGTCAGCGCGGGTCCCATGCAGCAGAAAAGTTGCGTGGACCGGACCAGGGAAAAGTTCGATACTTGCAAATGGGAATGTGAAAACGCCGGAGAACCCGCAGCATCGACAAAGAGGAATGCCACTTAAAAGAAACCAAACAAGCCAGAAACGAAAGACAATATGGGAATGCTTAAATCGGGGTTTATTGTTCAGAAACCGCAGATACAAACCGCTGCATCCAAAAGTTTCTGAAGTTAGGGAAGAAGTGGGTCGAAGATCGCGAGGGTTTCACGGCTGGATGAATGATTCGACCCCGGATGTGATGAGGAGATGGACAGGGAGCGACAAGGGCCGACAAGGAGGCCGCGTGGTGTGCGAGGTGCTTCGTGGAGCCACCATTGATTCGCAAGTGGAACTCGAACTTATACCAACTCGTCGGATTCCCGTCGCGCCGCTCGACGCCAATGGAATGAAGCACAACGGGATACAGTCTTTTTTTTTAATGCATTCGGTGTTTCCTACCTGGAGGTTGGGTACATGCTGGCAACTAAGTCTTTGACACTCGACAAGCGACAACGGCAAGCACGGAGCCGGCAAAAGGCATCAATCTCAACTCGGACAGTTCATCGCGGCCCACGATAATATCTCTGGAACTGACACACGCGACCGTTGCACAGGCCTTGCTGCTACCCATTACATCGCGATGATTTGTCTGGATCTCGATAGTATTGTATTTAGTGACTTCGCGTTGCGCGAGTAATACTTGAAACCTCGAGACCCAAATCGGCAGTTTGCCCGCAAATGGTCCCCGCTACTTGCTGCGCCCACTGATGAACACGAGATGGCGAAAGATGCCGCGTCACCTCTAGATGATCCATCGGAGCTTGTTGGCTTATATCCTTAACCATCAAGTTTTTTTTTTCTACCAAGCACACAGCCCACGACCACACGCTTCTCCACACATGTTATACATACGTCTTTGAATTTTGAGTGTATGGCAGGATAACGACCGATCCCGAACCGTGTCCCATTAGAAATCTGCTGTTTCGTTGATGACCACCATCCCAACATCTACCCTTTGGATTGCCCAGTTACAGCTGTACATAGTACCGTAAAGACTCGTGCCATTGGGTTTTAGGTTCCCAGGAAATCAGACATAATCTATAAGCATACTGCAACATTCATGCCCACCAAAAATTCTATGCAAGACGGTGATTTGAATGTCTCCACCCTCCAGCGCCCTTGGAAAGATAGGTGTGAAAAGGCAGGATTTGGAAGAATCGAATTTACAGTGCTCCGGGGTAGCAACACGACTCCCCCATTTATTTTGGTGGGCATAAAATGTACAGAATCGGGCATATGTATGTGGGTTTATGTCTGATTTCCTGGGAACCTAAAACCCAATGGCACGAGTCTTTACGGTATGCTCACCGTGTTGCCCGCAATTTGTGCATATCGATTTGGTAAGAGTTCTATTACATGCGCCTGTACCTGAATTAGGAACCAGACGTACCCACAGAATGTCGCTACCCACACCTTGGTGAATACGAGCTTGTTGACCTGCAGCGTAGTAGATCAGAATGCCGGTATCAAAAGGCACCACTACTCCCGGAGAACTCTTCCTGGTTAGACACAGAAAGATAGGCGTTGTGGTCATTGAGGTAATTGATAAAATCACCGTGACGATTGTGTCCATCAAGTCTGGTTCCTATCATACTTCTCATCGCGCAATTTTGCATACTGGAGAATCTCCTTGTTTTGCACTGCCCCAATTTTCGAAACAACGCCTCAAGTTTCGAACTGGTTTGTCCCTTGTCCCACGCAAGCCATGATCACCACTCGCCTTTACGTTGTACGAAGAGCCCGTTGTGGATGATTTTTGGCTTATTGACTGAAGCCGCGACGCGTCACGCCAACAACCTACCCTGAGTTCAGTTACAAATCCATGGTTTCGGTAGTCTCATTTTACTCAGCCACCTACGATGGCCCTTGCGTTTCTGTTTCTACGGGTCCAGATCAGTGCGACATCGATCATGATCAATCCCACCATACTTACCCCCGCACCTACCAATCGTGATGTCGAAACCATTTAAGCCCACCGTGACAGCTGAGCGTCTGTTGTCATGACAGACTACTAGGTTTCGGTCTTGTCCTGTCGCCGGCTTTTGTACATCTCAAGTATCCTGCGTGTCTGTACTGTATTACAACCGCTCGTCACAATCTCGAAGAAACCCTGGAACTTGGTCAGTCATATACTTTGTTTTATCTCCAATCCCCATACATTCAGCAGGACAAGCATCGAACTAGCATCGTTCAAACGATAAGACAGACCACAGTTGGGTCCCAACCGGCCGGCTCCTGCCCCCGGCCGTTCGAAGCTCTCACCCCACTTTCTCTGAATTGGATTGGTCAGCTCTCATTGGGTGAGTCGGCAACAGCGACTTTGGACGGGGAGACCTTAGCGCGTTCACGATAATCGATAAGGCTGACTAAGTAGTGTATTTTTAGCTTGCGGGAGGTACCTAGGTATTCGCTGGATAAGGGGCGATTGTTTACTTTCTTATCTGGCGAATATCTATCGTCTTTGAAGTGACGTTCGAATAGTCCCTTGTCCCTGTTTGGTTGTTGCGATACCCGATACTATACTTACTTAAGATTGGGGTTTCTACTTCTCCTTATTAAAAACAGAAAACAGAAAACAGAAAAAGAACATATCCTCCAAGCTTCCTTGGGTCATTTATTTAACGCCGACAACGGGCATGGTAGCTTAGTGTATAATTCGGGGTTATCATCTCAACCTGGGCTATGGCATTTCAAATTGGTACGGCACATGTCCTGACCCTAATAAACCTCTTCTGAACATATCTCTTGCGTAATTCCGTTCTCACCAAAAGCTATAAACCGTTCCTACAGTTAAGTTGCAATCTCAAGCGCCCGAACGGAGACGAGGGTGAGTGGTAATGAAAGTAAGCGCAGCGGGTGTTGAAACATGGCGCGGCTCAAAGATCCACTGCCTTGACGGATGATCCCTAAAAGGAACCCTACCCAGGCCCAAGTGTCCAACCTCCGTTCCCCGCTGTCCGATTTGACAGTTTAACGCTTTAACCAAGTCCGAGCAACGTGAATATCACAAGTGCTGCTTCCCAAGCAGCAAGACAACACATCTCAGACTGAAACACCATCCGGTCTTTCCGAATCGCATCGGCCAATCATGGACTACACCTCGCCGGCCGAACCGAATGCACGTCACAAATAGGTCATCCCCAACACGGATATTTTGGTCGGGACAGGTATCGATGCAGCCGCTCCCTAGGTCTATGGAAGTAAATTCGCTGTTGTTCGTTGGGCTGACCCAGCATCGTTCCTACACCCTCCCCCGCGTGACTGAAAGGGTCGTTGCCTTCAACGGCCGAGTTGGTGCCATCGTATGCCATTCCCCGGGCCATTTCCATGCTCGCCAAGCGCGCGCCCCCCCTACCCCCCTCCCCATGCGGCTTGTTTACAGTTTATCTTGGGATATCTTTTGAAAGAGGCATGACGTTCGTGTGGACATGTGCCATGCCGAATGTCGAATCTCGTGGTCCCGTCTCGAGAGCAGGGCGCTTGTAAGCCGGCGTGACCTGTGTATCTTGTCAACTCCTTTATTCCAATCTTTCTCTGATTTGATGATGTGGTCCTGAGTACTGGATCCGACTTGAATGGGATGGATCGTGGAATACGGCGAGTTGCCTGTGGCCATACAATATCATACCCAAAATCTCCCCTGGGATAATAGAGATCAACCAGGCCAGTAGTCAATGCATCTGACATCTGCTGCACTCTTCCCTGAATCCCTAACCGTCTGTCTTGACTCAGGCTTGTCAAGCTCGGCTCTTGTCTGAGAAGGCGGATAGTAATGTTGCCTAAACCATGTTCACGAAAGCCATGCCCAACACATTTCTGAACCCGTGGGACATCTCGAATTCCAAAGGCCTGGCCGAACAAGGGGGCCGAGTCAATATCCAAAGACAGACGGTAAAGCCACCGTCCAGAGTCTTAAAGGTCAAGACCTAAGAGATCACCCTTAGTATGACATATCTCCTCTGGACTGGGAGTGATGGCCTTGCTGGTATATGGGCATGCGGTTGCCGATCTGAAATGAGATACTTCATTTCGAAACCGACTGGCACGGACACACAAACATGGAGGAGTTGAACCAAGAGCCATCAAGGTTCTCACGAAACGGGGTATGATGTCGTGGGCCGCACACTTGTCATAAATCCTAGGAAGAGTGTTAACCAAAGCTACAGCATTCAAGGATCGGTCGATGGTCTTGGGTAGCAAAGCGTGGCTATTGTGATTGAGAGGACCTGTTAAATTTTAGCCCAGGCTGGCTGTGATTGATTTGTGACATAGGATGACTCGTCTCCTCCCCATTGCGCCGTTTCATGAACCACTCCCGTTGATGAAGCATTCGTCTCCCACCCAGCACTTAACTGCGGGATCCTCAATCGCAATTGTTTGGCATGTCTTTTTTTTGGTAATGCCTTTGATTTTGAATGCTAGAAGCAAGGCCCGTTTGCCGACCCTTGCTAATCCCTGATGCACCGAAATCATAAACCACCTTTACCACTCAACTCCGGCCTGACCCATCCCCTTTAGATAGACGAGGGGTAGAGCATGATGCGGACGGAGGCACCGAAGGACCTGGAGGGGAGGGGAGCGGCGAACTTGGCGCGGACAACGCCGGAGTTGCCTGTAAAGTCCAAGGTCAACATTCAACGTTCTACCCAGAATCTCGGGGAATGGGGATAGTTACCGTGAGGCCTGGTGACCTTGCCCCAGATCACGCGGATCTTGGTGCCACGAACCTCCTTCTGGCCGCGGTAGACATAGGCGACGCGCTTGCCGAGGTAGAAGCTGTATCCCCGGTCAATATCCATCACCGTGTGGTTCGGAATGAATTTACCACATACTTGGCAGCAGCAGTGTCATCAACACCCTCGATCTTGATCAAGCTGGTCTTGGGGTGGGTGGTGTGACGGCCACGCTGATAGCTCAGGTGGCGACCCCTAATGCGATTCCTCTCGTCAGTCCTTGCTCGGTACGTCGTATTCTCTGGTCTCGTTTCCGAAATGACCACGTTCTTAGCAACTGTCGTCTTCGGGGTATCGTTTCGTAGCGGCGCAACAATCGCAGACTCGTTCGCATCGTCGATTCATTCCGAGGGTGACTACTCACTTGACATATACTGCAAAAAACAGGGTCAGCAATGTACAGACTTGCAAGAGAGGCACATGATTCCATATACACGGGTTTCGCGACGCCGATAATCTCAAGGCGACGACGACAACACCGGCAATGTTCTTTGCGCAAGTGGTTTGGGAGTCTCACATCTGTGGCCGGCTTCGGTAGGCATCTTGACTGGCGATATGTTCCGCTTGATCAAAATTTCCCTGCCACGATAAAAGGGAACTCAGCAAGGAGTCTTGTATGAAGACAATTGCTGATCCGGAGTCCTGCGTTGGGCGACGTGGTTGTGGCTCTGCACTTCGACGGCTCCTGGTAATTCGAAAATTGCCTGGTGGGAATTTGGTAGGGTTTGTGGTACTTTGGACGGTTCGGAGTTTCTCACCTTCCGAAAAATGTGCGCCGCGCGAATGAGAGCCCAGGAGCGCGTCATCCCAGCAGGGTAAGATGTGGCTGAGGTCCGTGTCAAGCCACATTATCTGACCCCTGAGGTAGACCTTCACTTGTGCATGTTCCGATAACGCATGGACACCCATCGGTCCTTATCTGTATTGTTATCTTAGTAGCTCCTCCGCAATCCATGATGCAATCGATGTTTTTTTTGTCTTTTGGTTTGCCCATCTTTGTCATCGTGGGCTCCCAAGACCTGAACTCGCAAGCTCCCGAACCTCAATTGACTGTGTCCCCCACAACCATACCCGACTCCAACCTCCAAGACCTCGATATCAGATCAGGAATGCTGCCGGCATCAGTCTGCAACACAGAAAAAGTAGTACAGTGATTATCGATTCTCCGATGGCCTCCGTCTTTGATACCAATACTCGTAGAGTTTTCGCTTTCTCTTGATGCCGGGGAGAGCAGGCTTCGCCTGCCTGCAAGATATATGTATATAGTAAGCTCAAACACATGGTGTTTTCGCAGCTTAGTAAACCGGGGCGTGTACACTCCACTCGGCGTGTGCCATTGTTTAAGCCCGAAGCTGCAGATGACTTTCTGCTCTGACACGGCGCCTTTCAAGAGCGCGCGTGGCGTAAGACCGGTGGTTGGCCTCTTGGAAGTCAAAGCAAATTATCCTGTACTTTGGCAATTTTGTCTCGGCGAACCGCAACCTACCTAAAGTGCTGGCAGATTTCTCTTCTTCACACCGGTAAAGAGAACCTTTCACTGTAGTTGCCTCGTCCATGCTTCCCGGGCAGACTCTGGATGGTTTGTTGGACGTACCTGTTCTAGTTGAGCCGGCGGTATTTCAGTTTCCAGGACGGAAAAATCAATTCCAAGTTGGCTTCTCCAACGATGCCATCTAACTCTGAACGGATATCGGAACAATAATCTGCAGGAGCAAAGCGAAAAATTTAGCCCATGCAACATAATAATCCGGTGGTTGCGGTATATTTACCCCCGACCGACCCTGAGAACGCATGGGTTGTCCAAAGTCGGTATACAGGATCACGGTTGACAAATACACTTGGTTGAGCTATGGAGCCATCCGTACCTCTACGGTCCTGAACACGGATTCAATTCAACCTTCCGCACACCCCCACCATTCCCAACAGAATCCATTCATGCAATTTGAACTGCTTGGAGCTCCAAACACAACAGGCACTCGTCTAGTCAACATGAACTGCGCTTTTGAGACTCGAAACCGTTTACTCGCTGTATCCAGACTTTGAGGTCTGAAACCATCACCTACCGAGGACCATATTAGCTCAGGTAGCTTATTATGACCGTACCCACTCGTTCTACTGCGCATACTGTCAAAAATTGTCCAGGGGCAACCCTGTTACGGCGCAAGATCGGAGTGTAGTGTAAGCTGTCACTGTCTGGACTTCTTTCTACACTACCGGCGGGAGTCATCTGGTCGAAGTCGAGGAACCATTTGACGGCACGCGCTTCGGATCCATACCCTGGCTTTCGGTTCCATTGCGAGAGGCTACGGAGACGACGGCTTCCATCACCGGGGTTCGAATGATGTTAAGACATCTATCAGCCGGAGATCGGTGGAACCATGACATCTATAAGGCCAGCACGGGACGGGACCGATGTCCAGCTTCGCGAGACCAACACCCAACATCTCATGTCTCGAACCCAGCCAAACCGACAATGAGCCAACCTCCACAGCTCCCGTCCTGGAAAACGGAGTGGATGTAAGCATGCAGGGTATCACTGAATCTGACAGGGGGGAAGCCAATCTGGCAGCCCTTTTGTTTGATGCGATGAATTCGGAGGAGGAATATGGCGTCTATCATGCATTAGGTAACATGAACGGGAGACAAGTTCCGTCCGGAAAGGCCGGCGGGGTTGGGGGTTGTTCAAAAGAAGCAAAAGCTCTCTTGTTAGAGCAGTTATCAGATGGGGCCTAAGCTTTGGAGGCGGCTTGGCACCGTTCACTCGGTCGTTCCCCTTCATGAGGTAAGTACCTCTAAGTGGTGCCAGGGTATGCACTTACCTCTAGCGCGCGGTGCGGGGCCGTGAGTAAGCTTGCCCCTCGTGGGCCATGGCCCATCAACTGGACTGACTGCGGCAACATCAGCTTCAGTTTGAGGGTTGCAGGCAGTCTGCGCATCATTCGCTCCCAGGTGCCCTGGACCGGCCAGGTTCTAGGTTGAGGGAGGTTCACCCAAATACCCGCACGCCGTAGAATTCCATTCACTTTTAACCCCGAAACCTTGACCAAGCCTGCCCACTCTGTGCCAATACTTTCTTCAACCCCCATCAGCCAAAAACGCAATCCTCTTCTTCCACTTTTCTCGTCGTCCTCACAGTCTCCTTCTCCCTCGCTCAACCACCAACGCGACGAACTTGGAATATCGATTCACACTAGACGACCGCTACAATGGCATCTGATCACCATGGAGCGTGAGTGCCTCTCACTCCGCCAATATCAGACATTGCGTGGTGGAGCTCAACAGCTTTTGGGGTTCGTTCGCATGACTCTGTGCGGATCAACCCTTTGGGCATATTTGCCCGCCTGCGATTTCTATCTAAACGAGCCCCGCGAAGAGCTTTCATCAGGAGGACCTTCCCTCTATGTTTGGTGGTTGGTGATTAGGAAGTGCTTGCTAACAAAAATGGCGTTGCAGTGCGGTAGAGCTCAAGGACAACACCGTCATCGTTGTCCTTGGCGCCTCTGGCGATCTCGCTAAGAAGAAGACCGTGAGTCCCCGCTTACCATTGGGCTACTTCATATGGCAATTGGCTGACGTGCAATTAGTATCCCGCGCTCTTCGGACTGGTGTGTATGCCCTCTTCTCGGTCGCCTCCGATTGAGGAGCTAATGTTATTGCTGCAGTACCGCAACCAATTTTTGCCCAAGGACATCCGGATTGTGGGCTATGCCAGAACTAAGATGGACCACGACGAGTACATCCGCCGCATCAAGTCGTATATCAAGACTCCGACGAAGGAAAGCGAGCAGCAGCTTGAGGAGTTCTGCTCCATCTGTACATACGTTTCCGGCCAGTATGATCGCGACGACTCCTTTCTGCAGCTCAACAAGCATTTGGAGGAACTGGAGCAAGGAAGGAAAGAGAACAACCGACTCTTCTACATGGCTCTGCCTCCCAGCGTTTTCACCATTGTTTCACAGCATCTCAAGAAGTGCTGCTACCCCTCCAGGGGCGTTGCCCGTGTTATTGTAAGTCACCAATCGTATCCGCTGTACCTCAGCCCTTGTCTAACACTGCAATAATAGGTCGAGAAACCCTTTGGCAAGGACTTGGCAAGCTCCCGAGAACTGCAGAAGTCTCTTGAGCCCGACTGGAAGGAAGAGGAGATCTTCCGTATCGACCATTATCTAGGCAAGGAGATGGTGAAGAACATTCTCATTCTGCGTTTCGGCAACTCCTTCCTTGGCGCTACCTGGAACAGGCATCACATCGACAACGTCCAGATTACATTCAAGGAACCCTTCGGCACTGAGGGCCGCGGTGGCTACTTCGACGAGTTCGGCATCATCCGCGATGTGATGCAGAACCATCTGTTGCAGGTTCTTACGTTGCTTGCCATGGAACGCCCCATCTCTTTCTCCGCTGAAGATATCCGTGATGAGAAGGTGCGGGTCCTCCGCGCCATTCCGGCAATCGAGCCCAAGAATGTCATCATTGGTCAGTACGGCAAGTCGCTTGACGGAAGCAAGCCTGCCTACAAGGAAGACGACACGGTCCCCAAGGATTCCCGCTGCCCCACTTTCTGTGCGCTAGTTGCGTACATCAAGAACGAGCGTTGGGATGGTGTGCCTTTCATCATGAAGGCAGGCAAGGCGTTGAACGAGCAGAAGACCGAGATCCGCGTGCAATTCAAGGACGTCACATCGGGCATTTTCAAGGACATTCCTCGCAACGAACTCGTTATGCGCATTCAGCCCAACGAAAGTGTCTACATCAAGATGAACTCTAAGCTTCCCGGCCTGAGCATGCAGACTGTTGTCACCGAGCTCGACCTCACCTACAGGAGACGCTTCTCCGACCTCAAGATTCCCGAAGCCTACGAGTCCCTTATTCTCGACTGCTTGAAGGGTGACCATTCCAACTTTGTCCGTGACGATGAGCTCGATGCCAGCTGGAGAATCTTTACCCCTTTGCTCCACTATCTCGATGATAATAAGGAAATCATCCCGATGGAGTATCCTTATGGTATGTGATCACCGAGATGTTCTATGGAATGATACTTAATACTAACATCGTCTAGGTTCTCGCGGCCCGGCTGTTTTGGATGACTTTACGGCCTCGTACGGGTACAAATTCAGCGATGCTGCGGGCTACCAGTGGCCCACAACCTCCGCCATGGGGTCGGGCATGAAGTTGTAGATTCGCAACGTTCTCACTATCCTCCCGTCGCTCCGGATGATGGATATGCTTTAGTACACGCGGTCTAATCTACGTCATGAGTTGACAAAGGAAGGAGCTGTATCACGTCATGAGCAGACACGTTGGGACTAGATCTTGCTTCCATTTCCCCTGGGGTTTTTGTGCGTTTTCTTGTTATGTGATGCTAGGAAAAGCATCAAAGGTAGATTCATGAGATTCAAAAGAGGCATGTATGGGTTTATAGGTAACAGCGGGCATGGCTGTTGTTATGTCCTTCACGATCCGGAAAGAATAATTTCATGATGAGGTTTCTTTCGTATGGGTGTTGGGGATACAGGTAGTGACTTGGCACTCTTGTGCCTGGGGAAGGCCGAAGACGTAAAGGTATATCTTGATCATACTGGGGCCAAATCTGAGCAGCCAACTAGTTAGAGAAAGCTTCATACCTTAACAGCAAGTTCTTTCAGACTGAGCATTGACGCACAGTGCACTTTACGGTAATCATTGCTCTCTACCCTAAGTACGAGTATCAGTCCTACC